GAGTACATGAAACACAGACTTTATTCCTGTATTATTTTTCAGATGAACAACTGTAAACCTACTTTTGCCCAACCCTGTTGATTAATGGTTTATTATAAAAGGATATAACTCGGGAACAGCCAGATGGAAGACATATATAGAGCAAAGTATGTGAGAAGGGGCACAAAGCTTCCACACTTTCTAAGCGGGTCTTTCCCCCTGAATCTCTACATATTCACCAACTTGGAACTCTTGCATTGTTTTCCATAATACTTAGTTCTTTCTCCTAAGTAGCAAATATTAATTTCACTAGTTATAAGAAAACTGTGGTTCAAAAAATTCTAATTTTCTAGTTAAAAACTAATTCTAGTTTTGAACTAGAATAATAATGTTCATATTACATAACTTAGTGAAAACAATATATTTATTCCATTATAACACAATATTTTCAAACTGAAAATGAAGTATTTAAGAGTCAATAGTTCACAACAGAAAGAGTTCATTCTGTCCCTAAGCCATAGCCTAGGGACATTCTACACACAATAAGAAGAAAATAGAACAAAAAAGAGCCTCTAATGGTACTAAGAAAACTAGGATAATATAAGGCTCTAGACTCCAAGAGTGAATTTCAAGGACGTGGTCAATTTGAAATGCTACATATATGGATAAATCAAGGAGAAAAGGAACAGAAAAATTACATAGTAATGAAATATATCTGTTTTCTGTTAAGCCTTCTTGAGGCTTTAGTTTATTGATCTCTGGGGAAGTTGAAGTTGGGGTAAATGAAAGTAACTGGGATGCCCAACTTTCACAAAATCAATTTCTCCTCTCTGCTTTCTTTTTTCTGCATATATGAGAAACTACAGCTTCCTTTCTAGCATATTTATTGTCCACCTATTGCCCTAGCCTAGCAATTTTCAACCTTTTTCATCTCGTGGCACACATAAACTAATGACTAAAATTCTGTGGCATGCCCCCCAAAAATTTTTTTGCCAATGTGACAAAAAAAATAGGTGTAATTTTGACTCATTCACACTAGGCTATTATTGTATTGGCCATTGTAATTTTTTTATTTGACAATCTAAGGGAAAAGAGGTCAGTGCCCCTGACTGAATAGTCAGATATTACATGTCTTAAAAAAATTTTTGCAGCATACCAGTTGAAAATCTCTGCCCTTTTTGCAACTTTTCCTCAGGAATATCTCTTAACACACTATTTCTTTATCTGCTATAGCCTATCATGACAGGTAATCGCAAATGCATCAATGATTTTTGCCAATGCTTGACATTCAATTTAGCTCTTCAGAATAATGGCTCTCTTGATGACTTGTACTGACCTGGATACTGTTCAGCAGAGGAAAAGTGATAGAGATACATCACTGATCATGCCTACCTACTTTGTTAGCCTTTAAAATGAATGTAAGCTTAGGGATTGTTTAGAGGTCATCTTGATCTTCTCTTCAAGAGCCTATGCCTATGGGGTAGAGCTTCTGGCAAAGTTTTTGGAAAGAAACATAACTCAGTTGGAGGGTTCCTTTGGCCTTTGCTTTTTAACTCCTTATATGAGGACATTTTTTTTTCATTACTTTTAGAGAGAGAGAAAGGGAGAGAGAAACATCAAAGTGAGAAAGAAACACATTGATTGGTTGCCTCTTATGGGGATTATACACATACGGATGTGGGATTGAACCTGAAACCTTTGTATGTGTCCTGACCAGAAATTGAATCGGCAACATTTTGGTTAGGAGACAAGGCTCCAACCAACTGACCACTGGCCAGGACTGGCTGTTGCTTTTATTTCCTCTTTCCCTCCACCCGCTGTGGCCACAATGCTTATAAGGGTAGAGCTATCTTCCAACCATAAAAAAAAGCCACATGTTAGGTATAGTGAGACATAAAGCAAGGAACCCAGTTCCTTTCTGACATTCTAAAATAGCTGCATTAGCCCCAGAGTCTCTACCTTTTAGATTTAATAAATGAGAAAACAATCCCCTTTTGTTTAGTCACTATACGAGGGGAACCACTCCCAAAACCGGAATTAACTTCTGGAGGGCAGATCCCTTATTGTTCAGGCTTCCCCCACTAAGTGGGTCTCTAGGAATCCATCTGTATCAGTCAGTGTACCAGCTGGTATTGTTAGGCTTCTGTGAATTTTTTTGGAGACTCTTTCAATGTGTTGGTCCATTTCATTATGGATGATTAAGGAGTGCACCCGCCCACAACGCACTGAGTCTTCAGCAGTTTTTGACCAAAAACAGCATGACCCCCATGCCCCATCCTCCCTATGCACCCAATCTTGCCCAAAGCAACTTTCCCCCTGCCCTGAGGAAAAAAGTACTGCAAAGGGAAATATTTTGCAAATGTGGAAGAGGGGAAACAAAAAACAGCAGAAGCACCAAAAGGCATCAAAATCGACAAATTCAAAAACTGTTTTCAGCAGTGGAAAAAAGTCTTGATAGGGGTATTGGATCAAATGGAGAGTACTTTGGAGGTGACTGAAGTTTAAACATGTAAGAATAAATACACAATTTCTATAATAAATAAATTCTGTGGGGTTTTTTTTTGGGGGGTCTCCCCTCCATAGTCTAGCTTTCTGTTGTGTGAAGTACAATCCTACCCAGACATTCAATTGCCTTTCCCACTAGATCATGTCAGATACCATGTCTGTATTTGCTACCTGTGTAAGATAGAAAAACCAACTCAAAACTGCTTTAAATTATAAGGAAGTTTATTTACTCACATAACTGGAGATCCAACAGTAGAACAGACTTTAGGGGTTGATGTGATCCTGTTACCCCAGTTTCATTTCTCTGCTATTCTTCCGGACTTCTGCATGTGTTGACTTCATGTACTCTGGTTGCCATCAAAAGCACTGTAGCAATTTCAAGCCTTATATCAAAGCTCAACATTTCCAGCAGGAATGTGAATCACTTCTAGAAGTTCTCCTGGAAAAGCTTTTCTGAAAGCATCCTGAAAAACCTATCCTTGGCACTCATTAAAGTGAGGTACATGCATGATCCTAATCCAGTCCCTGGTAAGGGGGTGCTATCATCCTTAGACCAGCCCAGACCACCCCTGGAGCCAAGGAGGCTGAGCTTCCCCAGCTGTGGGTAAGAGAGAGGGAGTTCTGGACAACATCAGGGTTCTGTTGGAAAGGAATGAGGAAAAGGATGTTTAGTAAAGAGCTCACTTAAAAATATTTTATTTATTTTTAGACAGAGGGGAAGGGAGGGAGATAGAGAAGGAGAGAAACATCATGTGCTAGAGAAACATCAATCAGTTGCCTTTCAAATGCCCCCAGCCAGAGACCTGGGCCACAACCCAGTCATGTGCCTTGAACAGAATTGAACTGGTGACCTTTCTCTTTGTCTGACAACACTCAACTCACTAAGCCACGCCAACCACGGCAAGAACTCACTTTTTATATTTCCAGTATCTTGTAGGCATACTTAAGGAAAAAAACAAAACAAAACAAAACACCCTCCCCACACATACAAAGTTTATCTCAACAATAAGGTTCTTGAACAAAGGAAGTATGTTTTATACACACAAAGTTCATTTCAACAATACAGTTCTTGAACAAAGGAAGTATGTTCTACTCTTGTTTATACTACTCCTGGTGTTGAACTCAATCCACACACACAAACACGCAAAGTTTATCTCAACAATAAGGTTCTTGAACAAAGGAAGTATGTTTTATTCTTGTTTATACTACTCGTAGTGTTTAACTCAATCCTGAACATGTTAGGAGTTCCAGTTGTTTGTTTATTTAATCAATAAGCCTTAGTAAGAGAAAATGGCCTAAATTGTTTAGCCTCCTGGATTCTTTTGTAGATTGCTAGATTTTCTTTCTAATCAATTTCTATGACTCCCAAGACTTAGAGTTGCTGAGGTACACAGGAAAAATTCCAAGTGCACAGATTTACATTTATTCAACTATACTGATTTACTAATGAACTTTCTAGAAAAGTCCATCATAGTGAAGTCCTTAAATTTCCTTTTTCTTAACGAATGAAGAAATCAGAGGGATGATGTTTCTCTAGGGAAACCATTGTCAAACTAAAAAGTTCCAAATCATTCAAAAATTCTAAGGTTATTCACTATCAATAACTAAAGATAACTACTGATTTTTAAAAATAGTTGATTTTCAAAGATGTGAGCATTTCATATTATCCAAAGAGATAATATTTTGTCTCTGAAGGAGAAAAAAAATGCCTCTAAATTTTTATCACTAAGCAAATTTGGATACCTCTCTCCTCATTCTGTTAGAAGGTGTTTAAACGGCTGGGGGCTGTAAGGTTAAATACTACTTCCACTGCCTCCTCAGTAGGGCCTTTGAGAAAGTCACTGCTTGACAACACCAGTGCACACTGATAAGCTTGGTTTGCAAGGCGGCTTGGGGGGTTAGTGAACAAGAGTTCAAAACTCAGACCTAGTCTTGTGACTAGTAGCTAACCATTCAACTACTCAGCTTCTCTTGCAAAATGAGCATTACTCATTGCTTTTGTCACAGCTTCGGGCATCCATTTCTCCAAACATTCTAACTGATCATTCATTCGGCCTCCAAATGGGCCAGGAACTTAGCAAAAGAAGAAGGCTACCTAGGGTTGGGGAGAGTGAGATCGTGGACCCCCCTCACGGTCTGAGAGTGGCTTGGCCCTCCGCAGAGACCCAAGGCCATAATGCTGGTTGAAGCCCAGGGATCCAGATGCAAGCGTTGCCGAGGGCGTCAAGCTCAGACTTCGCTCTCCGGGAGACAAGGGGTGGGAGCCCAGTTAAGGAAATGCAGTATACTCGCTCAGTTATAGTGACCCGGGCCACCGAAGCGCAAGACAGCCCCACAGGCCCGAGGGGAGGGTGGGAGCACGTGCAAAATGGTGCAGCCTCGGAGATTAGGGTGGGCAACTCCCGGAGGTTGTGCCCCGGGACCTCCCGGGCTATTTCCGGGCCTGCAGAACCGGAAACGGACCCCGGGCGGGCTCCAGGGAGCGAGTAGGCGGGGCCGTTTTCTCGGAAGTGCCTGCAGCTGTCGCTGGGCGCGGAGCCCTACGGTCTTCGCAGTTCTCTAGCGGAGCGGCTGCCTAGGGAGGGGACCCGGATCCTGCTACGGTGGGCGAGGCAGGAGCGGGACCCCGTGAGGGTATTGATCCCACGGTGGGTGGGGTGGAAGAGTCTCTGAGGAAGAAAGGGAAGAGAGTTTGGCTAGCCTGCTGGCAGAAGCGTCGTTCCCTAGTCCTAAAAAGGAGGGGCGATATGGACGGTCCCCTAACTCCCAGGGAGTCCGCAAAATTCATTGCGGAAAACAGTCGGGATGTGTTCATTGACTGCGGAGGCTTGCGGCGGGTGGCCGAGTTCCTGCTCGCCAAGGTTTCGGGTCCGGAGCTACGCCTGGGGGCCTGGAAGAACCTTCATGAGCTCAACCCCAGGTCGGCCGACGAAGCCGCAGTCAACTGGGTTTTCGTTGCAGACACACTCAATTTCTCCTTCTGGTCCGAGCGCGATGAGCACAAGTGCCTGGTGGGGTACAAGGGGACAACGTACAGTGGCTACTGGTCCCTGTGCGCCGCTATCAACAGAGCCCTTGACGAAGGTTGGTACCCTTTCTGCTGGTAAGACCCTTTAGCCTTTTACGCCTCAGTTTCCTGGGAGAGTCCCAAGGAGCGAGCTGGAAGATGGAATAATGTGTTAATAAGGCGAACCTGAAGTTATTCATTGCGAGCCCCTCAGCTTCAAATAAGAGTATGATAAGAAGCTTGCCTTAAATCCTTATTCAGTGGGAATTGATCCTAAATACGTATTACCGCAGCTAAGTCTGATGAAATCTGAAGAACAAAGGGGACTGATATATAACATTTTACATAGTTAAAATACACCTGATATAATATTACAATAGAAATGAGTGAATGAGTACAGATGAATGAATAGAAAATGGGGGGTTTGCTTCTCGTTTTTAATTCATCCACTTTTAGTTAATTTCGGTAACACTCATTAAGTTTCATATTAACTGTATTGTAGAAATAAGAGTCTAGTGAATATGAAATCCTGACATTGTTCCTCTGCGTTTTCTTTTCTTCCTAAGGGATACCAATAACTAGTGCTTCGTACTATGCCACAGTGACCTTGGATCAGGTTCAGCATATACTCCGTTCTGACACGGACATTCCCATGCCTTTGATAGAAGAGAGGCATCGGATTCTCAATGAAACGGGGAAAATTCTGCTTGAGAAGTTTGAAGGCTCTTTTCTTAATTGTGTCCGGAAAAGTGAAAAAAGTGCACAGAAGTTAATGCATCTGGTAGTTGAAAGCTTTCCCTCTTACAGAGATGTGACTGAGTTTAAGGTGAGTTGCTGCTGTTGGGTATTTTAGAATTCTTATCTTGTCATTGTCAACTTTTAGTTAACTCTTTTACTTCCTGAGCTCCTTTTAAGAATAAAAACTTAAATTTTGAAGTATGTTCCTGTGAACAAGGAATAGCAACAATTAAGTAGAGTTTCAAAGACCTTACTTATGATTTCTCATCAGCAGATCCCATTATTCTTTTTGCCTTTTTCATTGTCCTTTTAAAAAGTTTCAAACCTGAAAAAAGACGGGACGTTCAACTGGATGTTCTCACTTAGGGATAAGGAAGTCCTTTTAATACTTAAAAACATTTTTGCCGGCTAGGTCCGTGACTGGGGGCATGCAAGAGGCAAGCAATCGATGTTTCTCCTGCGTATGGATGTTTCTCTTCCTCTCTTTCTCCCTCCCTTACCCTCTCTCCAAAAATAAATAAATAAAATCTTTTAAAAAAATTTACTTAATTGAATGAAAATCAAAATGTTTACTAAATTCTCTCTAATAATTTTTGCAGAGTTCTAATGTGTATATACTATGCATTTTCCTTTTCACGCACAGGATACTTTAACAGTATTATTTGCTTTATGGTACAAAAGAAATTTTAAAGAGATTTACTTTTAAACTGGTGAACATTTTGTATACCCTCCCAGTGTACACCTGGATTTTCCTTTTGTAAAAATTTTAGAATCTGTTATCACTGTATTATAATTGTGACAAGAATTGAAAGCAACTTCAGCAGAATCACATGACATAAATCTAGGTTAATGTTATGTCAGATTTAAATATTAAAGCTACACTTTTGTAATCACAATTCAGTAACAACTAACATTACCAGTAATACTGCTTTATCATTCTGTATCATTTACAGGGTGTTTGCACATACACTTTTGTTTGATCCATGCAACAGCTGTGGGGCCTAAGAATAAGGAGCATATTGTCCCCTGTGTATCAGGAACTAGTTGAAAAAGAAAGTTAAACTAGTTTATCTTAGGTCATTTAGTCAATAGCTAGCTTTTCAATTCTACTATAAAATGAGAGATGGCCTGTTTATGTATGTTAAGATTCTTTTAATTGCAAGTGACAGACACGAAACTAGAAAAAAGCTTAATCAACAGGAAGAATTTTGGGATGAATATTGCGGATAGGCATGTCCAGGATCAAGGACTCAGTGCCATCAGGATTCAGCCTCTTCTCTTAGCTTCTGTTACTCCATTTTTCTCTTATTGTAGACCAACTTTCTCCATGAAGTAGAAAAGCTTTTTACATCTTACTGCTTCAGCCCCAGAGAAAGAGAGTGAGAGAAACATGTTCTCAGGTCCAGGTCTAAAACTGTTGGGTAAGGACTGATTGAATGGGCAGGGATTATGACCCGTTAAGTGTGGCTTTCACGGGTATGTGGATGAGGCAGGGTCAGTTCCTGGAAAAGAGGCCATAGGTCAACCTACTGTTGAACTTGATCCTGGTTTTGATTAACCATTTTGCTAATGCAGAGGTTACTTTGAGATTTTTCTTTGTCTTCAAAGTATGTCATTTCAGCCTTGTTTTTCAAGAAATTAGGACTCAGTTCCTCAGTCCATCATTCAGGCCATCTGAATATACAGGGTTGGGCAAAAGTAGGTTTACAATGTGAATCGGTGAAACACAGAGTTTATTCTTTTATTGTTAATTATTATCGTATTATTTTCCATATGAACAACCGAAAACCTACTTTTTTCCCCATCCTATATTACATAGTGTGGACAAGAAATCAAACTGCTATTCATGTGGCTATGAATCCATATATTCTAGAGTCTACATGCTTTTAGTAGAAAACAGACTAAAATTAAATTTAACATGACTTTAGGATAGGTGAATTCTTGCCCTGGCTAGTATGGCTCACTTGGTTGGAGCATCATCCCACAAACCAAAAGGTCACAAGTTCCATTCCCAGTCAGGGCACGTACATGATTTGAGGGTTCAGTCCCCAGTTGGGGCTCACTCACTGATTGATGTTTCTCTCCCTGTCTCTCTCCCCTGCTCCTCTCTCTAAAATCAATAAGCATGTCCTCAGGCGATGAAAAGAAATACAAAATTTCAACACTTTTTTAAAGGAGTATTTTTTTTCATTTTTTTTTAATAAGACTATCATTAGCGTTACCCAAAGCACTATATTTCTGTAACCCCTATGATTCCTCATGGAACACTGAGCACATAGTGAGTGCTCACTTAATGCTTTGATTAGTCAATTTACAGCTGCCTTTGTATAGTCATATAAAAGATACACAAATCATTAAAGTACTTTGTGTAATTCCAAATCTGGAAGAATTCTAATGAACAATTTTGGGACTGCTTTGAAATTTAAAAAGTGTTAAAATCACATATACCTTTTTATTCATATTTAAAAATTTTCTGATTGCAAAAGTAAAACATTAATTATAGAATTTGTGAAGTACAGAGAAGCAGTCTATTGTACTAAGAGGTAACCACTGATTACAATTTAGTCTTTTTCTGTGTGTGTGTGTGAATATATAAGCACAAGGAGGGGAGAATTAGTATGCTGTATAAACTTAAAATTTAACATATTATGAACATCTTTCCATATCAATAAAAATTCTTTCACAGGGCAGTTTTTTTAGTACCAATTTTAATGTCTTAACAGTACTTGCCTAGAGTCTTTTACCACAATAATTGTGTTTGATACACAGTTTATTTTTAAATTAAATTTTATATCTTATTGTTTTCAGTTTTATGTGATAATAATCAGGGCTGCACAACAGTTGAACATCCATAATTATTTTCTTAGAATAGATTCCTAGTAGTGGAAATGCTGAGTCAGAGCGTGGCCAGTCTTTTCTGGCTTGTAATACATAAAAATGCCAGCTGTTCTTTAGGAAGATGAAAACAGAGATGATCAGCAGCAGCATGTGTGAGTGCCCTTTTCCCTGCTCCTTCAGGATGTGATTATAGTATTTGTTGCTATATTTTAAAATCTTTAATAAGTTGCATAAAAATAGAATAGTCATGATTATTTTTAATGCATACTGATTTATTGAGGTGAGCATTTTTAGATATAAACAAATTAATGAAATTAGGCCATTTTAATTCAGACAAACTTAGATCACTGATTTCTCAGCCTGGCTGTGCCCCAGAATCAGTTAGGAAGCTTTAAAATTCAGATATATTTCCAGTGCACCACCCTCAAAGATTCTCATCAATGGGAAGAGCTGTATTTTTAATCTCCTCAAGTGACTGTGATTTATCCTATGCAGTAACTATGTAAAAGTCCTAATTAATCATTTGGTTTCCTTAGGCTGTCATCTTTACTCTGACATACATAATGTTAAATATGCATGAAGAATATGAGCTTTTTTGTATTTTAACAGATAACATTTTATGTTACTCATAAGCATTTGTAAGTACTGATCTTTCTAATTTGTTCATGATAAATTTGTTGAAGAAAATCAACTCATAGTCATAGCGCTTTTCTACTTTTTTGAAGGTACTATTTTGAAAATATTTTATTCACAAAGCAATAGCATGGAACATATAGGGAATTGTTATTTTGGTTTGTGGGCCGGCCCTCAATCCACTGTGCCACACCAGCCAGGGCGGGAATTGTTATTTTGGAATTTACTGGTATTTTCAGTGGTATCAGTTAATATTTAGAGATGTAGAATGTGATTACCAAGATCATTTGAGTACTAAAACTATATCATCTTTTAAGAAAATGTTTTATAGATAATTAACTTTATTTTTTCAGTCCTCACTTGAATCACATATGTACTTATTTTAAAGGTATTATAATGTCTTTTTTAAAAAAGATTTTATTTATTTATTTTTAGGGAGAGGGGAAGGACAGAGAAAGAGAGGGAGGGAAACATCTATGTGTGAGAGAAGGACCTGGTGGCCACCCAGGCATGTGCCCTGAGGGGGAAATCGGACCAGCAACCTTTTGGTTTGTAGGCAGGAGCTCAATCCACTGAACCACGCCAGCCAGGGCTGGTTCATAGATTTTTTTTCCAGTTTGCTCTATGAATCTTGTTAAATATAGAATAGTTTTTATCTATCATAGTAAACATTATGCTATAATAATTGTGTTTGATATACAATTTTATTTTGTAAATTAAGTTTTATGTCTTGCTGTTTAATAAACTAGACTTGAATTAGAAACCTAATTACCATATATAAGTTCAACTTATATAAGGAACAGTCACCAGGTTGTCATAATTTGATTGGTTTGGGAAGATAGGTTATTCCCAAATGATGTAGGGCTACTTACTAATGGTGGTTTGTTCCCCCAGCACTCAAGTTAATTTACAGACTTTAAACCTTGTCAAAAAATGAGCAAATGTGTTTGCTCTGGAAAACAAAATACTGGATTTCTTAATGTTTGCCTTAGAAAGTTTAATTTAGTTAGTAAAAGTTCTTCTGGATTGATTACAGTAGGTGTACATTATGTTTAAACAATATTGGGTTATTTCTCATTTTAAATAAATAAAGGACTCTATATTGTTATCTCAAGGGATTTTATATGGAGTCTGTCCTTGAAGAATTTTATTTTTTATTTAATTATTTATGTCATTTACCTATGAAAACATTCTTACAGGTGGTCGGGATATATTTTGGGAGCTAGTGATGTTGATTATTCCTGTGTATCAGATAAGCAGTTGTAAAAGATGATTGGGATTATTACTATTGGTATTAGGACTAGGAGTAAATCCTAATTACCTGTCCATGTTTTTCTGTAGTCTATACTGATCTGCACTTATAGTTTTGAAGAGAATTTTTGAGTTAAATTATAATTTACTATCTTACGATGCTTGGTTAAATTTGTTTCTTCCATGCATAAATAGGATTGGTAGTTTATTTTTGTTACATATTGACTTTGACTATTTCTAAAAATGGTAGACTGGAAGAATTCCGACTGTAGATCATATTATCTGATTAAATTAATCATGTTATTTGAAAGGAAACAGGTAAAAAATGAGTGTTGTGATTCTCTTCAGAGGTGAGTTTAGGGATGATTATTTTCTTCTTTATACTTTTTTTAAAGATTTTATTTATTTATTTTTAGAGAGTGGGGAAGGAAGGGCGAGAGAGGGGTAGAAACATCAATGTGTGGTTGCCTCTTGCATGCCCCCTACTGGGGACTTGGCTTGCAACCCAGGCATGTGCCCTGACTATCCTTTGCTTCGCAGTCCAGTGCTCAATCCACTGATCCACACCAGCCAGGGCTCTTCTTTATACTTTTCTGTATTTTATACAATTAATGTAAATTATGTTACAATTAGAAAAACATTTAAATTTAAGGATCTTTCTAAGGAAATACTATTTAACAATTAAAATTAATAAGTAGGTATATTATAGTGACACAGAAATATATACGTGATGTAATGCCTTTAAAAAGAACACTAAATAGTACCATGATTACATACATTGTATTTTATGTTCCTAGAAAAATATAGGAAGTAAATTTGGAGTGGTAGAGATAACTTAGTATTTATTAGACTCCCCATTCTTTCTGTAAAAGGTCTCTAAATTCTTATCAACAGAGTAAGATTACTCTCCTCTTGAAAAATATTTTCAATGTGTGTCTTTTTTAAAAGCATTTCATAAAGCTTTCAGATATTCAGATAACATTTATATTCTCTTCATTCATCAGGGGAAAATAATTTCTTTTTACAAACGGGCCCAAATCCTCGTGGCAGACACCTGGAGTGTGCTGGAGGGAGAAGGAGACGGCTGCTTTAAGGACATCTCCAGTATTACCATGTTTGCTGACTATCGGTTACCTCAGGTTCTGGTTCACCTGGGTGCCCTGAAATACTCCGGTGAACTACTGGAGAAACTTCTCAAAGGTTTGTCAACTTAATGAAGATATTCTTTGTTACACTCTGAATTATTGTTGAGTCTCTAGCTTCTTTCACAAAAGGTCTCCTTTCCTTAGATAAAAGCACTATTTATGGTTAAAAACATATGTAAAGAAAAACAGAAGGGCAGTTAAAATATGGAGAAAATTGCTTTTTGTTGTTTATACTGTGGAATATGTATAATGCAGGATATTATAATTTTAGAGCATCATAATAAAATGAAACCTAAATTTATATCTCATGGTGTGCAACACTAAGACAGTTCATCAGGTGTAGTGTTTGAAGAATGTTAATTAAGCCAAAGAGCACACTATGATGTGACATAAAAGGTGGGGCTGAGAGGTAGTATGAACTGGACTTTGAGTCAGGAGGCTCCAAGGTCTGCCATTGGGTTATTTTGCATGAATTACTTACTTTCTTAGGCTTATTTATCTACCATTACTGGATTCGATTATTGATTCTCAAGAATGGAAGCCATATTATAATATATGAGTACAAATAATTGTGTTTATGTGAGAATTAACTTTTTGTTTCTTAAACATGTCTTTGTATAAGAAAAAGAATTATATCATATAATTTTAATGTTAATTTCTCTCGGGTGCAGTATTTTCAGCTACTTTTTTCTTTTTCCTTTTTAAAAAGAAAGCAGTTTTTATGACTGCATAATTTTCTCTTGTGAAATAGATTTCAATCACCCAAAATCAGAATAATACAGAATATAAAGGTACCATTATTCCTGTGGTTGCTTCTACCAGGCTTTTATGCTGCCTTGGGCAATTGATTTTGTCTTCCTATTTCCTCATTTGAGAAATAACAAGCCATTTTGTGTTGTAACACTCAAGGCTCAGGTCACTAATTGTTGGATACCTTTAAAAGGGACAACTGTTAGCAGTCAGGGATCCTTTCAGATTCAGACGTAGTCCAGCTGATCTTGTGCGCTGCTCATTCTTATCTCTAAACATCCTCTTGCCTGGTGTCCCTCACCATACTTTCTTTTTTTCAGCCAAAATCCTACATATCAACAAAGGCTTTGCCTCAATGCTACCTCTTCCATATAGCTTTTCCTGACTTTTCACAATTTTTCCTCCTCTTTCTTGGATTTTTATAGCACCCAATTGTCTCTGCCACTGTGAGAAAAACCCAGGTGAAAATGGATCCATCCAGCATAGTTGTACAGAGTTGTTGGAATTTTCTTCTACCATCCACTGTGGGGGGTCTCCACCTGCAGGGCCCCCCCAGCCACCACAGATGAGAATAAGTCTATCAAGACAGGATCTGCTTGGGGAGGAAAGGTCTCTCAAAGGAGAAGGGCCAACAGTGTTTTCCTCAATGGGCTTTTATTGGGTTCGTTTTGCACAGGAATACAGGTAAAGCTCATTAATCATTATCAGGCAGTAAGGATCAAACAACAGATAATATACAGAGAACTCAAGGGCCTATTTTGAGTCAGGGTCCGATAGCTAAAGGGCTATAAATCTTTGAGGAACAAACTCACTTCCTGCTTGGACCCTTATCATTTAAGTGAGAGCATTCTAAACAAAGCAGGTTTCACAGGATTTTGCATATTCTTTCTTAGGTCTGAAGGCCCTAGGGAACCCGCCCTTTCCAGCACAGGGCGGCACCCACCACTAGTATTGTTTCAGGCTTAAGTCAGGCAGGGGAAGTAAGGCAGCCAAGAGATTAGGAGACTTCTCACAGACAGAATGAGGACTCAGGCTATGTCAAAGCCTAGGGGCAAGGGTCCATCACCCCCTTTTTCTGTAGCCCCCCAAGTCCTTCCCTGGGGGCTCCCTGTGATTGTGCCTGTCTTAGGTCGTTCCTCCCTTGAGGAATCTTACCCATTATTGGCTAAACTATCAAGGGTGATAGTTGGGGGCCAGGCAGGGTGAAGTAAAAGGAGCAGAAGGGGCACCCCTGCCAGGGAGATAAGCTCTGTCTCCTTAGCGGCTTCTGGTCCGAGGGTCACTCACTCAGCCTTAGCCATGGGGGGGTTACAGCTTCTGAAACCAGGCAGGGCAGTTCCCAGCAATCCATTTCATCTCAAAACTCTTTTCCAGATGTCCAGCTGCAGCTGTTACTGCCTCCATTTTGTCCAGCTTTTAAAAGGAGACTCTGCTGTCCTTAATTAGAATGACACAGGGTGAACAAACTTTTTGCACCCTAATTTAAACAAAATTGTATTTTTTCAAAAAGTACTTTATTAGCAAGCTAGAGGAAAAACAGAAACTATAAATGTAAAGGTGTATACACTGATTAAAAAAAAACTATTATAAGTGAAATCTAAACCCAGGTGGCTTGACTAGATGAGGTAGAACTTTCCTAACCTCCAGTGATACTTCTTCCAAACTTCCGGATGTGATACACTTATATTTCTTTTACTCTCTCTTTTTCTGGATATCTCCAGGACAACCCTTGGAAGGCCTATCTAGATTTCTGTTCATTTTATGTTTAACCAACCTCTTCACCAAAAACATACATATTTTTTAGTTGAATATAAAGACTGATAATACAATTTCACTAAATTTAGATTCTTCACTGTGATTCACTAGAGTTGAGTTTTAGGCCTAATATATTGGTTGTGTTACCTTCCCTTACTCTGTTTGTCAGTCCTCTCCAATGGTTTCATTCTTTCTCTGTTTCAAAGTCCATGTCTTATCCCATACTGGAAGTTGTATACCTATAACTGTATTCGTTTCATAAGGCTGACATAACATTATCACTAACTGGATGGCTTAAAACAAAAGAAATTTATTCTCTCCTTGCGGTGGAGGCTAAAAGTCTGAAATCAAGATGTTGGCAGGGCTAGGCTCCCTCTGAAGGTTCTCTGGAAGAATCTGTGGCCCTTGGAAATCCTTTGCATTCCTTGGCTTGTAGCTGCATCACTCCAAGTATGGCCTTGTTTCCTGTGTGTCTCCTCTTGCACTTGGATTCCTCTCCTTTTCTCATGAGGACACCAGTCATGACATTTAAGAACCCCCTAATCCTGTATGACCTCATCTTAATATAATCACACCTGCAAAGACCCTATTTAAAGAGAACACATTCACAGGTACCAGGAGGTAGGACTTCAGTGTGTTTTTGGAGGACACAGTTCAGTCTACAGTTATTTATTGCTGGGTAATAAATTATGCTAAAATTTAAAACGACATTTATTGTCTCCGTTTCTGTGCATCAGGAGTTTGGGTGCTGCTTAACTGGATGTCTGTGGGTCAAGCAGTCAGCTGTGGTAATGGTCTCATCTGAGGGCTTTGCTTGGGCAGTGGTATCTGCCTCCAGTGTCACTGTCGTGGTTGATTTGGGAATTCTGGCAAGTTGATAGATAAGTTTGGAGGCATCAATTAACAAGAGAACTTAAGGGGAAGGGATGGATTTATATGCTGGCACCTGGAGCCAAGTAAGGAATACAGGTAGTGTCTGTTCTTCCCCTTGTCCCGGTGACCAGTGTGCCTAAGCCCTTGGGAGAGATGGATGCGAGGGACATAAGTAACATTACTTAAGATCCCAGGTGACAGAGTGGAAGTCAGTGGGGTTGGGGCATTTTTCCTGTGTCTCATTGGATCACATAGCCTACCTGGCACTGTGAAGCTCTGCAAACGTGTTTGGTTTGGCCTGAACAGTGTTTTAAGCATTTTTTTAAAAAGATTTTATTTATTTATTTTTTAGAGAGGGAAGGGAGGGAAAAAGAGAGAGAAACATCAATGTGCGGTTGCTGGGGGTCATGGCCTACAACCTAGGCATGTACCCTGACTGGGAATCAAACCTGTGATACTTTGGTTTGCAGCCCGCACTCGATCCACTGAGCTACGCCAGCCAGGGCTCGTTTTAAGCAATTTTTAATTAGTTATCAACACTTGACAGTTAGGAGATTTCCTATGAAAGTCAAACCTTCTGATTTTTGTAAAAGTAGAGAAATATGGGAACATTGGGTCTACCTTTAGACAGGAAAATACATACTCTCTAGCTCACCAGAGTTTGCATCTGGCTGCCTGCATTCAATTACTCTCTGTGCCTGATTCTTTTTTTTTAAAGGTTGTATTTATTTATTTTTTTAGAGAGAGGGGAAGAGAGGGAGAGAGGAGGGGAAAGAAACATCAGTGTGTGCAAGATACACTGATCGGTTGCCTCTTGCACGCCCCCAAATGGGGACCCGGCCTACAACCCAGGCATCAAACCAGCGACATTTCAGTTCGCAGGTCAGCACTCAGTTCACTGAGCCATACCAGCAAGGGTTGTGTGCCTGATCTTTGTAGGCAGTTGAATTGATGAACCCAACTCTAGTGTCAGTGGCCAGTCACCACCCTTTAGGATCAGACATACCCTGGAGGGAACTCTCAGCTCCGTATTCAGGCAGAGCTGACTAAAGGATCCTGAATACAACGAATGACCATGGTTTTCCTTGCCCAAGTTAACCACTTTGATTTTCTTAGTTGACCTTGATGTATCTAGAGTGTCCCGAAGGCGGCAATAGTCGGTTCTCAAATGGTGATGGGAGGTGGTGTTTATTTGGCCCCCTAGGAGTGCTCTAAATTTTGCAGTATTTTTTCCTGTGGCATTAAACCTAATCTTAAATCCTTTCTTTTCAGTAATTTAATAATCTTGCTGTCATATTTTAAAATTTATAATTACCTTATATTTATTTAGTAAATATTTTGGGGGGAGCTAGCATGTGCAAGGTGCTATGCTAGGTCCTGGGAATATTGAGACAAACAAGCCAGACATCGTCCCTGTCCTTGCAGAACTTAACTTGCAGTTTTGAATTAATGCCTGAGTTTAGAAATGGTTTCAATTACTAAAAATAAATAAAGTCTGAGATTTACAGTTTTCAACTGTGTTTTGTTCTGTAGTAAAGTTCTGAGTAGGTCTTATATCATTGACTTTTAGCACTACTAGCTTTGTTTTTTTCCCCTTACAGGAGAAATGCTCTCGTATGGGAGTCGGCAAGAGGTGGAAATCAGAGGATGCTCACTTTGGTGTGTTGAGTTGATCCGGGATTGTCTTCTGGAACTTATTGAAAAAAAGGGTGAAACAACTGGTGGAGAGATCAATTCCATTCTTCTGGATTATTACTTATGGGACTATGCCCGTGATCACAGGGAAGATATGAAAGGAATTCCATTTCATCGAACACGTTGCATATATTATTGACCCGAAGTGTAAACTGATCCAAAGAAAACTCTTTACATTTTTATATCACATAATCATTTATACAATTTCACTTTGATATTAAGAGAAGATGGTGGGATTAATTTCTCCTGATTTATCATGTGTTTTCCCAAATATATCCTTTTTCTGCTTTTTAACTTTAACTCTATTTTCCCTTTTTGTGGACACATGACAGAAATAGTGAAGGAACTTTAATGCTTCCTTTAAATCTCACATTTCTTAAAATCATGTCATAATTTGATTAATCTTCAGTGACAATATTTCATCTATTCAGCTGGTATCATTTCTCAAGGTATAATTTTCTATGTATCGTAATCATTTGTTATGAGAAGGGGATGGGTAGGGTCTTTGTTGTATAAATGCTGCTGCTCTTATAAAAAAATTAGCTTGACAGCTTACTATCAACTTTTTATCAGTAATGACAGAGTTTTGTACATAATGATTTCAGTTGAGGATATTGGTCTGTCTAGGTTTTTTTCTTTCTTTTTTTTTTCAGAGTAACTGCATTGAAACTGAATAAAGATTTTTAAAACTTTTCTTAAACCTGGAATGGATCATTCCATTAAAATAGAATTTACCAGATATATTTTTAAAAGGTTTGCAATGGATTTGGTTATTTATATTTCAGAACTCTCATTGCCTATCATGCACTTATTTCCCACTTTCATCCCCATCTTCTAACATAATCTTCGTTTTCGCTATCTTATCTAACTTGTCAGCCACCTGTAAATCAAAAAGATGTCTTTTCCCCAAACACTTTACTGCCATCTGCTGGAAACTTGTCATAATGACCTTACAAATGACAATGAACAGAACGTGAGTGCCACCCTCCATGTCTCCCCGGAATGTTGTTTTGCACAACTTGCACCATTACAAGTAGTGGCTTTGTATCTCCCTCCACTGTGTGGAGCAGGGGCAGTTATTGAAGAAATAGAAGTCTGCTTATGGAAAGGAAAAGGGATGGCAGGCAGCCTAAACAACCTTGTCGTCCACACCTTTGTGTGTTCAAAATTCTTCAGCAGGTGGGGATCATTTCAAATTGAGAACTGCTGAAGAAGAGCTAGGAAAAGGGTAAGGCTACATTCTGAGTTGGTTCAAGGAAAGAACTAGCCCAGTTTTCCATCTGGAGGTGGGAAAAACCTAATAACTCCCTTCTTTCACCATTCCCATTTTGACATTCTCTAGATAAACTAAGGGTTTGTTGGCATATAAATCAGTATTCTTTGGTTGTAAGAATGTAATTCAATTATTAAGATTCAATAACTTTGATGAGGCCTGAATTAAAAGAAACAATAGGTCACAATGCAATTCAGTAAGAAGTCTACACATACTTACTTTGAGGAATGAAAATGATACTTGGAAAGCAAAAATCGATGAGATCATAATTACACCACACATCCTCAACTCCCCAAAAAATCCTATTAGGTGACCATTATTCTCAAAATCAATAAATAAAAGTATGTATTGTGCCATTTCTATACTAATGGCATTTCAGGATAATCTGATGGAGGGAAACTCTCCTTTATAGAATAATTACAATTAAATATAAAAAGGAATATTAGAATTAGAAAATTACCATTTTGGAATCCCTAGTGAAATAATAGGCCTGGAAAATGATCATCAGTAGCTTTTAAAACCATTAGGTAAAATGTTGATGGGAAACTTTTAATGGATAGATTAGGTTGAAAGCACCTACTACTAATCTTAACATCACTAAAAGTGGGATATACAGATGTTATGTGCCTGCTAGTGTGTTGTAATAGGAAGTACACAGTCCCATTTGTGAATTATTTTTGCCAGAAAAATTGAACCTGAATCTAATCAAGAATCTAGATCTAACTGCTAGTTTACAGGAAATGTAGGAAATGAAGGAACAAGTGAAATGACAACAGACAGATGCAGTGGCCAAATCAATAATGTGAAGTATTCTAAAGGACAAATGGCATAGTTTCTTTAACAATTAAATGGTGAAAAGAAAAAAGGTGGTGATTAGCAAGGATATGGAGAAATTGGAAGCCTGTGCACTGCTGGTGGAAATGTAAATGGTGCAGCCACTCTGGAAAATAGTATGGCAGTTCTTCAAAAAATAACAAGTAGGATTATCATATGATCCTGTGATTCCACTTAGGGGTATATATCCAAAAAGACTTGAAAGGTGGATCTTAAAGTGATATTTGTGTATCCTTGTTCATAGCAGCATTAGGCACAACAGCCAAAAGTTAGAAGCAACCCAGGTGTCCAACAAGAGATAAATGGATAAACAAAAGGTGGATATTATTCCACACAATGGAGTATTATTCAGTCTTAAAAAAGGAATTCTGACACATGCTACAACATGGATGAACCTTTAGGACATTATGCTAAGTGAAACAAGCCAGTCACAAAAGGACAAATACTGCATGGTTCCAGTGTATGAAGTACCTGGAGTATTCAAATTCACAGAGAACAAAGTACAACTGTGGTTGCCCAGGCCTGGAGAAAGGGGTGAGTGGGGAACTATTGTTTAACTTAAGGGTATAGGGTACCAGGTTTTCAAAATAAAAGAGTTCTGGAGATCAATTGCACAGCAATATAAATGCACTTAACAGTACTGAACTGCATACTTAAAAATGGTTAAGAGAGTACATTTTATGTTATGTGTATTTTACCACAATTTTCATAAAGGTGGAGGGTACCTGTTATTGCTTAAAAGAGAATTAAGCAGCATGTCAACCAAACAGTACATGTGGACCATGTTTGGATCTTGACGGTAAATAAACTGTGAGAGAAGGGGTGGGAAGGGAAGAGAAAGGAGAGAGAGGCATTATGTAGAAGACTAGCATAGTCTTTGGGGAGGCAGTGTTGACTTCGTCATCTGACACACATAGACTTCAGATTGCCTCTGCCACTTACCAACCTTGTAGCCTTAAGCAAATTACTTGTTTTCTGTTTTTAATTTTTGTTTCTATAAATATTTATTAAATGTATGCAATGACCTTAGTAGATACTGTTTTAAACACTGACTGCTTAACAATGGGAACATAAATAATACATGGTCTCTGCTGATACTGAGGAATAAAATGTGAGAAAGAAATGGCAGAGATAAGTCTAGAAAGGTAAGCAAAACAGTAGAATATGGAAGGCCTTGTATGCCATGTCAAGAAGACTGGACTTTATCATAAAGAGCCATTGAAGTTCTTACTTTTTAAAAGTTGTCCTTTGTTTCTAAAAATCATATACATTAAGAAAAAATAAAATGCAATCCCAAATAAAAATTTCAGTGGAACTTCTGGAAATTGTCAAACCGACTCAAAAGTTATTTAGGAAGACAAATGCCAAGAGCAGCTAAGGAAACTTAGAACAGTAAGGAGGGCTTGCCCTATCAGATAGCAAAATATACCAGAAAGTAGTAATTAAAGCAGTATAGAATTGGTACAGAAATTAAATTAATTGATATAACAGAATGGAGGTATCCTTTAAATAAACTCATGAGTATATGGAAAAATGTTCTATTCCATTGACCCTAAGACATAACTTTTCACATTTCACTTCAAGAGTTTTATGAATTAAAATTAATTTTCTTATTTAAGATAATCTGATTTGGAGTTTCTGTTACTTATAACATAAAGTGCTCTAATGATAAACTTTTCATACAAGTCTCTTTTCCTTCTTTAAGTAATCCAGAGTTGGTTTCTGTTCCTTGAAACCAAGACCCTAATTGATTCAACTTTAAAAATGGCCTACAATCAGAACAGAAATAAATGAAACAGTCTAAAAACAACAATACAAAAGATCAATGAATCTAAGAGCTGGTTCTTTGAAAACATAAACTTGATTGACAAACCTTTAACCAGACTCATAAAAGAAGAAAAAGAGCCCCAATAAATAAAATCAGAAATGAAAGAGGAGAAATAACAATGGACTGCAAAGAAATACAAAGGACTGTAAGAAAATATTATGAACAACTCTATGCCAATAGATTGGACAACATGGATGAAATGGATAAATTCCTAGAAACATACAATCTAAAACTAAATCAGGAAGAATCAGAATTTGAATAGACAGATTACACCCGGTGAAATTGAAGCAGTAATCAAAAAACTCCCAGCAAACAAAAGCCTTGGACTAGATGGCTTCTGAGGGGAATTTTACCAAATATTCCAAGAAGAACTAACACCTCTTCTTCTAAAAATATTTCATAAAATTCAAAAGGAGGGAAGGTTGCCAAACTCATTTTATAAGGTCAGCATTATCCTAATTCCAAAACCAGATAAGGACACTGCAAAGAAAGCAATTTATAGGCCAATACCCCTGATGAACACACATGCAAAAATCCTCAACAGAATATTAGCAAACCAAATACAGCAATGCATCAAAAAGGTCATTCACCACGATCATGTGGGATTTATTTCAGGAATGCAAGTTTTGTACATTTGCAAATTAGTAAATGTGATATACCACATAAACAAAATGAAGGATAAAAACATCATGATCATATCAATAGACACAGAAAAAGCTTTTGATAAAATCCAGTACCCATTTATGATAAAAACTCTCAGCAAAGTGGGATTAGAAGGAACATATCTAAACATAATAAAGGCCATATATGACAAACCCACTGCCAGCATCATACTCAATGGTCAAAATCTACGAGTTTTCCCTTTAAGATCAGGAACAAGACAGGGATGTTCACTTTCATCTCTTATTCAACGTAGTACTGAAAGTTCTAGCTATAGAAATCAGACAAAAAGAAGAAATAAAAGGCATACAAATTGGAAAGGAAGACATAAAACTGTCATTATTGGCAGATGATATGATATTACACATAGAGAACCCCAAAGATTCCACCAAGAAACTACTAGAACTGATAAATGAATTCAGCAAAGTAGCAGGATACAAAATTAATATCCAGAAATCAGTGGCATTTTTATATGCTAATAATAAATAAACAGAAAGGGAAATTAAGAAAACAATCCCATTCATAATTGCTTCAAAAAGAATAAAATACCTAGGAATAAACCTAACCAAGGATGTAAAAGACCTGTACTTGGAAAATTATAAGATACTGAAGAAAGAAATTGAAGAAGATACAAATAAGTGGAAGCATTTACTGTGTTCATGGATAGGAAGAATTAACATCATTAAAACATCCTTACTACCCATAGCAATCTATAGATTCAATGCCTATCAAGATGCCAATGATGTACTTCACAGGACTAGAACAAATATTGGAAAACTGTATATGGAACCACAAAAGGCCCCTCACAGTGATCCTGAGAAAGAAGAACAAAGTTGGAGGAATCCCATTACCTAATATCAAACTATACTATGAAGCCATAGTAATGAAAACAGCATGGTGCTTTTTAAAAAACAGACACATAGATCAATGGAACAGAACAGAGAGCTCAGAAATAAACTCATAACTTTATTGTCAACTAATATTTGACAGAAGAAGCAAGCATATACAATGGGCTAAACATAGTTTATTTAATAACTGGTGTTGGGAAAATTGGACAGATATGTGTAGAAAAATGAAACTAGACCACCTTATAGCACTCACAAGAATAAATTCAAAATGGTTCAAAAACTTAAATGTTAGACCCATAACCATAAAAATGGTAGAAGAAAACATAGGCAGGAAAATCTTGGACATTACTTGTCCAGTTTTTCATCAGATATATCTCCCCAGGTAAGGGAAACAAAAACAAACAAAAAATATGAACAAACAGAACTACATTAAGCTAAAAATTTTTTGCACAGTAAAGGAAATCCTCAACAAAATAAAAAGACAACCCACAGAATGGAAGAACATATTCACTGATACATCTTATAGGGGGTTAATATAAAAAGTTTGTAAGCCCTGGCTGGTGTGGCTCAGTGGATTAAACACTGGCCTGTGAACTAAGAAGCTGTCAGTCGGATTCCCAGTCCAGACACATGCCTGGGTTGCAGGCCAGGTCCCCAGTTGGGGGCACGTGAGAGGCAACAGAATCTCTCGCACATTGGTGTTTCTATTTCTCTTTCCCTATCTCTAAAAGAAATAAAATAAAAATAAATCTTAAAAAAATGTGGTGGCTCAGGCTTTAAAAAAAGCTTATAAAGTATTTACAAAACTCACCCCCCCAAAAAAAAACAATTTAAAAATGGGTCTTTAAGGACCTGAAAGACTCTTCTCCAAAGAGGACATGCAGATGGCCAATAGACATATGAAAAGATGCTCAACATAACTAATCATCAGAGAAATGCAAATTAAAACCACAATGAGATACCATCTCACACCTGTCAGAATGGCTATCATCAATAAGTGAACAAACAACAAGTGCTGGCAAGGATGTGGAGAAAGGGGAACACTTTTGCACTGCTGATGGGAATGCAGGTTGGTGCAGCCACTGTGGAAAGCAGTATGGAGGTAACTCAAAAGATTAAAAATGGATCTGCCTTTCAACTCAGCTATCCCACTCCTGGGGATACATCCAAAGGAACCCAAAAACACTAATTCGAAAGAACACAAGGACCCCTATGTTCATTGCAGTGTTATTTACATTTATTAAGATATGGAAGCAGCCCAACTATCCATCAATGGAGGAGTGGATATAACAACTATGGATTTACACAATGGATTACAACTCAGCTGTAAAAAAGAATAAAATTTCACCTTTGTGAAGGTATGGATGGACCTGGAGAATGTTATGCTAATTGAAATAAGCCAGTCAGAGAAAGGCAAATGCCATATGATTTCACTCATATGTGGAATCTAATGAACAAAATGGACAAACAAAATATAGACTCATAGATGGAGAGCAGATGACAGCTAGTGGGGGTGGTATGCTACAGGGTGGAGGGATTGAGCAAAAAGGAAAAAGGACTCATGGACATGGGCAACAGTGTGGTGATTGTGGGCAGTGGTAATGGGAAAAAAATATATATTTTTTAATTTTTATTTATTTTTAGATAGAGGGGAAAGGAAGGAGACAGGGAGAGAAACAGCAATATGTGGTTGCCTCTTGTGTGCCCCTAGGTATGTATGTACCCTGCAACCCAGTCTGCAACCCAGGTATGTACCCTGACTGGGAATTGAACTGGCAACCCTTTGGTTCCCAGGCCGGTGCTCAAGCCACTGAGCTACACCAGCCAGGGTTAAATATTATATACTTTAAAAAGATTCATTTTATGCAAACTTCAATAAAAATAAATTGAATTGGTAGCTAAAATGTTGAAACTCAATGCGAGTCACATTCGTTCTATAAATGTGTCAAAAGTTACTTTGTCTTTTTTAAAATTTTTATTTATTGATTTTAGAGAGCTAGAGTAAAGGAGAGAGAGTGCGAGAGACACCTAAACACGTATTCGTTGTTCCACCATTGATGCATTTTATTGGTTGATTCTTGTGTGTGCCCTGACTCGGGATGAAACTCGCAATCTTGGCAAATGGGAAGGACTACCCGGCCAGGGCCTGGCCGCAGAGAGTTACTTTGGCTCAGTAGTTTGAGAAGGGTCGTTGGGTGCCGGATTTTCAGCGACGCCGGAAGGTAGGCCTCCAGGTGCCCCGCAACCTGCTCCCCAGAGGCGGGGCGGGATTGACAGGGTTTGTACAACCTCCGCGGATCCCCCGCTCGATTGAGCCTGACAGGGCTTGGGGGCGGGGCCAGCACGCAGCGTGGCGGCTGGCTGGGAGGGGCGGTGGCGTCCGGCTTCGCCGGTTGCCAGGAGAACCCGTGACAACAAAAGGCGCAGGCGGCGGCGGCGGCGGCGCGTTGGAGGGAAACCCAAGAGTTCTGCGCTGTGCTCGCCGCCGGAGACCGAGGCTTTCTCCTGCCGGTCAGTGCGCGGCGTGGGGTGGGGGTGCGGGGGGGGGCGGCGGCTGGGCTAGCAGGGTCAGGTGGGGTGCGGCGTCCTGCCGTCCTGCTGTCCTGCAGCGCCCCGGGCCTGCCGTTGGGAGGAGGAAGCGCCGGCCAAGAGTGGGGCTCTCGGGGTTGGGGTCTGCCGCGGGAGGGCTCAGGGTGGGGGGCGGTTGGGGCACCGGCGAGGCCGACGAGGGTGCCCGAGGGGTACTGGGACCCCAGCCTAGCGGTCGGAGGAAGTTGGATCCCTCTGAGAAGGGCAGAGGGAATAGGGATGCGGGATCGAGCGGCACTGGGTCCGATCCTGGTGTATTTTTCGTGGTGGTACTTCCGAGTGCGGGATCTGGAAGGTATGGGAAGGCCCACCTCCTTTGGGGCTTTCGTTTTGTGTGTCGCAGGCCGTCTTCTTTCCGTCCCGGATGTTGAAACTTGGCGCATTCTAAGGGCTGTATATAGTAAATCCGATAGCCCCTCCCTCAGACGTAGTTCATAAATTGATAAAGAAAGGGTGCCCAAATTCTTTCTTTAAAACTTTTCAAATAACACCGCCCTCTTCAAGTTTTTAAAACTTCGTTGTTGTCCCTCTTTCGTATCTTCTCCACTGACTTCTTTATGTATTTGGAGCTTTTTCTGAGATCCTTATGCGACTCACTGTCCAGTTGCTGGGAAATTTCTTATGGAAATACTAACAAGCCACAGTTTTTAGACAACCACTATCTCTGAAAAACCAAGGGCACAGGATGGCAACAGTATTTGGAAGCACTTATTTCTGATTAATGACACGACAACAATCGTCAAATATTTCTCTTGCCTTTGCTAAGCTTTCGAACTTCCATCGAGTATGCCTGAATAGTACTAGCCAGTCAGATTTCCCCTTTCTTTACATTCAGTGATGGCATAATACTTATGCTTCTGATCACTGTTATTGACCAGAACCTGAAGAAGTATAAGTGCTGTGGATTTTTTTATCACATCCTTGTATATTAATTTTTTGCAAGTCCTTGTCTTTGTAGCCAAATTACTATTATAAAGACCAAGGAAATGAAAATATCCCAATTACACTTAGCACTACTTTCAATTTCTTTGGAAGTAATTAGGCTTGGCTTAACCCAAACCGTGTTTTAATGTGATGGCATTAAAAAAAAACTAATCTATATGATGAAAACTAATGTAGGTGTTCTGAGACATTTGGAAGAACCACCTCAACACAGCATCTCTGCAATTTCTTTGGAGAAGTTTACAGTACCAAATGATTGTAGAGTCCTTTAGGGTCCTAGAAAAGATTTACCAAACATATGAGTATTTATTTTTTTCGGTGCTGAATATTAGTAGAATGAATAAAACTGGCAAGGTTAGATGCATCTCTGTGGCCATAAAGATAGTTTGCTGACTCTGTTTTGGAATTTTGCAGCCCAAGGAGCTGATTTTTTAAAAACTCTTAGTGGGCCCTTAGTAGAGTGATGTAAATGTTTTTTGTTATTGTGATCCTTTTCAGACTTACTCACTCACTGCAGAGTTTTTTTTTAAAGGCTAGCGAATAGTATATATGTCTTAATTAACATTTCCATGGCAAGTAGTGCTAAAAACGTTATTTTAGTTTTAGCCTGCTAGGTTACTTAATGATGCTGTTCAAGACTTGCCTTCTCCCAAACTGATTTTTTTCATCATCTGCACTAAGCATTATCATAGGTTACTGGTTACATTTTTAAACCTTTTATCCTACCAAGACAGTATTCCTGTACAAGTTTTTGTGAACAGATGTTTTCATTTCTGTTACGTATGTATCGAAGAGTAGAGTTTCTGGGTCAAATGATAACCCTTTGTTTAACTTACTGAGCAAGTGCCAGATTGTTTTACAAAGCAATTGCGTTATTTCACATTTCCATCAGAAGTGTATGAGGGTTTTGTCTTCTCTATTGTCTTGCTAACGCTTATGATCTGTCTTTTTGACTATAGTTGTGTTAGTGGGCATGCTGTGGTATCTCACTGTGGTTTTGATTGCATTTCCTGGGTAACTAATAATTGAGCATCTTTGCCTCTGCTTATTGCGCATTTTAATATTTTCCTTGAAAAAATATCTTTTCAGAGCCTTTGCCCATTAAAAAATTTTTTTAGTATTGAGTTGTCATAGTTCTTTATATATTCCAGATACAGATCTTTATTAGATATACTTGCAAATGGTTTCTCACATTCAGTGAGTTGTCTTTTCATTGTGTCCTTGATGGTGTCTTTTGAAGCATAAAACTTTTAAATTTGGTTAAGTGCATTTTATCAATTTTTCCTTTTATTGCTCATTGCTCTTGCTTTTGGTGTCCTATATGAAAAACCATTGCCAAATCCAAAGTTAGGAAGAGTTACCCTTATGTTTTCTTTTAAGAATTTTATAGTTTCACCCTGACCATTGTGGCCCAGTGAGTGGGGCATCATCCCCAAAAGAAAGGTTACTGGTTTGATTCCTGGTCAGGGCACATGCCTGGGTTGTGGGCCAGGTCCTGAGTTGGTGGTGTGCTGAGGGCATGCAAGAGGCAACCGATTGATGTTTCTCTTTCATATCACTGTTTCTCTCTATCTCTTTCTCTCTCCCTTACCCTCTCTTTAAAAAATAAATAAATAAGATCCTTAAAAAATAATTTTATAGTTCAACCATTGCTCTTAGGTCTATGAGCCATTTTGAATTAACTTTTATGTATATGAGATAGGAGTCCAATTTCATTCTTATGACTGTGGCTGTGCATTGTCCCATGTCTATTTGTTGAAAAGACCATGTTTCCTCATTAAATTGTCTTGGCATGCTTTTGTAAATTAGTTGCCTATAAATGTGATTGATTATTTCTGGATTCTCAATTCTTTTCCATTAATATTTTTCCCCATATTAAATTTCTTTTTTCATTGAATTTATTGGGGTGACATTGGTTAATAAAATTATATAGGTTTCAAGTATACACTTCTATAATACATCATCTGTATATTGTGTTGTGTGTTCACCACCTCAAGACAAGTCTCCTTCCATCACCATTTACCCCCCTTTTACCTTCTATCTTCCCTTTTTCATTTGATTTTTAAGTCTGGCCTATGCCCATACATACTGTCTTGATTACTATTGCTTGCTTTTTTTTGTAAGATTTTACTTATTTTTAAACAGAGGGAAAGAGAGGGAGAAACATCGATATGTGGTTGCCTCTCACACATCCTGCTTTGGAGACTTGGCCTGCAACCCAGGCATGTGCCCTAACTGGGAATTGAACCAGTGATCCTTTGGTTTGCAGCCTGCGCTCAATCTACTGAGCTACACCAGCCAGGCCTATTGCTTGGTTTTAAAATTGGGGGAGTATGTCCTCCAATTTTGTTCTCTTTCACTATTGTTTCTGCTATTCTGTGTCCCTTGAATTTGCATATGAATTTTAGGATTAGCTTGTCAAGTTCTGCAAAGGAGTCAGTTAGGATTATGGTAAGAGTTGTGTTGAATGTGTAGATCAGTTTGGGAAATACTGTCATCTTAACAATGTTGTCTTCCAATCTGTGAACTTGAGATGTTTTTCCCCATTTATTTAGATCTTTACTTTCTTTCAACATTATTTTGTAGTTTTCAAAGTGTCAGTTTTACACATCTTTAAAAAAATGTATTCCTAAGTATATTTATTCTTTTGATGCTAATGTAAATGGAATTTTTTTAAACGGAAGCCATTTTATTTTATTTTAAGGTTTATTTATCTATTTTTAGAGAGGGAAGGGAGGGAGAAAGAGAGAGAGAAACATGAATGTGTGGTTGCTGGGGGCCGTGGCTGCAACCCTGGCATGTGCCCTGGCTGGGAATTGAACCTGTGATACTTTGGTTCTCAGCCCGCATTCAATCCACTGAGCTACGCCAACCAGGGCATAAATGGAATTTTTTTTAAAAGATTTTATTTATTACTTTAAAGAGAGGGGAAGGGAGGGAGAAGGAGAGGGCGAGAAACATCAGTGTGTGAGAGATCATGATCAGTTACCTCTCACATGCCCCTGATCAGGGGCCTGGCCTGCAACACAGGCATGTGCCCTGACTGGGAATCAAATCAGCGACCTGTCAATTTGCAGGCTGGCACTCAGTCAGTCCACTGAGCCACACCAGCCAGGGTGGAATTGTTTTCTTAATTTATTTTTCAAGTTGTTCGTTATAAGTGTAGCTACCAATTTAAAATTTTTTAATCCTTACCTGAGGACATTTCTTCATTGCTGTTTAGAGGGGAAGGAAGGGAGAGAGAGAAACATCAATGTGAGAGAGAACCATCAATAGGTTGCCTTTTGTAAGTGCCTGGGCTGGGGATCCTATGTGCCCAGACTGGAGAATGAATCCTCAAGCTAGGTGTATGCCCTGACAGGCAATGGAACCTGCAACCCTTAGGGTACATGATGATGCTCCAACCAACTGAGCCACACCAGTCAGTGTGCAGTTTAATTTTAATGTATTAATTCTACATTTAGAGAACCTCAGAAATATGTTGAACATAATTTAGGAGTGCAAAAGCAGTTTTTCTGTTAGTTTTGATTATTTTGAATAAAAACTTCCTTTTAAATTTATATTGACTTTTGGAAATCCTTGTAATTATTTCATGGGTTTATTTATATAATATTTGTGGCAAAGAAGAGGTGTTATTTTTCAATGTGTAGCTATAAAACCTAGTACCAGGACTTGCTTTTAACACCTGTGTACAATTTCCTAGTTATTTTCTTGCCTTAATTTTCTAACTCCCTAATTATTCAATATTTAGATTGAGCTGGGAAACAGCATTACAGAAAGACGGGCACATTGAATCCCATGTGCTTTTATTTAGTTTCATCACTTATCAATACATGATATCAATACATTTATCAATATCAATAACCTTCATTCCCTAGGTTATTTTATAGCAAATCCAGACATTGTATCATTTCATCTGTAAATTATAGATGTACTTTCACAAGACAGACTCTTTGTAACTATCTTATTTTGGAGCAAAACCTGCTGTAATTGACTTTGCTTTAGATGATGATTTGTTTATTAGGGTAGAAGAGTCCGTAATTAAATTTTGTTTTTATTTTGATACACAGGAGTCCAGATCTTATGTAAAATGGATGTTTCTCACACTAGACATTGAATGTGAAGTAGAGAATCTATTTAGTAAAATCTAAGCTGCCATGGAAGAAATACCAGTAAAAGTTGCTGTAAGAATTAGACCTCTGCTCTGCAAAGAAGTTCTTCATAATCATCAAGTTTGTGTGAGAGTTATTCCAAACACCCAGCAAATTATCATTGGGAGAGATAGAGTCTTTACTTTTGATTTTGTTTTTGGCAAAAATTCCACTCAAGATGAAGTTTATAATATGTGCATAAAGCCACTTGTGTTGTCACTCATCGAAGGCTATAATGCAACTGTTTTTGCCTATGGACAAACTGGATCTGGGAAGACATACACCATCGGAGGAGGCCATGTTGGTAAGATTCTCATACTCTTTGACTTTTGAAACACTTGAATGAAACGAAAATATGACCATACCTGACTCATAGTAGGTGCTCGGCATATTGAGTGAGTGAAATAATGAATAGGATAGTCAGATGCGTCCATATGTCATCTTTGAAACATTTGTTTTTAAGGGGGAGGGTGGTGGGAGGGGGTGGAGGAGGGTGTAAGGGGATAAAAGGTGAGGGAAGGAGGCTGGGCTTGGGGTGGTGAACACAATACAGTGCACAGATGGCGTGTTGTGGAACTGTACACCTGAAACCTGTGTGATTTTGTTAACCAGTGTCACCACAATAAATTCAATACAAAGAAAAAAATAGCAAAGGAAAAACATTTGTTTTTAGAAATTGAAGTTTTATTAAACAACTTAATTTGCAATTATAGTTGTTTGAGGAATGATTTGATATACATTTATATTGCAAAATCATTACCACAGTTTAACATCAGTTACCTCACATAGTTTCAAATTGTTTTTTTTTTCTTGTGATGAGAAATCTTAGCAACTTTCAAATATACAATACAGAATTGTTAACTATAGTCATTGTGCTGTGTATTACAGCCCCAGGTCTTAGCTTGTGGCTTTTGATTACCTTCACCCATTTCCCCCACCTCCCACCCCCTGCTTCTGGCAACCCTTTGTCATTTTGAATGGAATTTAAATTAGAGAGACATGAATGAACATAATTAGACTTTGCATCTTTTAATAGTTCACTTGTAAATATTAGGAGTCCTGTAACTAGAACATAGAGGAATATAAGAGAAATTTACTATGTAGTTTAAAGTGTCTTCCCCCCGACATTTCCTAGCCAGATTTCAGTTTTTTACAGCTTTATTGGTGTATAGTTGACAAATAAAATTGTGAGATCTTTTAAGTGTTCATTGGGATGATTTGGTATACAAGTATGTGTACATTGTAAAGGATTCTTCCCTTCTAGTTAACACATCCATTACCTCACTATATACAGATTTCTATTTTAAATACTGTATACTTTAGGATATAATTTTTCCTGCTTGTAATTATAGTTTGGGAAAGGTGGTTTCATAAGATTCCTTTAGGGCTGGAAGGAACCTTGAAAATCATTTCTCTTCCTTTATTAAGTGAGGAGCTCCAGCCGCAGAATGATTAAGGGCTCATTGAGTCGGGTGGCTGGTGACTGCACTGGACTGGAAAGCCATGTCCTCTGTTGAGACTGTTTACTGTATTGGCAATTGGCATTTTCATACTAAAAGCAATCTTTTGAATGTTGTGCATATACATGATTGTTTAAAATTATCATTAGTAATGTCTGTATGTGTAATGGTTTTCAGTATTTTTTTCTACGTTCATACTTCTCAAAGGTGGAATATGTGACTTTCAGAAACATCTCTCATTAAGTGCAGGGATGTGGGGGTGAGGTTTGGAAGGTGTCTGTGTGGTTTGAGGAGGCCCTCACTCCAAAGATTAAATGGAGGGGCCTTCAGTGCCCAATGCCACTATCCTTCCCATTTTTTAAGGATCACTGGTATACAGGATTAGGAGACTCAAGATACGAGATTATTTTAGGTTTTCAAAATAAATTTCAGGCTCTCTACCATTGTGGCTTTTTTTGAAGATTGTATTTTTTAAATAATTTTTTTTGCTTTTAGATTTTATTTGTTAGTTTTTAGAGAGAGGGGAAAGGAGGGAGAAAATGAGGGAGAGAGACAGTGATCGGTTGCCTCTTGCAGGCCTCCACCTGGGGACCTGGCCTGCAACCCAGGCATGTGCTGTGACTGGGAATTGAACCTGTGGCCTTTAGGTTCACAGGCCGGTGCTCAGTCCACTGGCTGGAGCCACACCAGCCAGGGCTGTATTTTTTTCATTTTGATTGGCCAGTATTTTATGACCTTAAAGACTCAGTATGTGCATTATACTAATAGGGGTATGAAGTGTTCAGATCTTGGTGACAGTTGTAGCTATAGTTTTCTTTAAAGAGGCCATGAGTGTAATTTTAATTCCTTAAGGGAAAAAGTTATATATCATCCTAAAATACTTTAACTGCTCCAAGGCACTCTATACCCAGAGAAATAGATCACCATTAGAAACTATTTTGATGGTGTTTTCCCCCTAGTTTAATATATATATATATATTAATTTTTTCATTGGAAAAACAGTTGTCAGGTGATGATTAAGAAATTAAATGCCCCTTTCATCCCCAGGAAATAACATTTGATGTGTGCCATTCTAGAGTCCTGCAGACATTCTCCTAAGCATGTTACAGATGCACATGTAGTTTTTGCTTCTCTTTTTTGTTTGTTTAATGAGATATTACACCTATGGTTCTGTAACTTTCTTTTCGCATCTAACCATACAAAATATCATTTAATTTTTTCCCATTTGGGTTATAGAATTTAATTTCATTTTTTGGCTGTATAGCATTTTATAATTTGAATGGGTCATGGTTTTTTTTTTTTAAGATTTTATTTATTTATTTTCAGAGAGGGAAGGGAGGGAGATAGAGAGAGAGAAACATCAATGTGTGGTTGCTGGGGGTCATGGCCTGCAACCCAGGCATGTACCCCCCTGACTGGGAATCGAACCTGCCACACTTTGGTTCGCAGCCCGAGCTCAATCCACTGAGCTATGCCAGCCAGGGCGAATGGGTCATGTTTTATTCATTCCAGTATTAATGGACATTTAGGTTGTTCCTGATTTTTACTCATAAAAGAAGTTGCATTACATATCTTTGTACATTTAACTTTCATTTGTGTATTAGTATTTCTATGGGATATATTTCTAGAAGTGGATTTGGGGAATCAACCACATTTAAAATGTGGACAGATACTGACAAATTACCCCCCAAAAAGGTTGTTCCAATTTATATGTATTCTCACCATCAATATATGAAAGCCATTTGTTCATATCTTTATCATTTCCTGGACATACAAATCCAAAGTATTTTTTCTTTACCATCTCATAAAGTGAAAAATTGTACCGTGTTGTTTGTATATTTGTGAAATTAGTGAGCATTTTCAGTTTTCCATGCTGACACCAATTCTGGGTCAGTTGTCTGCTGTTTGATTATTGGCCATGCAAATAATGTTGGGGTTCCCCTCCCCAGTAAATACTTCATTGAGCATTTGCAGTGTTTAGGGTACCCTGCTAGTTTCTGTGGCAGGGTGAAAATTTCTTATTTTAAATATGATCTTTATTTAAACTAATATTAATTTTCCTACTTTTCAGAATCTTGGATGTACTGGCTTTTACCAGGCATAATCTTCTCTAAAAACTTTCATTTCTGTACTTTTAAAATAGCATATAATAGCTACTGAGCTAATGGCTGCTGAAATATAAAACTTTGTAAGTTCTCTATATGAAATAGTTTATTTCAAAAAAAAAATATGCAAGAAAGAAACTAGGAATATAAGCCTAACGTTGAAATGTGGTTTTTAGGTTACCAAAATATGTATTTGAAGCTTTATTATAAATATCATTTGAAATTGAGTTTTTTGATAAGTCTTTTGAATTTTTGTACTGCTTTGTTATCTATGTGGTAGGGAATGATCAGTTACTTATAGTGGCTAATCCAGAATGCTTAACATATACTGTAGTGTATAGATACTGCTATTGGCAAGTTCCTGAAAACTACCAAAAAGGAATCTTTCTCCCTTGTATTACAAAACCTACAACTTCCTTTACTTGCCACACGATGGCAGTATTGTATCTTAAATTAGGTGAAAGGCAGCCCAATTTAATAGAGGTTCAGATTTTCAGGATGAGTGTTGCCAAAAATCTAAACATTGGTAATCTTCAACTTGAAAGCAAGTTTGTGTTAAGGTACATTTATAAGCCAGTGTTTTGTAACTTTTTTTCTGTGGAACAATGCTGAAAATGGTGGGTGGGTTTCTTTCTAAATTGGCCTGTAGAAGTTCATTCAACCTTAAGTCTCAATTTAGTCTTTCACTTATTTTAAAGTTTATCTTGTACTTTTTTTATTATTTTAAAAATTGTGGATAAAATTTACCATTGTAACCATTTTAAGAATATAGTTCTCTGACTTTAAATTCAGTGTTTCCCAACCATCACTGCTGTTTTTCAGCAACCAAAATGTAGAGAAACTTTGTAACCATTAAGAAATAACTTCCCTCCCCCTGGTAACCTCTAGTTTACTTTCTTTCTCTATGAATTTTCATCTTCTAGATATTTCTTAGAAGGGATGTATACACTATTTGTTCTCCTGTGTCTGGATTCTTTCACTTTCAGAACTTCCTTTTTATGACTGAAGAATATTCCATTTTATTGCTGTGTCATATTTTGTTTATCCATTCCTCTGTTGGTGGGCACTTGAGTTGTTTCCCCCTTCTGGCTATTGTGAATAATGCTGCTGGGGACATTGGTGTGCAAGTATTCTGAGTCTCTTGTATGCACTTTTATTCATTCATAATGTTACTGTACTGATCTGTGTGCTGGGTTGTGGAAGTGATGAAGGAGAAGAGGATTGAGAGGCTTCTGACTGTACTTTTCCCCCTGATCTCATCCAGTTTCATGACATTAAAAACTATATGTAGCTGACTTCCAGGGTTTTTTTTTAACCCCCAGTCCAGACTACTGTCTTGAACTCTGGACTTATATATTCAAATGCCTATTTAGTCTTTGCAGTCTGATGCTAACAGACATCTCAAGCCTAATTGGTCAAAAAAATGAACTTAATCGCCCTGGCTGGTGTGGCTCAGTGTATTGAGTGCTGTCCTGTGAACCGAGGGGTCGCTGGTTCTATTCCCAGTTGGCATATGCCTGGGTTGCAGGCTGGGTCCCCAGTTGGGGGCATGAGAGAGGCAACCACACATCAATGTTTCTCTCCCTCTCTTTCTCCCTCCCTTCCCCCCTCTCTAAAAATAATTAAGTAAAATCTTTAAAAAAAAAAAAAAGAACTGCCATTTCCCCCTCAAACCACTTCAATCCCTGCTCTTCCCCACATCTATTAATGGCAACTCTAGTGGCTTAAGACAAAACCTTGGAGTCATTGCTAACTCATTGCTTTCTCTCACATCCCAGTTCCAATCTGCCAGGGGATTTTAATGTTGTTCCCTTCAACATGAACCAAGAAGCAGGTCACTCCTCACCTTTTCTCTGCTGCCATTCTGCTGTGAGCCACCATCATGTCTAATCCTCAACCCTCTTAACTCCCAGATAACTGCCCTGCCTTCTAAGCCATCTCCTCACACCCACCCCTGCCCTTCTATGGTATTTGCAAAACCCAGCAGTCAGGGTGGGTTCTTAAATCACAACTTACTGCTGTCTCCCGTGTTCTCGTCTCACTCAGTAAAACCCAAAGTCCACAAGGACTCACATGTTCTGGCTTCTGTCACCTCTGTGACCTCATCTCCAGTCCCTCTCCCCTTTCTCTCTGTTTCAGCCACACTGGCCTCCTCGTTTATGGATCACACCAGTTTAGCGTCTTTGTACTGGCTGTTCTCTATGTCTAGGTCATGCTCCCCTCAGATACTCCCCCCACGTGCTTCCTCTGCCACCTTTTTCATGTCTTTGCTCAAATGTCAGCTTTTCAGTGAAGCTCATCATGACTTTCCTACTGAAAGCTGCAAACACCTCCCACCTAAATGCACTCACACTTCCACTCCCTTTCACTCTGTCCTGTCTTTTATCTGGGCATGCCTATCATTTTTAATAGACCACTTAAATCACTGATCAGTTATTGTGTTTTGCTGTTGCCTGTCTTTCCTCTGTACAGTCCCACAAGGGAAGGGATTTTTTTCTTCCGTTTTGTTCACTAAAGGTTCCCAGGCTCCTAGAATACCACCTGGCACATGGACAGCACTAAGTAAACATTTGTTAAATGAATGCATGAGTGAATTTTGAGTAAGGGCATGCATGTGAAAATTTTTACCTGTGAATTCTGTAGTTACAGTTTAAAAGATTTATGATACAGAGAATTATAAGAAGAAATGTATTGCTTGTAAATTTTATGTTGTAGCTTTTCCTAAATTTTAAGTTTAATGTGTGATTTCTTTTTCTAAATGTTCAGCTTCAGTTGTAGAGGATAAAAAGGGCATCATTCCTCGTGCTATCCAAGAAATATTTCAAAACATCTCTGAAAATCCGAGCACTGACTTTAAAATAAAAGTATCTTATATAGAAGTATACAAGGAAGACCTAAGAGATCTTCTAGAATTGGAGACATCTATGAAGGATCTTCACATCCGAGAAGATGAAAAAGGAAACACAGGTAAAGTAGCCTACTTACTTGGTAGCCTTCTTTAGCAAATAGATATGATTTAATTCAGCTTCTGGACATATTCCAAAGAAGCTTTAAAAGCACAGAAGCAAAATGAATTTGTTTTTACTTTAAAATTGAATGATATTGTTGATTAACAATATCAGTTAAATCACTTTTAACTAGTTCAACTGGTGGGTAAGATGAAGTTATTAAGTTGTAATTTAAGATAGTACTGATTTCCTATGATTGTACTGAACTTTTTTTTCCTCTTGATTACCTGAAGATTGGGGATGGCTTCTTCCTTTGGTGTTCGTCCAAGTTGATCCAGAATTCTTTCTCCTTTGATTTTTGTCCCAGTATACCTATTGCATGCTATTTTTTCAAGCGTAGAGAGTTTGTGTGTCTGCTTCTCCATAGTGACATTTTCCTGTCCTTTGTTGTGCTTCTCAAAATCTGACACCCTGTGCTTAACACATTAATCTTATGAAATACCCATTTTTTGGAAATGGGAGAAGGCTAGGAGGGGAGGGTTAAAATGCAAGTATTTTAAAGAATAATACTTTATACTTTTCTAACTTAAAAGGTGACATGTTCTGTATAGAACATTTAGGCAACAGAAAAGTAGGAGGAAAAAAGTAGCAGAAAATAAGGAGGAAAGTTAAAGATCATTTTTTTCCTGAATTCAGCTTTTTATTGAATGTGTTGCAAAAGAGGGTTAGTCAAAAAGGCCAAAGCCCATGTCATTAAAAGACTCCTCAGATTCTTCTTTCTTTGCTTCCACTTTCTGTTCCTCAGCTGGGGAAGCAGAGGCCCTGCTGGTGCAGGACTAGCTGCAGGGGCAGGTCCACCAGCCCCTACATTGCAGATGAGGCTCCCAGTGTTGACATGGGCCAGTGTCTTTGCAAACAAGCCAGGCCAGTAAGGTTCAACATTTACACCATCTGCTTTAAGGAGGGCACTGATCTTATCCTCTGTCACCGTCACATGGCACCTCATTGTCACCTCATTGTTTTGTAGGATAAGGGCCAAGTAGATGCAGGCAAGCCCCAAGACAAAGGCCACGGTGTGGGCAGTACTGGACAGTGCTGCCAGGAGTGGTGCTAGTTGCTGGATGAAGTGAGGGCCTCCCAGATTTCTTTTTCTATGCACGTATAATTGTTATTTATTTATTTATTTTTATTTCTGAATTTTAAAAAATTTAATCCTCATTCAAGGATAATGCTTACTGATTTTGGAGAGAAAAGAAGGGAGAGAGAGAAAAAGAAAGAGAAAGAAAGAAACATCAATGTGAGAGAGAAACATCAGTCAGCTGCCTCCTCAGTGCATCCTGACTAGGGATCAAACCTGAAGCCTAGGTCTGTGCCCTGACTGGGAATCGAACCCACAGCCTTTTGATGTAAAGGACAGTCCTCCAACCAACTGAGCCACCCGGCTGGGACTGTATAATTGTTTCTTAATGTACTTGCATCCCCCACATATAGTATTACATTTAATTTTTTCACTTAATATTTATATTGTAAGCATTTCCATGTTATTAAATTGTTTTCAGCCTTGTGACCCTTCGTAGTCATATGGTCATTTGTCTTCTGAATGTATTATAATAATTTAACACTGTTCCATTGTTGTACATTTAAGCTATTTCCATATTTTCACTCTTATTAATAACAATGACTGTTCTTGGATGTCTTCCTCTCCTAGAAAACACATTTAGTAGAACCTTCCAGGAGATAAAGGGTCTTGCCAGAGGACTGACTCCTTGGGGGAATTTCACAGTGGCTAGAAAAGTAAGATGGCTGTTGTCATTCAAACAACAGCCTGCAGGGGGCAGTAGAGCTTGCCACCTTAGAGGCACTGTCCTAGCAGCTCTGGCATTCCTGGATGTTTGAAGAAATTGTTTTTTGTTGTTGTTTTTTTAGAAAGCACATATAGTAGTTTGTAAAATTATTAGATCATTCAATACAGTTTTTAAAATTTTCAAATCATTTTTAAATTACAGTTGACATACATTATTATGTTAGGTATACACCCCAGTAATTAGACATTACATAAATCAGTAAGTGATCATCCTGGTAAATCTCATACCCATCTGACACCATACATAGCAATTATACTATTATTGACTATATTCCCTATACTGTGTTTTTCATCTCTGTGACTATTTCGTATCAACCAATTTGTACTCCTTAATTCCTTCACCTTTTAGTCCCTTTTCCTGAACCCTCTCCTGTCACAATGTTCTCTGTATCTATGAGTGCCTTTCTGTTCTGCTTGTTCATTTATTTTGATTTTTAGATTCAATTGTTGATAGGTGTATAGTTGCCATTTTATTGTTCATATTTTTAATCTTTTTCTCTCTAACATTGGTTTGAGAGAAAAAGATTTCTCTCTAACATCTGGTTTGGTGGTGATGAACTCCTATAGCTTTTTTCTGTTTGGGAAGCTTTTTATTTGTTTCTGTTTGGGAAGCTTTGATTTTAAATGATAGCTTTGCTGGGTAGAGTAATCTTGGTTGTAGGTCCTTGCTTTTCATGACTCTGAATATTTCTTGCCAATCTCTTCTGGCCTACAAAGTTTCTTTTGAGATACCAGCTGAAAGTCTTATGGGAGGTCCCTTGTAGGTAACTAACTGCTTTTCTCTTGCTGCTTTTAAGTTTCTCTCTTTGTATTTAACTTTTGGCATTTTAATTACGCTGTGTCTTGAAGTAAGCCTCTTTGTGTTAATTTTGTTTGGAACTTCTGTACTTCCTAGACTTGCATGTCTATTTCCTTCACAATATTAGGGAAGTTTTCTGTCATTATTTTTTCATGTAGGTTTCCAGTGTCTTGCTTTTTTTCTTCTCCTTTCAGCACCCCCATGATGCACGTGTTGATATACTTGAAGTTGTCCTAGAGGCTCCTTACACTGTCCTTGATTTTTTGGATTCTTTTTTCTTCTCCTTGTTCTGATTGGGTATTTTCTTCTTCCTTGTGTTCCAAATCACTGATTTGATTCTGGCTTTCATCCACTCTACTGTTGTTTCCCTGTAAATTACTCTTTATCTCAGTTAATATATCCTTTATTTTTGAATGGATCTTTTTTATGCTGTTGAGGGTCTCGTTATGTTCCTTGGGCATCTTTATAACCAATGTTTAGAAGTCTGTGTCTAGTAGATTGCTTGTCTCCATTTTGTTTAGTTCTTTTATTTGGATCACATTTCTTTGTCTTTTTTAATTTTGTCAGCTTCCCTGTGTTTGTTTCTATGTAGTAGGTACAGCTGCTATTTCTGCCAGGTTTGGTAGGGTGGCCTAATGTAGTAGGTGTCCTGTAGGGCCCCGTGGCACAGTCTACCCTATCACCCAAGCTGGGCACTTGAGTTGCACTTCCATGTGGGCTGTATACCCTCCTCTTATAGTTGAGCCTTGGTTTCTGGTTGTATGTCAGTAGGAGGGATTTACCTAGGCTGATTGGCTGCACAGACTGGCTGTGACCACTGATCACTGACCTCTGACCACCGTGGAGGGTCAGCTGCAGGGACCCACTCCACAGAGCAGGACTTAATTCAGCAGGGCTCAGGTGCCTGCTGAATTCGCCCCTTGAGTGTGTCGCTTGTGTAGGTGTTGAATGGTGGTGCTTCAATGTGGTCTGAAGCTGTTCACTTGGTGTGCTGGCTCTGGAGCCTCCTGGAGGTGCAGGCCAAGGTTAGCCACAGCCTGTGTTCTTCCTGGGGCCACCTGGCACAAGCTACAAAGTGATCTGCAGATGGCTTCTACTCGTTCTGGGCTTAGAGGTGCCCAGGCAAGGCCAAGCTGTGAACCAAAGCCCACTGCTGCTAGTCCTAAGCCTGGGGCCACATAGTGAGACATATGTGGTCCACTAAGGCCAGATGCTGCTTGTTTGAGAGAATTTAGGAAAATCTGTAGTGTGAGCCAAGATAAGCCATTTGGGTGGAAACAGCTTGGGTGGGCCTGAAAGTTGGGTAGGGCAGGGCCTCAGGGAATCATCCAGGCAGAGTAAACAGTGTGAGCCAGGTTAGTAGAGTCTCAGACGTGGTACCTACCTGCTGACTCTGTGGGAGGAGGGCTTAGAAAAGGAAATATGGCCCTGCTGAGCACTTCTGTCTGGGAGAAAGCTGTTGCTCTTATGCCAGACAATTCCATTCCTCTCCATGTGTCTCACGTGTCTTTCAAGCTGCTGCAGTTTCATGCTAGAGCTGAAAGGGAGTGAGTTCGAGTAAGTTCATGTGCAGGCCCTTTAAGAGAAACTGCCTGGGACTCCAGAAGCTTCCATCTTCCTCAGACTCAATCCCCACTGGTTTTTATAGCCAGAGGTTTTGGGGACTTCTCTTTCTGACTTTGGAACCCTGGGCTGGGGGGCCTGATATGGGGCTGGGACCCCTTGCTCCTCAAAGAGGACCTACACAACCAAGATACTTCTTCAGATATTTATCTGCTACACGTGGGTGAGGCACCAGCCCCTTCCGAGTCCTACCCGTCTCGTGTGTTCTTTAATTTCATCATTCTAGGACTTCCATCTGCTTGATTTTGGGTGGTTGTGATGATGGTTGTTCTGTGGTTTAGTTGTAATTTTGATGTGGTTGTGGGAGGAGGTGAGCTTTTTAAAAAACACTGGTTTCTGGGCACTTTTCAGAGATTCTAATGTATCAGTCTGGGGTGGGGCCAGAGTTGGTATTTCCTTTTGTATAAAGCTCCCAGGTGATGTGCAGCTGGGTTTGAAAACCACAGGGAGTACTCAGCTGTAGCCTAACACTAGAAAAATTTTCTAAAATTTATGCTCTGATTTACGGTTATACTGTGATATTTTATAATTGCTAATATTTCAGCTCTGTCTGTAGTGCAGGTACTTTAGAGCTTTAAATGAACCAGGTTGTTAAAAAAGGTGTCATGATGAAAATGTAAGCAAAATGGTTATTTTTCATAGAAACAGTGTCATGGCAGGATCTGGTTAAAAAGGAAGTACAGCACTGTGAGTTGAGCTGAGAATCAGGAGTTTCACTGTCACTATTTTGATTCCAATCCAAAATCTGCCTGCTCCTTTCTGAAATATTTTGTATATAAACAAATAATGTGGGTAATAGTAAGCTTATTTTTTGGTTCTTTTTCTGCGGTTGGAATAGACATTTTGTGGCTTGTTTTGAATTACCATCTCATTTGTTTACCTTGCACTCTGATATTATGTAGGGCATACCTATTTTCAAAATGAATAAGTATTTATACTGAAATTTTCATCTATTATTGGTTATTACTTCACGATATCAAAACACCTTAAACCTAAGGTGAGCTTGAGTAGTAACAAAACTCAAAAGAAACTAACTTTTAAAAATGAACTATTACTGATTATTTTGCATTATAAAATTAAATTATATAATCTATTATCTTTTAATTAATCTAGTAGATTCTACAAATCAAATACTAGAATAAGGAGGGATTTTTTTTGTCAGCTACTTTATTGTTATCTTTAAAACCTCACCCGAGGATATTTTATTGTTGACCTTAGAGTAAGGGTAGGGTGAGAGAGGGAGGGGGATGGCAGAGAGAGAGAGAGAGAGAGAGAGAGAGAGAGAGAGAGAGAAACACATCAGTGTGAGGAACATTGGTCCATTGCATTCTTGTATGCACCCTCCCTGGGATCGAACCTGCAACCTAGGTGTGTACCCTGACTGGGAATCGAGCCTGCTACTTTTTGTTATATGGGAGGATGCTTCCACCAACTGAGCCACCTGGCCAGGACGTGTCATCTATTTTGAAAAATTGAGCATGATGTGTGCCTACAAAGAAACCAGATCGTTAAAAATGATGTACAGTATGATATCTTTTAGAATTTAAACAAGATGAGTGCTCTCTGTAAAATGTTCCTTTGGGAGATTATCTAAAATTATTTAATGTTGATGTGTATTGTAATTTGAAATACTATTGATTTTTTAAAAGGGTCTGTCTTAGCTGGGCAATCTTGCAAACAGTAACTGTTATGTGGTTAATTTAACTATATTGGATTTTGATTGAAGCTTGATTGAAAAATTTTCTGTTTTAAGTGATTGTTGGGACCAAGGAATGCCAGGTGGAGAGTGCAGATGAAGTGATGAGCCTGTTGGAAATGGGGAATGCAGCCCGGCACACAGGCACCACCCAAATGAACGAACACTCCAGTAGATCACATGCAATTTTTACAATCAGCATTTGTCAAGTTGTAAAAAGTACAGAGGTAGCTGAAGACGGATCCTGGTGTTCCCGTCGACATATTGTCTCCAAGTTTCACTTTGTGGATTTGGCTGGATCAGAAAGAGTAACGAAAACAGGGAATACCGGCGAGCGGTTCAAAGAATCCATTCAGATCAACAGTGGGTTGCTGGCTTTAGGAAATGTAATAAGTGCTCTCGGGGACCCACGCAGGAAGAGTTCACATATCCCATACAGGGATGCTAAAATCACCCGACTTCTGAAAGATTCCCTGGGCGGCAGTGCCAAGACAGTCATGATCACTTGTGTCAGCCCGTCTTCCTTGGATTTTGACGAATCCTTAAACTCTCTCAAATACGCCAACAGAGCGCGTAACATCAGAAACAAACCCACCTTAAACTTCAGCCCTGAGTCAGACCGGATGGATGAAATGGAATTTGAGATTAAGTTGCTTCGAGAAGCTTTGCAAAGCCAACAGGCTAGTAGTATCAGCCAAACCAGCCAGATCCATCGAGAGGGAACTCCTGAAAAAAACAAGATCCTTTCTCTTGAGGAGCAAGTAGCTCAGCTCCAAGGAGAATGCCTGGGTTACCAAAAGTGTATAGAGGAAGCCTTCACCTTCCTGGTGGAGTTAAAAGATGCTGTTAGACTAAACCAAAAGCAGCAACAAAAACTGCAGGAGTGGTTTAACATGACCCAGGAGGTCAGGAAGGCCCTTCTTACCTCATTCAGAGGGAGCCAAGGCATTGAAAGCCTGGAAGAAGGACCACAGCATGTTACAGTTATCCAGCTGAAGCGAGAGCTGAAGAAATGCCAGGTACTTAGACACTGCTTTTATAAAATAACTTGTGTAAGGACTAAATGTATTTGGGGCAAGTAAGAGTCGTCGTAGAATTTCAGAAAAATTTTGGAAGGATTATATGTGAACTCTCATTTGGCTTTGCTGTGTTTCACCCTTTCCTTTTGCTGTCTCCTTATAATTCATACCTTTCATGGCTTCTTTTTTCTCTAGTAAAATGATTTTAATTTGTTATATTTATTAAATACAATTTTGTGGACTTGGTCATTAAATTTAGAGGAAAAAGAAACACAGTTTCAGAAACAAAATCAAGTTATACTTTATTGTGTTTTATCCCGCTATGGGTCAGTGGTTCTTGAAAGAAAAAAATATTTTATCCCTTGAGTTTGAGGTACTGATTTTTTAAAACAAACAAGTCATCATATTTGGTAATATTTGAAAAGAAATGTAGGTTTATACATACGTATTTATTGCATGCATGTATATTGAGTTCAGAATTACGTTTGCCCACTTTTCATTCAAAAAATGTTTATTGAGCCCTGGCTGGTGTGGCTCAGTGGATTGAGTGCTGGCCTGTGAACCAAAGGGTTGCCAGTTTGATTCCCAGTCCTGGCACATGCCTGGGTTGCAGCTCAGGTCCCCAGTAGGGGCCACACAAGAGGCAACCACACATCGATGTTTCTCTCCCTCTCTTTCTCCCTTCCTTCCCCCTCTCAAAAAATAAATAAATAAAATATTTTAAAAAAAGTTTATTGAGTGAAGTTTATGTGTCATGAGAGAAATAGTGGAGACCAAGAACTAAGGAGACCTAGTTCTGCTTATGTGGAGTTTGCAATTTGGTGGGCAAATGGATGTTCTGCCAGTTTTTTAAAATAGAAAGCATAGTTAAAAATAGAAAAAGTTAAAAACATAGCTGTCTAGTTAGAAATCTTTCCTCAATACCTTCTTATAAAGATTAGAAAAAATCCAGTTGTATTATTATTTATCATAGCAGTTACTGAATTTTTATTTGCAGATTTCTTAAAATCAAGTTTTCTCATTGTATCTATAGATGTTTAACATATTAGAATTAAAACAAAAATTTACACTATTTATTCAAAACTAACAGTAATAATATGATTATATGATTAATATACAAAACATTGTTTCATAAAAAATATTTTCAGAAAGAAAAATAAGAATGAAATTGTTTTACATTTTTGCACATCTTTTTAAATAGCTGATTTAATAGAAGACAGGTGGATTTTCATATCTGCTTCAGCATTCAGTGTTACAATCTGCTGTTTTAGTTGAAGTATATAAAGAAAATCCAGCATCATATAGATTTGTAGTTGGAAGGGAGGGATATTTAATGCCTTTTGTAGATAATTGTGGATAGTCTTTGATTTTGCACCAAAATTCAACAAATAGAAATCTTTTAAAGGTTACTTGGGATTTGAAATTATTTTGTTACATTAAGATTTATACATTAAAATTCATTGGTCCTTATCTTGTACTTTGAATGGATCTTTTATTCACACCTGATCTTGAATCATCATGCATTGGTCATTTGGAAAATACTTGTTTACTAAGTTAAGCAACCCTTCCAGGTGCTGACACATTTCATTACACAGTATCAAACAGTCACAGCACTGATCTTACCACCCAAGTCTTTAAGTGTGGAAGGTGTCTTCATGCTCACAGTAGCAGAAATGTTTTCCAAAACTCTTAATTTTTACGTGAAACTTGAGTTTTAGCATTTGGAACAAATACTGTTGTTTTCCTTGAAAATCATGGTTCTCATTTTTTAAGAAAATGTCTGCCGTATACCAGTGTGAATAACTATAGTTTTTCTGTTATTCTTACAGCAAAAAAAACAGTACTCTGTGGGGAAAGTGGCAAGTTTAGCTTGTAACTCAAACACTTGCACAAGATTGTTCACCACAGACAACCATTGCCCTTTGGTGGTGCGGCAGCACGGCTTTACGCAGACCTCCCATTTTGTCACGTAAAATGCTAAAAAAACCCCACATACACAAGGGTTGAGATTTAGTAAGATGATTTTATTGCTTCAGTAAGATATTCTTTTTAAAATATATATTTATTTATTTTTAGAGAGAGAGGAAGTGAGGGAGAAGGTGAGGGAGAGAAACATCAATTGTAGGCCCCTAACTGGGGACTTGGACTGTAATCTAGGCATGTGCCCTGACTGGGAATCAAACCAGTGACCTCGTGTGACCTTGTAGTTCACAGGCAAGTACTCAATCCACTGAACCATGCCAGCCAGGGCATGCTTTGCTGAGATGTTAAGTAAAGCTGTTATTGGTTTGTATTGGGAGCACATGGTGGTGAAGTACGGTTTGGTGACGCTTCCTTTATTCGTGTTAGGAGCAGTTTTACACACCATTGCTTTTGTACCAGCAGGGCAAATGTAAACATGGAGAAAAGATACAAATATTGTCTTAGTATTATTAGGAAAATAGTTTTGACCTGGACACCCTGAAAGGATCTAAGGGACATGCTAAGAGGGTCTCTACTGCACACACTGTGAGAACTGCTACTCTGTTACAAAGCTTGTGATATTTAACTCAAAGCATGTAAAGCAATGCTTTTAAAATCATGGCGTTTTTAAAAAAGACAGTACTTCTGCCCTTTGTCCCAGATAGAGCAGGCCTGACACTTTCTCACTAGGGTGAGAAACTGGTGTACAGGTAATTGGACGCTCAAACTTTGGGACACCTAAGAATTGGTTTTCCTTTATGCTTTTAAAGTGGCTGAAATTGGAAGTTCATAAAATCCACTGCTTGGTAGTGGAGTGGGTAGTAGTTTACTCCATCCAGCTGTTGGAAAGTAAAAATTTAAACTTGCTCCAGCTTGTGTACTCTAGATTATGACTTCCCCAAAATACTAACAAAAAGGGTACCACAACCAGATTGTCTTGGGGAATGCTAGATTGCAAAAAGCAGGCAGGTTTCTTAATTCTAAGAATTCTCAGAACTTTGAAAGTGCTGATGTATATTATGAATTTCAAAGTGAAAGACATAGCATTGTGTTTCCCAATTTTAAGAAATGGATACTTTTTTTTTTTGGTCTGCAGTCTTGCAAGACTAGTAATCGTTGGAGACGACTGAGCAGTAACTAGAGACATGGTCGGTCTCATTCCTCACCTTGTGATGCCTCCTTAAACATTGTTTTTAAACTTGCATTTCTGTTCTTGTTTTCTGTGAGAGGCAGAATAACACAGTAGTTAAGAACATGGGTACCAAACACCAAAGGGTGGGATCCTGGCTTCTCTGCTTACTAGCTTTGTGACCTTGGGCAAATACCTGACATCTCTCTGCTTCAAGTTCTCTTCTCTATACTGTAAAATGGAAACAATAGTAATAACTACCCTTGAGGTTGTTGTGAAGATTTTTAAAGCATTAGTTCCCATAAAGTGATGACAAGGTTGACTGGCTTGTAGTAAGGCTCCCTAAAGTTTAGCTTATTTTTATCTCCCATTGTTTATTTTTCACTTGCCTGTGCCTAGGTTTGTACATCAGTGGCAGCTAAGAGATTGGGCCCAGTAGTCACGTAGGGCCACAGGCCATGAGTTACTTTGAAGGCATCCCGCTACAAGTTTATCAGGTTTATCTCTCAGGGAGACAGTGGGTCTGTGGGGGGAGAGGCAGACATTCCCTTTGCTCAGTCTGCTTCCTTGAGCCTCTTAGGCAAGCAGATATGTACTTTTTAAAAAATTCCTAGCCAAGAGGAGATTATAGTTCTGCTCACAGGTTGGGTAATAACTGGATTTGCTCAGGAAGTGTCATTTTGAAGTTATGGTCTCCTTTTTAGAAGGTGTCAGATAATGTTGCGACCTTGATTTTTGCTATTAGTCGATTATTAGAACACTCTATCCCCTCAAAAATACTTCCTAAGGCACTTTGTTGCTTTTTTAAAAATTCCAAATGTTAAATTCAAGAACAGTACTGAATATGCATATACTCAATCAACAGTTAAACACTTTTAAATGAATAATAAGCAATAACATTGTAGTTTTTGAAGCATATGTAAAAGCATATGCAGCACTGGGAGAGCAATTATAAGCTTCTCAAATGGACAGTTGCCAATAGAAGAGGATATTAACTAAGGAGAATTACAGTTATTTTATAGAAGAGAGAAGTCATGGAGGTTACATAAACATATGGGGTGATAAGGACTCTCAGTGTCACATGTTCCCTCCTCATTTATTTGAGGATCCCAAGCAGAACAAGAAGGGACTAGCCCCATACCCTCTGTGAACCTGGGGCAAAATCAAGGCTGGCCTCAGTCCACGGGTTCCCGGTGCAGAGGTGCATCCGCCTCTGCGTCACTGCCTGAGGAGTCATACATGTACTCTGTTTTTTTGTAAGTTAAATCTTATTTGTACAGTGAACACTGTTTTGTAAACCAACTACTTGTTCTTGTCGTTTCCTGTGGCTTAGGCTTTGGATCTATATAGGCCCAGGGGTTTAATGTCAGGAATTTGGTTTATCTACTGAGTCATCTTGGGAAAAGGTTTTAATCTCACTGAACTTCAGGTTCTTCAAAGAAAAAGAAAACATGTCCATTTAGTGAGATATTTTAAAAATGCGAAGTATTAGGTTTTTTTGTTTATTTAATTTAAAAATTGTTTTAAAAGTATTACTTGCATAACCCAATTTATTTGAAAATAGTTGTAATTCACTAAAAACTAAGAAAAGTATTTGTTTAACCATATTTTCAGACATCGTTGAAATATATCTCTTTATAGAGGAAGTGTACAAAAATTAGCAAATATTCTTTATTTAAATAACATTGGTTTGTTCCCGGGTTTTGGCAAGAAAAACAAAACAAAACAAATCCAAATGCATTCTTACATTCTTTAGGTCAGTTTGGAAAATATGACCTTTGATTTTTAAGAATCCACATTAAGCCCTGGCCGGTGTAGCTCAGTGGATCGAGTGCCGGCCTGTGAATCAAAAGGTTGCTGGTTCAATTCCCGGTCAGGGCACATACCTTCTGTGCAGGCCGATTGATGTATCTTTCAGACATTGATGTTTCTCTCTCTCTTTCTCCCTCCTTTCCCGTCTCTCTATAAATAAGTAAATAAATAAAATCTTTAAAAAAATAAAAAAATTAACATCCACATCAAAATCTCATGGAAATTCCAGCAAACTTGTAAAAATCTTATGGAATGTACTCTAGAACCGGAATAACTGGTTTTCATTTTAAAAGGCAGAAAATAAAAATCAGGAGAATCTTCTCATCTTTATGATAATTCTTATGTTATAGCAATAATAGCTCCTCTCAACTGTTTCTGCCTTCCTTATAAAGAAACCAGAAAATAATTTGAAAATGAATACGGTAAGAAAAATTTTAAGGGACATTGTCAAGCTGTCGTTAAATCACTGCTTTTGTGGTATTAGGTGGCCTCTTGAGTATTTTCCATGGTGAATCTTGTGCTTTCTTTTCCTCCTCCCAGTGTGCTCTGGCTGCTGATGAAGTAGTGTTCAATGAGAAGGAACTGGAGGTGAAGGAACTAAAGAATCAAGTGCAGATGATGGTGCAGGAAAACAAAGGACATGTTCTGTCTTTGAAAGAAGCACAAAAAGTGAATAGATTGCAGGTAGAGTTTATTAATGCATCTAGCTCTGCAGATTTAATTGGACTAGTAATTAACTTAATAGAATAGCATTTAAATGATAAATGGAAATGTTTACAAAAATAGGTTTCAATTGAACAGTTCTGAACACAAGAACCTAAGAGAATTATTATAGTTTCCCCCCTAAATTAGTGTAAAGGGAAAACATTTTTATTGTTAGTTTAACTTATATTGTTATCTTTTCTTAATACTTTCCCTTCCATTGTTTACCAAGGTAATAGGCAATGTGATAATGTTATAAGTTGGATGGCAGGTAATGAGGAAAATAATACAGAACTTTTGTGGCCCTGCCAACAAAATGAACCCACTTTTTAAGTCACTTAAGGGCCAGATGGCAAGTCTGGTTATCACCAGCTGCAAAAGTGGATTCACAGTTGTGAATACATGAAACAGAATTTATCCTTGCATTATCATTTATTCTTGTATTATGTATTATTCCATAGGAACAACTGTAAACCTACTTTAGTCTATCCCTGTATATTCTGGGTATGATGAGCTCTTTGTCAGTTACATGGTTCCAAATATTTTTCTCTTTGGCTTTTCTCTCTCGAGGTCTTTTGATGAAAAGACATATTGCAACCAAATTCAACAATCTTTTTCTTTATGGTTAATGATGTTTATGCTCTAACAAGCCTTTCCTTTTCTTTTCCTTGGAGGATATTTTCTATGGTATCGTCTAGGAGCTTTATTGTTTTGCCTTTAATGTTGAGCTCCACAGTACTTCTATAATTGATTTTTGTGTATGGGTAAAATAAACATATTTTTTTTCTCCATGTAGATATCCATTTGTCCTGTCACCATTTATTGAAGAGACCATTCTTTCACCACTGTTCTGAGTGCTATCTTTGTCATAAGTCAAGGTTCATTTGTGCCTGAATTTGTTGTCTATTAAGGTTCTTGTATTTGGTTTGCCTACCCTTGAAACATTCTCACATTTTTTATTTATTGTAGGTTCATAATAAGTTTAGATTAGGGGTGTCAAACTCGTTTTCCCTGGGGGCCACATTGGCCTCATGGTTGCCTTCAAAGGGCTGATTGTAATTTTAGGACTGTGTAAATGTCGGTGCTCTTTAACTAGGGCCAAGGAGCTCTACATTCAGCCTTTTGAAGGCAACCTCAAGGCTGATGTGGCCCCTGGTAAAAATGAGTTTGACACCCCTAGTCTAAATATTCAGTGAAGCAAGGCCTTTTGCTTTGTTTCCCTAACCTCTAAGAATGTCTTGGTTTTTCCATATAAATTTTGGAATCAGCTGTCAAGAGCCACAGAGAAAAGTACTTATTGTGATTTTGATTGGGATTGTGCTGTCTGTAGATTCATTTGGGGAAAATTGACATCTTTTGATTTTCAATCTTCTAATCCATGAGTATGGTATTTTCCTTCATTACTTAGGTTTCCTTTGTGTGTGTGTGTGGAAGTATTCTTCATCTTTTGTTAGACTCATTTGTAGACACTTGATTTTTTTTAATGTAACTAAATGGAATCTTTTTAAAATTTCATTTTCTTAATTGTTTGTATTTATAAATATATTGATTTTAGTATATTGATATACTCAGCAACCTGACCAAATTTACTTTTTTAAAATTATATTTTATTGATTATGCTACTGCACTTGTTACAATTTTTCCCCCTCTGACCCCCTCCACTCAGCACCCCCTACTCCCTCAGGCAACCCCCCCACCATTGTTCATGTCCATGCGTCATGCATGTAAGTTCTTTGGCTACTCCATTCCCCATACTGTACTTTACATGCCTGTGGCTATTCTGTAACTACCTGTTTGTACTTCTTCAAGTAATCCCCTCACCTCTTCACCCATTCCCCACATCTCCCTCCCATCTGGCAATCATCAAAATTCTCTCTGTATCCATAATTTTGTCTCTCTTCTTGTTTGCTTAGTTTATTTTTTAGATTCAATTGTCGATAGATGTGTATTTATTGCTGTTTTATTGTTTATAGTGTTGATCTTCCTCTTCTTAAATGAGTCCCTTTAACATTTCATGTAATAATGGTTTGGTGATGATGAACTCCTTTAGTTTTTTCTTGTTGGGGAAGCTCTTTATCTGCTCTTCCTTTCTGCTGGGTGGAACAATCTTGGCTGTAGGTCCCTGCTCTTCAAGACTTTGAATATTTTTTGCCAATCCCTTCTAGCCTATAAAGTTTCTTTTGAGAAATCAGCTGACAAGACTTATGAGAACTCCCCTGTAGGTAACTAACTGCTTTTCTCTTGCTGCTTTTAAGATTTTCTTTTTATCTTTGACCTTTTTACATTTTAATTATGATGTGTTTTGTAGTGGGCCTGTTTGCCTCCATCTTGTTTGCAACTCTGTGTTTCCTGGACTTGGATGTCTATTTTCTTCCTCAAATTAGGGAAGTTTTCTTTAATTTTTTTTTCCAAGTAGATTTCTGGTTTCTAGTTCTTTCTCTTCTCATTCTGGCACCCCTATGATGTGAATATTGGACCTCTTGAAGTTGTCCTAGAGACTGTTTACACTATCCTCCTTTTTCGGATTTTTTTCTTCTTCTTCTGATTGGTTGTTTTTTGTTTCCTTATGTTCCAAGTCATTGATTTGATTCTCAGCTTTATCCACTCTCTTGCTTCCCTGTAAATTATTTTTTATTTTGTTTAGTGAATTTTATGTTTCTGACTGTTTTTTTTTTTTAATGCTGTTGAGGTCCTGACTAAGTTCCTTGAGCACCCTTACAACCAGTGTTCTGAACTCTGCAGATTGCTTTTCTCCATTTTGTTTAGTTTTTTTCTGGAGTTTTGATCTGTTCTTTCATCTAGGCCTTGTTTCTTTGTCTCCTCGTTTTGGCAGCATCTCTATCTTTGTTTCTATGTATGAAGTAGAGCTGCTATGGCTCCCTGTCTTGGTGGTGTGACCTAAAGTAGTAGGTGTCCTGTAGGGCCCAGTGGCACAGCTTCTCCATCACCCAAACTGTGTACTCAAGTGTTGGGAACTTCCCTGCCTGGTATCAGAAGCTGTAACCCCTGCATGGCTAAGGCTGAGCAAGTGACCTTTGGACTATAAGCCATTAAGGAGACAAAGCTTATCTTCCTGGCAGGGGTGCCACCTCTGCTCCTTTTACTTCACCCTGCCTGGCCCCCAATGCTTGATCAGTTAGCCAATGACAGGTAAGATTCCTCAAGGCAGGGAATGACCTAAGACAAGCACGATCACAGGGAGTCCCCAGAGAAGGACTTGGGGGGCTACAGAAAAAGGGCATGATGGACCCTTGCCTCTCGGCTTTGACATAGCCTGTGGCCTCATTCTGTCTTCGAGAAGTCTCCTAATCTCTTGGCTGCTTTACTTCCCCTGCCTGACTTAAGCCTGAAACAATGACAGGGGGCAGTGCAGCCATGTGCTGGAAAGGGTGGGTTCCCTGGGTGATCATGCCTAAGAAAGAATATATAAAATTCTGTGAAACCTGCTTTGCTAAGAATGCTCTCAATTATATGATAAGGGTCCAAGCAGGAAATGAGTTAGTTTCCCAAAGTCTTGTAGCCCTTTAGCTAACAGACCCTGACACAGAATAAGCACTCAGTAGTTCTTTGTATGCTATCTCTAGTTTGATCCTTACAGCCTGACAATGATTAATGAGCTTTACCTGTATTCCTGTGCAAATTTAAAGCCAACTAAAGCTTGTCAAGGCAAGGGTTGGGATGTTCTCCTCTTGAGAGAGTAGCTGTGCCATCCTTTTCCTCCATAGGACTCTGTAGTCCATGTGAATGTATCTTGTCTCATCCATAACACTGGACACTGTGGGCTGGTGTCCGTGTCAAACATTGATGTACAATTATCTCTGAGATTATTTTGGGTATATGCCCAGGAGTGGAATTGCTGAGTCACATAGTCATTCTATAACTATTGTCTCTGGAGAAAGAAAATGCAGCCACCCAGTATAGATTTGGATTTTGGTTGCCCAGTTGGGTTGTGGTTCATATTGGTTTGGGTTGGTTGCATCCTGGTTTGGATTTTGGTTGCATAAGGGGCCCGAGGGCGGTGGAGCTGGCATGAGGTCTGTGGCTAAGTCGAATGGCTGCTCCATTAAGGTGGTGAAAGGGCTTCAGAAACAACTCGGAGCAGAGGCGGCACCCCTGCCAGGGAGATAAGCTTTGTCTCCCTCGTGGCTTAGGGTCTGAAGGTCGCTCACTCAGCCTTAGCCATGGGGTGGTTACAGCTTCTGAAACCAGACAGGGCAATTCCCAGCACTTGAGGTGCACTCTTCATGTGGGCTGAGTATTCCTTCCTCTTGTACTTGAGCCTAGATTGCTGGTGACAGGTCAACTGGAGGGATTTACCCAGGCCAGTTAGCTGCAGGGACTGGCTCTGACCACTGACCACCAACCTCTGCCTTCTGTGGAGAATCAACTGTGCAGGTCCAGGGTGATGGTGCTCTAATGTGGTTTTTAGCTATTCACAAGGTGCATAGGCCCTGGGTGTCTTGGGTGTTTCAGATCAAGGTCAGCCTCTACCTGTTGTCTGCCCTGGCCTACCTTGAATGAGCTATAAAGCAATCTGAGATGGCTGCTACTTTGGGCTTGGAGGTTCCCAGGGGAAGCTAAATTGTGAATCTAGGCTGTCTGCTGTAAATGCTGGGCCCGGTGCCACTTAGTAAGAGGTACAGGGGCTGGGGCTCACTGAGGCTGGCTGTTGCTTGTTTGAGAAGATTCACAGAGATGTGAAGGATGAGCCAAGACTGGCCATTTGTGTGCAAAGTCACTGTTAACAGCGTGGTTGGACCTGTAAGTTAGGTGGGATGGAGTCTCTAGGGCTCTCCAGGGCAGGGCAAATAGTGTTAGCCAGGTTGATGGAGTCTCAGGTATGGCATCTGCCTGCCAGCTCTGTGGCTCTGTTTGGGGAGGCATCAGAATAGGGACAGTTTCCTCTGCCTGCCCTTAAGAGGAACCACTTGGGGCTTCAGAAGTTTCTTCCACTGACTCAATCCCCACTGGTTTTTGCAGGGAGAAGTTATGGGGACTTATCTTCTTGGCACTGGAAACCTGGGCTGGGGGAACTGGTGTAGGGCTGGGATTGCTTGCTTCCAAGACATCCCTGTGGAATTTTTATTCATCGCACATGAATGTGGGACCAGCCCATTCCTTGTCTCTGCCACTTCTACCAGTCTGGATGCATGTGGTTTCTTTAATTCTGTAGTTGTTGGACTTCCACTGAACTCTGTTTCTGATGGTTCTGTGTCATGGCTGTTCTGTAGTTTAGTTGTAATTTGATGTGGTTATATAAAGAGATAAGCCGTATTTACCTATACCTCCCTGTTGACCAGAAGCCCTAAATTCACTCTTTAATTTTACTATTTATGTAAATTCTTTTCGATTTTTGTTTATAATTATGCCATCTGCAAATGACGACAGTTTTATGTCTTCCTTTATAATCCTTATACCTTTTTCTTAACTTTCTTCTTTGACTGGGATCTTCAATACAGTGTTAAATACATGTGATAGCAAGCATCTTGTCTTGTTTCAAATTGTAGAGGAAAAGCTCTCACTATTAAGTACCATGTTAGTGGTGGCTATTTTTTATTGACCTTTTATCAAATCAAGGCAAATTTCTTGACTGAGAATTTTTATTATGAATTTTATCATGTGATTTTTCTTTATCATGCATGTTCTTTTAGTGTGGTGAATTATATTGATTTTTCTAATTTTAAACCAGTCTTGCATTCCTGGACTAACATTCCTGGACTAAATCTTTTCTCTTTTCTTGGTCATGATGTATTGTTCTGTCCAGGGTCCCCAAGACCACCCTCAGGTTGGATGGTGCACTAAGGGGACTCAGCATATGGTCATGCTCATGACTAAGATTTATTATGGTGAAAGGAGAACGGTGAACTGCAAAGAAAAGGCACATAGAGCAAAGTCTGGAGGAAACCAGGCACAAAATTCCAAGAGTTTTCTCCCAGGGGAGAGTCACATGGAGGTGCTTAATTCTTCCAGCAGTGGTTGTGACAAGACAAGTGCAACGTTGTTTCCCAGGGAAACTTAGAAGAGGCTCAGTGCCTGTGGTTTTTGCTGAAGGCAGTCTCTGCCCAGCACACACCAAGGTTCCAGACTACCAGAAGGAAGGCAGGTGTTCAGCATAGAGCACATTGTCTGCACAAAACAGTCGGAGCACACCGAGCCACTCTCATCTAAGCTTATCTTTACCTACATTCCACGTTCAGCTCAAAATATTTCCTAGTTTTTATTGTGACGTTTTTCTCTGACCTGTGGATTATGTAGTTATTTTATTTCTAACACATGGAGGATTTAAAAAAATTTTTTTTAGTTTAATTGCATTGTGGTCCTTATGATTTCAGTCCTTTGACTATGTTGAAATTGCTTTATGGCTCAGTATGAGGCCAATTTTTGTAGATATTACAGATACGCTTGAAAAGAAAGTATATTCTATAATATTGGGTGCTGTTAATTTTGTTAATCCTGTTGTTCAGGTCTATATTTTTACCCATTTTTGGGGTTTTTTTGTTATATCTGTAATTTAGAGTGATGAAATCTCCCACTGTGATTTTGGATTTGTCTTACTTCTCCATGAAGTATATATAATTTTTGCATTATATATTGAAGCTGTGTTATTAAATACATAGAAATGTAGAATAATTAGATCGTCATAGTGAGTTGACCAATTTAAAAAATCATTTTCACCTCTTTTTATCTCTTGTCATGTTTTTGCCTCGAAGTCCGTATTGTTGGGAATACAGCTATGCCAGTTTTCTTTTGATTAATATTTACATGGTATTTCTTTTTTCATCTTATTTTCAATCTTTCTGTGTCTGTTTTACCTTTGTTTCTTGTAAGCAGCAGGTTAGATAATTTTACAATCTTTTCTGACAGTCTTTATCTTTTAATTGGATTACTTACTTCATTTATAAATTTAACATAGTTACTATTATGTCTGGCTATAATCCCACCACCGTACTTTTCATGTATTCTCCCTATTCTGTGTTCCCTTTTCTCTCCTTTCTTACCTTCTTTTGGATTGTGTATTTTTAATTTTCACTTCATTAGCTGAAAAGTTGTACTTTTACTCTTTTTTCAGTGGTCATCCTAGAGGGTATGCCATTGATCCTTGTCTTAATAAAATTTAATATTAATTGGTATTTTTACCCTTTTCCCAGACAATGTAAAGATTCCATTTAACACCTACTTTCAACTCATGTACTATTTTGTTGTATATTTTAATTATCCATATGCATGACTTTCAAATAAGGTTGCATTTTTATAGGTCAGCATTAACACAGTGAAACTTTAAGGTTTTAAAAAAATTTTAAACACCGTAGTGCATGTGAAATGCTAAAATGAATGACAATTTCCTGTTTACATAATTTTGTGCTTGTAAAACAAAGATTGATGTTAGAGTTTTCTGGTTTGAATATACTTTAAACATTTTTTAGAGGATACTTAAAAAGACAAACCAACCACACACACACACACACACACACCCCACCCCCACCCGTACACAATGTGTCCTGCCTTTGATTTCTAAGCTCCCCTTTCTCCCAGGACTATCAGTTGCCTATCTTCTATCTCTTTGTGCTTTCGGCTTTCTTTTTCGCTGAGTAAAGGCTTTCATTTCACGGCACCTGCTGCCACTTTCCGTCTCCTTTGCTGCCACCTCTGTTATTTGCAGCTCTTCCTTCCCTTTTCAACTTTCTTGTCTCTTGTTACTTCTTGGATTTCACTTAGAAAGTCCAAACTTTTGTAAAGATGAGCTAATCAGAGTGCTTCAGGTTGACAAGCCAACCAGTCACAGTGTATGGGGCCTTTTTTTTTTTTTTGAGTATCTAACTATGCTGTATTTGTTGCTGCTTACTCTTCAGAGGTATTTACTACTCAGAACAGTCCTATACACCTGTGAACACAAGAAGTCTTTGGATAAATGAGGTTTTACTGTACTGTTAAGGTAGTTGTGACTTACAGTTACGATTTTGGTCAATATATAATTTATTTTTTATCGTTATCTGTACACATACTGAGGATCTCTATTTTTAAAATTCTCATTTCTCTTCCACAAAGAATGAAAAAATAATAGAACAACAACTTCTTGTGGATCAACTGAGTGAAGAACTAACAAAACTTAACCTCTCAATGACTTCTTCAGCTAAGGATACTTGTGGAGATGGGCCAGATAACAGGATACCTGAAAAGAGACCATATACTGTACCGTTTGATACTCATTTGGGGCATTACATTTATATCCCAGCAAGATCAGATACCAGGAAGGTAAAGTCTAAACAATAATCTTTCTCTTATTTTGAGATCTTAAAAATATTATATGTAATATGATATCACAGTGTATGTATATAGTCTCAGCAGGTATGTTTGGTTTCTGTTTGGTTTTGTGGACTTTGTGTATCTTCTTTTATAATATCCTGGTTTTATTTTATTTTATTTTTTAAGATTTTATTTATTTTTAGAGGACAGGGAAGGGAGGGAGAAAGAGAGGGAGAGAAACATCCATGTGTGGTTGCCTCTTATGTGTCCCCTGCACTGGGGGCCTGGCCCGTAACCCAGGCAAGGGCCCTGGTGACGCTTTGGTTCACAGGCCAGCACTCAATCCACTGAGTCACACCAGCCAGGGTTCATGCTTCTTTTTAATAAAAGTATCAGTAAGTAAGAGAATGTATGGTCATATTTGGAAGGAACAGTTGACAATAATATCTATATTCATCAAGGAGGAAAACCTGTCCTTTGCCATCTTATTTTCAGACATGACTAAGTAATATATTCGTGAATTTTTTTTTCTTTAACCACATCAAATTGAGATGAGGATGGAGGTTATTTCTTTTGATTTATTTGGTTTGTCTTATTATTTTCTTTTTAAAAAGACTTTATTTATTTATTTTTAGAAAAAGGGGAAGTGATGGGGAAAGAGGAGAGAAACAACATTGTGTGAAAGAAACATTGATCGGTTGCCTCTTGTACACGCACTGACTGGGGACTGAACCTGCAACCCAGGCGTGTGCCCTGACTGGGAATTGAACTGGCGACCTTTCACTTTGCGGATGACATCCAAACAACTGAGCCACACTGGTCAGGGCAGTTTTTCCCAAAATGACATTTATGTATTACTCAGTCTTGCCAACCTGACATGTCAAGACTGTATAAAGAGCAGTATAGACTTTTAATTTGTATTTATTTATGAGTATATGTGTTGCAGTAATATATGCACATGTTTCTCTTGAAAAATCATCAAGTAATCTCTACTATGGAAAAGACTGATTAGCAAATTCATGAATTTGGGTTTTTATTTATTGATTTTATGAAGAGAAATGGTTTGTTTGTGGTCTGTGTGATTGATAGTTACAGTCAAAGGGATACGAAATATGTGAAATGCCACAGACTTTGCAGTTAGACAGGCTTGGATGTGAACAGCAGCTCTCTTGTGTAGGCCCATGTATGACTGAACCTGTCCGAGTCTCAGGTTCCTTACCTGTCAGAAAGGGGGAGGGGTCTGTGGAGAATTTACATGAGATACTGACTCTGAAAGCGCCTGGCACATTGTGCCCTCAATATATGTCTTTGGGGTACTTGTACTATGTCTCAGGCTCAGTAGCTCAGAGTAAGTAAGACAGATGTTACCCTTACATGTATGGTTTTCAATTTTGAATGGTTGAATTTTAAAATTTAAACCATTGTTATTAATTTCAGTTTTACTTTGTAGAGCCATCGACATTATCCTTATGGTTAAATATATGGTAACTTTTCATAAAACATTTAGGAAAAAAGATAAATTCTTCACATGATTCACATAATTCCTTCAACTTAATACCTATATATCATCTTCTATATTTAATTTTTTTACTATTGGCTAGGTATGTGAAAGTATTTCCTGTTTCTTTCCATTCTTTTTAAGAATATATATTTTTTGATTACAAGAATTACACACACTTATTCTCTTTCTGTTTTTTACTCCTAGACATTCACACACACACACACACAGACTCTTTGGGGAGATAAAGCTCTATGGGCTCTTGAGAAAGGTAGGCCCTTCTGTTATCTCTAGTTGTTTAATTAGAACTGAAGCAGACATCTAGAATTGTTTCAAATTAGTAAATTTTTAGCATTGTTTTGTTTTTAAGAATTTCCTTATACCCCAAAAGAACCATTTAGCCGCTTTATAAAGGAAAAAGGAAGAAGGTGCAAAGGTCATATGAGTAGCAGTTTTGAGAGCTCTCCTAATGTGTGTCCAGAAATCCTGGCCACGTCTTTTGTCTGGCCTGGTTATTGCGGCAGACATGAAAAGGCAGGCTTGCATGTGGAAGACATGTAGATGGTAAGCCTTGGTCAAGTCCTGTTTACTGTTACATTGTTTTAAACATGAGGGGAGTGTCTCATGTTGGATACCAAAGCTAGCTAAATTAAGCCAAAGAGGACATATGAAATACCATTTTATTTTCTCCTGGATTTCTGTGTCCTTGGCAGAAGTCTAGTTAGTATTTTCTAGCCCTAATTATTTTCTTTCAGAGTTAAGTTCTAATATTTTCTTGAAGTAAAAATAGTCTGGTAAGAGAAATACTTTAACTTAAAATAGTTTCAAAAGAAAAAGGAAAAAATTAGCTTAAATGATTTTTAAATTGATTACAGAAAAAGTTTGATTTTAATTTTTATGCACTTTTATACATATTGAAGGGAAAGACTGAAAAGATTTTACTTATTTTAAAAGTGTGTTATATTTATACATATACTTTAATTACTAGCTTTTCTCAATATATTATAAACCTTTGATAGTCATGAAATATTCTTCTATAATGTATTGTGATTTTTAATGTCTGAATAATATTTATTCTAAAAGCATACCATTGTGTGCTTTTTCCTGTTGTACATTTGTTTTCAACTATTTCTTAATCTGAAAAGTTAAACACCAAAATGGGATGATAGGACACGTCTACTCATGCAAATATCCTAAAGAAATTGCCCCTCACAGTCAAGTAGTATACAGGTAAATAAAAGTACTAATATTATGTACCAAGTTAATATGGAAAAAAAAAGAAAACTCATTTGTCTCAATAGATGCCCAAAACTTATCTGATGAAATGCAAACTTGAATCTTGATTTAAACTTAAAATATAATAGAGGTTCCTAACTCTCTTAACATTGAAATATGATATAATTATCCCTTTTGAGTTTGTTCTGGTATATGGTGTAAGTTGGTGGTCTAGTTTCATTTATTTGCATGTACAGTCCAGTTCTCCCAACACCATTTATTTATTATTTTTAAAAAAGGTTTTATTTATTTATTTTTGGAGAGAGAGGAAAGGAAGAGAGGGAGAGAAGCATCAATGTGTGGTTACCTCTCACACGCCCCCTTCTGTGGACCCATCCCGCAACCCAGGCATGTGCCCTGACTGGGAATCAAACCAGCAATTCATTGGTTTGCAGGCTGGCATCCAATCCACTAAGCCACACCAGCCAGGGCCCAACACCATTTGGCTATCTTTATTCCATTGAATGCTCATGTCCCCTTTGTTGAATATTAATTGACCATAGATACTTGGGTTTATTTTTGGGTTCTCTATTGTGTTCCATTGATCTATGTGTTTGTTCTTATGCCAGTACTAGATTATTTTGATTACAGTGGCCTTGTAGTATAGGGCATTGTGATCCTTCCTACTTTGTTCTTCTTTCTTCAGATTGTTGAGGCTACTTGGGGTCTTTTTTGGTTCCATATAAGTTTTTGAAATATTTGTTCTAGATCTGTGAAATATGCCATTGGTATTTCAATACGAATTGTGTTGACTCTGTAGATTACTTTGGGTAGTATGGACATTTTAATGATGTTATATCTTCCGATCCATGAATGCTGTGAATGCTTCCATTTATTTGTATCTTCCTTGATTTCTTTCTTCAGTGTTCTGTAGTTTTCTGAGTATGTCTTTTACTTCCTTGGTTAAGTTTATTCCTAGGTGCTTTATTTTTCTTATTGCTATAGTAAATGGGATTTTTTACCCTAGTTTTTCTTCCTGATATTTCATTGTTGGTATACAAAAATGCCTTCAATTTTTGCATAGTGATTTTGTATCCTGCTGTTTTGCCAAATTCACTTACTCTAGGTTGAGTAGTTTTTTGGTGGAGACAACAGGGTTTCTGTGTACACTATTATGTTGTCTGTGAATAACAACAGTTTTACTTCCTCCTTTCCAGTTTGGATGCCTTTTCTTCCTTTCTTTCTTTCTTTTTTTTTTTTTTTGTCTGATCACTGTGTCTAGAACTTCCAGTACTATGTTGAATAAGAGTTGTGAAAGTGGACACCCTTGTTTTGTTCCTGATCTTAAGGGGAAAGCTTTTAGTTTTTGCCCATTGAGTATAATGTTGGCTATAGGATTCTTGTATATAACTTTTATTATGTTGAGGTATGCTCCCTCTATTCCCACTTTGCTGATTGTTTTTATCATAAATAAGTGCCAGATTTAAGCAAATGCTTTTTCAGCATCTATTGATGTGATCATGTGATTTTTGTCTTTCCTTTTGTTTATGTGATATACTACATTTATTGATTTGAAAATTTTGTATCATCTTTGCATTCCTGGGATGAAGCATATACCAGAATAAACTCAAAATGCATAAAAGACTTAAATGTAAGTTGTGATACCATAAAACTCCTAAAGGAAAACATAGTCAGGAAATTTTCAGATATCCCATGTACCAATATTTTTGCTGATATAACTCCAAGGGCAAGAGAAATAAAGGACAAAATAAACAAATAGGACTAAAAAGCTTCTGTACCTAAAGACATCATCATCAAAATGAAAAGGGAACTGACTGTATGGGAGAACATATTTGCCAATGACACACTGGACAAGGGTTTGATCTCCAAAATATATGAAAAACTCATATGACTCAAGATCAGGAAGACAAACAATCCAATTTAAAAAATGGGCAAAGGATCTGAATGGACACTTCTCCAAGGAAGACATACAGATGGCCCAGAGACATAAGAAAAAATGCTCAGCATCACTAACCATCAGAGCAATACAAATTAAAAGTGCAGTGAGATATCACCTCACACTGGTCAGAATGGCCAACATAACCAAATCAACAAACAATAATGCTGGCAAGGTTGTGGGAAAAGGGGAACCCTAATGGACTTTTGGTGGGAATGCAGGCTGGTGTAGCCACTGTGGAAAACACTATGAAATTTCCTCAAAAAACTAAAATTGGACCTGTTTTTTGACCCAGTGATTCTGCTGCTGGGAATATACTCTAAGTATCCCAAGTCACCATTTCAAAAGAACTTATGTACCCCTATGTTCATAGTGGTGCTATTTATAATGGCCCAATTCTGGAAACAGCTTTAGTGCCCACTAGTAAATGTGTGAATCAAAAAATTATGGCACATTTACACAATGGAATACAACGTAGCAGAAAGAAAGAAGGAGCTCCTACCTTTTACGACAGCATGGATGGAATTGGAGAATGTTACGCTAAGTGAAACATAAGTCACTCGGTGAAAGACTTATACCATATGATCTTACCTATAAGCGGAATCTAGTGAACAATAAACTAACAAACAAAATAGAACCACAGAAATGGAAACATGGAACAGATTGACAGTGACCAGAGAGGAGGAGGAGGGGGATAATGGTAGAAGGAAGGGGAAGGGACTAGACAAATGACCCACAAACATGGACAACAACAGTGTGGGAATTGACTGTGGGAGCAGGGGGTGTGGTGGGATGTGTGGTGAAGGGTAAAGGGGGAAAAATGGGGACAACTGTAATAGAATGACAATAAAAATGATTAAGAATAATAAGAATTAATAAAACAAATATATAATTAAAGCAAAAAACTAATGCTATACATACTAAGGCACTTTGGAAATAAAACAATTACAAAGGTGTTGTTATTACTTAGGTTTAGTATAACACCATAGATCTTGATGAAAATCTATCATATTTTATTGATTGTATTGATTTATTGATTTTGTTGATTGTATTGATTTATTGATCAATTGATTTATTGATTACCTATATTTTTCACATTTTATCATCTTTGATGGCAGGATTTTTTTTAATTGACGGCATGTCATAGTTTGATAGCTATTTTCCTTTTTGGTAGTATAAAAATAATGGTGTGTCTTGCAGTTGATGGCATTTTAGATTTGATGAAATATGATATCATGAAAAGGGAAAAAAAGCAGTAGGTACACAGTATCACTTTCAATACTTGACTGAAATATTCTTAAGGGATATATTTTAAAAGCCTTCTGGGATCTCCAGATTCACAAAAGGGGAATATTTGTAAAATCTTTTTCTTCCCCAAATAAATTACATCTAAAAAATTTTATTTACTGATTGATAGAGAGAGATTGACAGGGAAAGAGAGAGAAAAAAAACATTGATCTCTTTTTCCATTTATTTATGCATTTATTGGTTGCTTCCTGTATGTACCCTGACCAGAGATTGAACCTGCAGCCTTGGCATATCAGGACAAGGTTCTAACAAACTGAGCTGCCCAGCCAGGGCTAGAATGAATTACATTTTTTTTTTTGAGTCACAAAATTTCTGTGCATAACCCCACACTATAGATTAACTGCCTTTTCAGTCTTCACTAAGATTTAATCTCTCATGTAAAGGCTATTTTTTCTCATAAATTTTTTTAAAAAAATTACTTCATTGCTCATAGTAAGGAGTGAACACGGCAGAACATGGAGATGTGTCTACTGAGCTTTGACCAGTTTCTTTTCTAGCTAAGCGACTCATTCCATCAGAACACACCCACTGCACAGTAGCAAATGACACATTAACTCTTATGTACCTTTGCAGAAGTCCCAATTGAAACTACAAAACTAAATATATGGAAGCCACAATCTGGCGAATGAGTTAAGCAAAGTTGCAGCACATCAGATGAAACAAAATCAAATGCTTCAACGATGAGAGGAGATTCTCTTATTGTATGGGGATTTAGAATGTTATGTTCCGGTCTGGGTACAGCGCTTTAAGTCACATTAGATTATTTTCAAGCTGCTGAAGGACGTTGGGGGAAATCTGAAGTACCTCTAGGTTTAGTCTGATTCAGAAGGGATGTGATGATTTTTCAAATACAGTGGTGGACAAAAGTAGGTTTATGGTTGTAATACAAATAATAACACAAGAATAAATTCTGTCTTTCACATACTCATGACTGTAAACCTATATTTGAAGGTTTATTATTATTGTTAGACTTTGTCTCTAGAACTGGGACCAGTGAGAAGTGCTAAAGGAATAAATAGAGGGGTTTATTAGTGGGAACTGTCAAAGGTGATATGAGAGGCCTATGAGGGCATCCCCAGCAAATGTGTTCCAGCAGAGGTTAAATGGTAATTTGCAGTATTACAGAGGAGAGTCAAATGTGGGATGGATAGTTGAACTCAATGACAGTAGTTTTCTCTAGCCTTGTTGCTATGTAAATCTAGGGAAAAAAATGGTTAGAGTAAAACAAATTGGCTTCTAATTGGATACACTTCAGTTATCTTCCCTTCCTTGGAGGCTTCTCACGTGATCGTGCCTGTCTTCGATCCTTCCCCCCTTGGGCAATCTTACCTGTCACTGGCTAACTGACAAAGCATTGGGGGCCAGGCAGGGTGAAGTAAAAGGAGCAGAAGTGGCGCTCCTGCCAGGGAGATAAGCTTTTGTCTCCTTGCTGGCTTACGGTCCAAGGTCATTCCCTCAGTCTTAGTCTTGGCAGGGGTTACAGCTTCTGATACCAGGCAGGGCGGTTCCCAACACTTATATATGATTACCACTATTGGGAGTATGGTTGAAAATGCTAAAATATCCCTATTAGAGAGCTGTGGAATGCAGAAGCAACTGAGGGAAGTAAGACCCAGTGCCTAGGTAGGAGGGGGCTGGATTGTAGGCTTTACGAGCCTGGAAAGGTCAAAGAACCATTGGGTTGCATGGAATGACTATTAAAGAATTAATCTGCACCTGGCTGGTGTGGCTCAGTGGATTGAGTGCCAGCCTGTGAACCACAGGGTTTCTGGTTTGATTCCCATTCAGGGCACATGCCTGGGTTGCAGGCCAGGTTCCCAATAGGGAGTGTGTGAGAGGCAACCACACATTGATGTTTCTCTCTCTCTCTTTCTCTCTCCCTTCCCCTCTGTCTAGAAAGAAATAAAGTAAAATTTTTAAACAAAAACAACAACATAAAAATTAATTTGCTAAATGTTAATAATCATTTAAACTCATTGTGGCAGTTTATTTGGTGTTCATTATTAAGCTGGGTCACTTATTTTCTTTGTAAAAAGTTTTAAAAGCAAATTATAATCTCGGAGAACAAATTTGACTCGGAACAAAAAATTTTTTTTGCTCCTGAAATAATTCCCACCTCCCCGATAAAGAGAAACCTTGGTGCCTATCAGCCGTGGATCAAGTGGCCCAGCTGTTAGATAAGTGCTTCTTGAGTTGGTTCTTCTGTAAGTAATTCCCTCCCCCACCCAAAGCTCCAGAATTGGGAGGCTACCCAGAACAATTGGTGCCCTATCCACCATGGTGCTGATGTGACAGATGGTCTTATTAGGTGACCAAGAGTAGAGGCACAAAAATCAGACATCAAGGTATCAGGTAGGTTTTTCTGAGGGGGAGTACGTGAGGGACCTATGTGAACTGAATCTTGAGCACCTTGTAATATACACATTTCACTGTATGTTACAATTTTAGTAGCTTAGAATAATATATTAATGAGTTGAGTGTCTCCTCTTAAGATTTTATTATTTACCTTTTTTGAGAAATCACCCTAAGATTTGATTACACAGAGGTGGTGAAAAGAAATATTTGGTAACAGAAACTAGAATAAGAGTATAAAGCAATTTATAATTCATTGTTATTGTTTTTCATGCTAATTTTTTGAGAACTTAAGGTGTGTTGGCAATAGAAGCATCTTATAATATATTTAGAAAGTTCCCACACTAACATCTAATTATCCTATGATACATACTAAGTATGTCACTGGTAGTATTAATCAGTTGTGCCTAACCATCACATGTAAAGTGTGAGTAAATACATTTGGATTTCCAAATTGAGCATATTTTGCCTTAGCAGAGGGAGTGGCAACAGCTTTGGATTTCTTTATTCAATGAATTTGGATTGGAGGGGAATGTACACCCTGAGCAGCAACACCATGATGCTCCTAGTGGTCAGAAGTGAGAAGACGGGTGGGCTGTGAAACAGTTGCCTCCTCCTGCACTGTGTATGGGCTCTGCAGCCCTGAGGGAGTGCCTGTGCTGTTTAAGGGCTGTGATGTTTTCACTCAGCCTCTCTTTGGTTTCATTTTTGAATATTGTACTGCAGTTGAAGGTAGAAGAGGTTTTTAGAAGAGAAATAACTCTAGATTCTGAAAGAAGTATATGTCTTTGAGGCACAAGAGTATTGTCAAGTGAATTTTGACACTTTTGAGGGGGTCATGCATATTATCAGTGATTGTGTATTTTGAGAGTACTTATTTAATAACCCCTTAAAATGTGTTGAGTAATAAGATAAAAATAGACATTTAAAAATCACTTTTTTGTTGTTGTTGGGTGGCAAAATCACTTGGAAGGTCTACACAAGCCCTTCTGTGTGCTCTCTGGATCGAGTAGTTGCTGGATTTCGAACACGAAGTCAGATGCTCCTGGGCCACATAGAAGAGCAAGATGAAGTCCTCCACTGCCAATTTTCTGATAACAGTGATGATGAAGAGTCAGAAGGCCAAGAGAAATCTGAAATTAGGTATGTTAAATATAGACTGAATTAATAAACGTACACTTTTATGCTGCAGTAAATATACAAATGGAAAGTTTTTTCATTAAAGTGTATCTTTTCCATTTAAATAATAGTAGGTAATTTTTGCTAAATGTACTGTCAACTAATGTACTGTGAAACCAGTGTTTGAACATGAGTTATCAGACTCACAATTGAAAAATAATTTTGCTTTTAGAGTTTTTATAGTCATTATATTTTAGTTTTCAGAGAGAATGTCTTTGGATTTCCTGATTCAGCTGCCACAGTGGCAACAAACAAGCAATAATGAATTTCCTGCTGGGCCCAAAGTGGGTGGGAATATTAGTAAAATTCTGTTTATGTAATTAATAATTCTCTTAACATTATTGGCACTTTGGGGGGAAGCTGATTAGGGGGCAGATTAGCAAACACTAACAGACAAGTTGTTACCTTTGACCCTGATCTTTTTTTTTAGACGTAGAAGTCGCTCATGGATTCAAAAGCCAGGCTCTGTTTGTTCTCTTGTTGAATTGAATGATATGCATGATCAAACACAAAAGTCAAGTTTGGGGAATGAAGGTACACAGACTTACTTAAGTAATTTACATGTAATGTTTATAAGACATTTTTTTTTTCAGTCAGTAAGTTAAGAAGCATCTAGGGATTCTCAGAGATGGGAACCTGATAGGATTGTTTTCCTGGTTGGTAGAACTTCCTTTATGTTCTCTGTTCTACTTCTGATTTATTATTATTTTTTACTCCTCAGTAAGAAATTTTTCCCACCAATCAATTCTGGCTAGAGTTATAGGCCCAATCTCTTAGAATGGGGAGTTTATACTCAAACCTAAGTTGGTATGCATTGTACTCTTGACTACTTTAAAATACATCTTATATAATTTACTAGGTGTCTCCTTTCCTGTTTCACTGGCACACATGCCTATCATTAGTGCTGTACCCTTGGCATTGGAGCCAAATTAGTCCATGGGTGCTCATAATATTCAAATACACATTATTTGATGCATAACAGCATAAAATGTTTATTTTCTAAAAACTGTAGTAGGATATTTTTAACTCATTTATCGTGGCCCGTGAGTGGTAAAAGCACAAAAAGTATGAGTATAGAAAATATAAATAAAATGGTAAATAAGATCTACACCATGAAAACAGAGAGCCTTTTTAAAGAACCCATGCTTGTAATATTTAACAAAAAATTACCTATATGTCACAAATAAAACCGAAGTAACATTTTAAATGTGTAAGTGATATAGGTAAGTGCTATCCAAGTTGCCATTCTTGACTATTACTGGTTTATAAGCAGGAAAGAAGCTTATGTCAGAATGTAAATCAGTGTACTACCTCTTTCACTGAGGAAGTCTCTCTATGAAAGAAAAAGATCAGCTAAACTAAATGACGACATAGTTGATTTACCGTCTGGTGTAAGATAATAGCAAACAGGGCTGGCCCACACTCTAGTAGTCTGGTGTAGACTACATTTTTTTATTACAACAAGACTAGAAGTTAATAGGAAAAAATTCAAACCTCTACCCACCTGGAGATTTTACAACTTTCTTAAATAATTCAAGTTAAAAACTCAAATTGCAGAATATCTAAGGGCAATGAAAACTTGTATCAGAACCTATGGGATATGACTAAAGCATGTATGTAGTATGGGTGTGATTATAGCCTTGGACTTGAAGGAAAAAATGACAGTATTTACTTCAGTTCCCCTAAATGTGACCAGAGAGGAGTTTTTCATTGGAGTTGGGGAAAAGAAATGCTAGTGTCTCTTAGGAAAGGAAAGGAAGACTCTTTCCGTAAGCTGGAAAACTGCAGTCCCAATTTCCATGTATTTTCCCTTCCCTGTCTCTGTTTGTCTCTTCCTCTGTTACCTCTAGACTGTTTCTGTGTTCACTGTTCTTTTTTAGCTTTACTTCTGTGGAATATTTCATAAGCACGTAGTTTTATTTCTCAGTTTTGTTTCTTTTATTTTAAAGATTCAAAGATTGAATGTCTTCGAGAGAGTCAAGAATTGAATTTGCAAAAATTAAGGACTTCAGAACTCATACTTACTGAAGCCAAACAAAAAATGAGAGAACTTACAATTAACATCAATATGAAGGAAGATCTGATTAAAGAATTAATGAAAACAGGTAATAGTATCCAATGAAGGTGTGTTCTAGAGCTAGTATGTGGAGGTTAGTTATTAAAAGAACTTTGTTACATTGAGATTCATCTATGAATTATTCTAAACAGTGTGAATTCTGTGTTCTGTTGAAACTCTGTGGCACTTACTGTTTTTTGCTTGCTTTATTTATTTATTTATTTATTTATTTATTTTTAGAGAGATGAGGAGAGAGGGAAAAAGAAAGGGAGAAACATCAACCAATTGCCTCTCACATGCTCCCAGCTGGGGACCTGGCCTACAACCCAGGCACGTGCCCTGACCAGGAATCAAACCAGTGACCTTTTAGTTTGCAGGCCAGCACTCAATCCACTGAGCCACCCCAGCCAGGGTTGTTTTTTGCCACTTTTAAAGAAATGTTATACTAGGTATCTGGGAATATATCTGAGATGTTTTTCTAACTCATTTTAATAATTACTTAAATTATTAATCTTTATTTTCTTGGATAGTTAATGTTAACAGTAATGTTAAACTTTATATTTTAAGTGAAGTTGATTTTTAGTTCTCTGAAGATACAAGGATTTATTCTTGAGAGCTGTTCTCCTGAGTGAGCTAAGCTTCTAGCTCTTAGCCTCAGATTTGTGCGAGGTTGTTGTACGCACCACATCCTCTCCTCATCCTCAGCTACCGTAGGCTTGCCCTAAAAAGTCCATCTCAAGCCTTTTGCCTTCCTCCCCAAATACACTCAGTGTATGAGCCTTGACTACTCTGCAATTCAGTTAAGAATTGAAGGAGTAAGAGACACTAGCATTTCTTTTCCCTAACTCCAATGAAAAATAACTTTCTGTACTTGAGCAACAGTAAAACAAAAGAAATAATAGAAATAACTTTCTGGTCACATTTAGGGGACTTGAAGGAAATACTCATTTTTCCTTCAAGTTCAAGGCTATAATCACACCCAAACTACATGAATTTTGGTTGGTCCCAACTCCTCTGCCAGCGAGGGGAAACCTGTCTTCTCACTTCCCCCTCTTTCAAATTTGCTTTCTAGCTGTTGGTCCTTCTTTCTTCACCGCCTCTCCCAAGCTGCTGTCCCAAAATGTTTTCCTTCCTTGTTCCTAGTGACGTATGTGCTGTGCATCATCCCAACTTCAGTATCTCAGTGTTTCATTAAATTTGACCATGCTCCTTCTTCATAGGCAGGATCATTGCCAATGAATGTGATCATCCCTAAGCACTCTCCTAGGAGTATCCAGGAACTGATTTAGGGATTTAAATAGCTTCTCTATCCCTAAGATTTCAGGCTACTGCCTGTGGAAGTTGAGGACATTTACCCTTCTGGAATAAATGATTTTCTTTTAGATAGTTATCTTACTGTGGGCTATCTTACTAAACAAGCACACTTTTTTTTTAGCCTGGATACCCATTCTGGTTGCCTTAGGGTACCTGAATGGACACAGAGAAGATCCTGTTCTTACTCATTAGAGCCAAGGGACCCTTAGTTCTAGCAAACTAAGATGGTGACTAGCAAAAGGGTCAGTGTGTGCTGACTTTTCAGAGGTGCCTTAATAAAGATTTTTCCTTAGAATAAATTTCCTTAGAATAAATAAATTCTTTTTCCAAAGAATTGCAACTACTTCAGCCAATAATAAGTGATTATTGTACTGTGTTTTATAAATTCTAATAACACATTTTTCACATTTTAATATCTCTGTAATCAGAATATACCTTACAATCAGTGGCATATTAGCATCTTATCATGCCATTGGTTAATTGGCACTGTACTTTAGTTCATAAAATATTGGTGCAAACACTTTATGGTGTCTTAGATTTATTAAAATGTAGTAGTCATATATGTTTTTAAAGTTAGTCAAATAATCATAGAGTGTAGAGTCAGAAGACAATTCATAGTACATTTAGTTTAATAACTTTTTAATTTAAAAATTAAGAGATTTTTAGTGTAACAGTATGACAAACTGTCACTGGTGATTATTCATCTCATGACCTCCAGACTCTTAGTTCCCACTGCCACGGGTTTGCTAGTCTAGTTCAGGGACAGCCGACTGTTCAGAACCAATCAAAACCAAGTTTTTAGGTTCAGTAGCTGGATTAGAATGAAAAGAAATATAGAAACATCTCATTCTATTTTTCCCTGTGTTCTAAATATTTGTAGGAAAAGCATTTAAAAAGAATTCATCTTTGCTCTGACTGGTGTGGCACAGTTGGTTGGGCATCATTCCGCAAAGTGAAAGGTTGCAGGTTCAATTCCCGGTCAGGGCACATGCCTGGGTTGTGGGTTTGGCCCCCTGTCAGGGTATGTGTGAGAGGCAACTGGTTGATGTTTCTCTCTCACACTGATGTTTCTCTCCTTCTCTTTCTCCCTCCTTTCTCTCTCTAAAAATAAATAAGATATTTTAAAAAATAATTCATCTTTAACATGCTCAATGGAATGAAAAAGGAAGGGGCCAGCTCTAGATTAAAAGATTAAGAGACATAATAGTCAGATGTATCATGGATCTTGTTTGGGTCTTAATGAAAATAAGCCAGTTGTAAAAGACATTTTGAAACAATCGGGGAAGTCTGAATAGGGCATTGGTAGGTATTAATATTGTTAGGTGTAATAATGATTCTTTGTTTGGGTCCATATTTTGTATAGATGCTCATTGAAGTATGATTAGGTGAGATATGACATCTGGGGTTGTTTTACAATTTTTAAGCAATTAAGTGAAAGAAAAACATAGATGAAGTAACTATAGCGAAGTCTTGATAACTCTTTATTCTGGGTGATGAGCACCTGTTAATATCATTTCTCTACTTTTAGTATGTTGAAAATTTTTCATAGTAGTAGTAAAAAAAAAAGAATTCAGAGAAACAGATTATGGGTAGCAGGAAGTTGAAGTGAAATAAGTAAAAGGCCAAAGAGTAACCCCAGATACCCTTCTTAACTAGAGTTTGATGCCAGCAGAGCTAAACTACATATTCAGAAGACTAGAAGTGTCACACTAAACACAAAAAATCCATTGTGAAGAATGACTGGCACCAGATGGAAACAATAATTAAGGAACTAATTATTAGGAGGCCAGGTGGCAAGTTGTGTTTGAATTTTTAATGTGATGCCTTAAATATTTACAATGCTCAGCTAGATTTGTAGGAGTAGACCATTTTTATGTTTTTGATGTTTTGGTTTTTAAAAATACAATTTGTAATTGTTACTACTGTTATTACTATGGTGAAGGTAATGATGCCAAGTCTGTAAGCAAACAATATTCTCTGAAAGTAACAAAACTTGCGCATGAAGCAGAACAGGCGAAAGTGGAATTAATTGAGACAGAAAAGAAGCTACAGGAACTGGAAAACAAAGATCTTTCTGATGTTGCTTTGAAAGTAAAATTACAGAGGGAGTTCCGTAAAAAGATGGATGCTGCAAAGCTGAAAGTCCAGGTAATTTTAAAATGTCATTGAGAAAACCTACTTAAAGCTTTCTATTTTTGAGGATTTTTGTATGTAGTTAGGAAAGAAGTAAGATTCTGTTTTTACCAGCAAGATAAATTGGAATGCAGCTTTTCTTTTCCCGAGTGCTGGTAGGTTTACATAATTTTGATCGGGGTAATATATTTCTGCATTCAGGAGGTGTATTGTCTTGACCTGGCTGTTGTGGCTCAGTGGGTTGAGCACTGGCCTACAAATCGAAAGGTCACCTGTTCAGTTCCCAGTCAGGGCACATGCCTGGGTTGTGGGATCTGCAAGAGGCAACCCAGTGTTTCCTTCACACACTGATGTTTCTCTTTCTTTCTCTCTCTCCCTTCCCTTTTCTCTAAAAAACAAAATCTTTAAGAAAGAAGTATAATACCTTAATCTTTTTATCAAAAAACATAAGGTAAGAAATAAAGATAACCACAGAAATAATGTTCTTTTCTAAAGGACAAAAGATTGGTGATTAAATAATGGTATAAAACATCTGCATGGCACTTCGTAGACACTCAGCAAATAACTGTTTCAGTTTTCTCAACCCATAACTGATTGAAGAAAGGTTAATAATTCCTAGTACTATAGCTTATTAATTTCCTATTGCTGTATTTAGATATATCCTCAGAAATAGCTGCAGTTAAAAATTCTATCCTATGAGAGAGATTTGATTACAGAGATTTTGTGTAAGGAAGCCTTTTTTAGATACTGTTGGTATTGTCAGACTGCTTCATTAATCTGATTGCAGTGAATTTGCTAGAATGCTTTCTTTCATTTTTTATTAATAATTTATTGCTTTCATATCTTTTCCACTGTACGTAGACCAGAATTGTAGGTAGAACAGGATTGCAGGCAACCTATTCAAGGCATTATTTATTTATTTTTGAAACTGTTCTATAGTTATTTTCTTTCAACAAGGTGTTCACTGCATATCTCCTCTGTGCCAGGTCCTGTTCTATTTGGGAATGCAGAAATTGACAGTGCCCCCCACATCCCTCCTCTTGGGGTTTTATAATGACACTTCAAACATCTGGACATTACCACTAAAATTTTTTACCTAAGTAGCCTCAAGTCAACACCAAGTTAAAATAATAACTCAAAAGTTTGAACTGATTAAAGGAATGTGGTAATTGTCCATATCATACCTTTTACTTGTCTTCAGAATACTTATTTGCACTTAGTAGTTCACCTCAGAGTGTCTTGGGATTAATTCTGTTTTACTGCTTGATCCTTTAATTAAGGTTGTGATGTGTAATAAAGTACTCATTTTAACAAAACATTAGTAGAATAAAACAATTAAGATTTTTTTGTACTTATTATAAAATATTATTTATAATTTCATAGTTTTATATCCTAACCAATTCTGATTATAATTTCAATTCTTATATCAGTATTAATAATGGCTAGAATTACTATTTTTCTAAGGAGGTTATTATATTTATGTATCTTCTGTTTAAGCCTTGTTTATGGATTTAGCAAAGATTATTTTTATATGTTCTATATCTCATACAACTAAAATGGTTGAAATTAAATGAAAGATTATTAATAGGGCTTGTGAATTACCATGTTCCTTTTGTTTTTCAAGTTTCATGCTGCATATCCTTTTCTCCTAAGGGTCCTGATAAGGAAAGGAAAGAAGACACAGAACTTAAATTCAGACAAAACATCTCACACAGTAGAGGACTGAAACAAGATCCCTATGTAGTTTTAGAAATGACTGCCTTTGACATATCCATGCAGAACTGGTGGGGGAGGGGATGATGAAGACGGTGGAGGATGGTGGAGTGGGTGAGGAGGAGGATGACAATTACCAGATATGAAGAGTCACAAAGTGCCATATACATAGCAGGTGTTTTGTATGTTTTGTATGTGTTACTTAGTCATTAATTCTTTGAAGTGGGTATTTTTATCTTATTTTATAAATGAGCAAGCTAAGATTTAGAAAGGTAAAATAACATTTCAGGATCACATAGTTGTAGTAAAAATACCAGCTTTCAGTATTCTAACATACCATTTTAAATATTGAAATACTTGAGTTTTTGGTATAATTAAGTTATTTCAGTTTGTAAAACAAAAGTTTTTTAATTAAAAAATCTTAAATCTGTATTCTTTTTTTTTTAAAGATTTTATTTATCTTTAGAGAGGGGAAGAGAGGGAGAAGGAAATGGGGACAAACATAATGTGTTTTTGCCTCTTGCACGCTCACAACTGGGGACCTGGCCTGCACCCCAGGCACATGCCCTGACTGGGAATCCAACTGGCAATGCTTTGGTTCAGAGGCCGGTTCTCAATCCACTGAACCACACCAGCCTGGGCTGAAATCTGCATTCTTTATCTCATTAGATATATGTACTGTATTTTGCCATGTATAATGCACACCCACGGTTTTTGTGTGCATTATACACTGGATTATTATACCCATCGAAGGCAATCATTATACCCATGTATAATGCACATCCTTATTTTCCCCTAAAAAATTTGGTTAAAATGTGCATTATAAATGACAAAATACAGTAATATATGCTGCATTAATATTTTAATGCTAACTGGTGCACTTTTGAACATCTGTGGATTAAGACCAAAAGCCAAATGATAACCTATCTCACTTTTAAATAAGATTTTCAGTACTTATACTAATGTGGAAAAAACACTAAAATGCTAGTATTATTTTGCTCAAGCATTGCAATTACTGTCAAAATTAAATGTAAGTTCAGTTTTGTATTATTTTAATTTTTACCATGTACATACAATATTTTTAATTAAAATACTCATTAATAAAAAGCAAAGAGATGAATTTTGTTCTCTTTGGCTGTCAGCATCAGGGCGTCTCATCATTCTTTGTATCTTGTGAAAATTATGGTGGTTGCCCAGTTATCAAAGTAGAAATGTAGAAAACAATTGTGAACCCATGAAAAATTAAAAATAAATTAAAATCTAGGCAAAATGTCTACCCTTGCCATTGAATGAAAAGTTTTTTACTTGATGTTTATGAGATGCAATTTTTCATTTTGAAATATTCCATATGGCCCCAGGTCTTACAGAAGAAGCAACAAAATAGTAAGAAGTTGGCATCACTTTCGATCCAAAATGAGAAATGTGCCAGTGAACTTGAGCAGAGTGTAGATCACATGAAATATCAAAAGGTACAGCTGCAAAAAAGACTTCAAGAAGAAAATGAAAACAGGAAGCAACTGGATACAGAGATTAAGCGGGATCAACAAAAAATCAAAGTAATATTGTCATACTTTCCTGCTAAGCATAAATGAAATGTGAAATGGCGCAGAGCTAAGGAAGCCAAGGTCTTGACTTGTTTGGCTTGTGAGGTATCTAACCGTGGCCCGTGCATGGCTGCTCTCCTCATTCTCTTTAAAGCTTTGTTCACCTACATAGTAAAACCTATGTGTTGAATTCTGAGTACTGTCTTGAAGGTTTGACTTCACAAAAGAAAGTTCAGTGATACCATTTAACTTTAGTTGCGGCTTTCAAAAACACTTAAAGCCAACTTTATAAATAACATCTAACATTTGAATAGGATTTCCCATTTTCAAAGTGCTTTGAAATACATTGTCGATGTGGCAGCATGGAAAAAAGTACAAGGTAAAATGGTCCCATTTCATCCATAGCATCCAGCAGGTCTATAGAATGGATTTGGACCATGGGCAGGGGACTAGTGGTGTCAGCCTGGGCTCTGGAGCCAGGCTAGCACAGGTTCAAATCCAAGCTCTCCCAGTTTCTAGCTGGATCACTTACTGAGGAAAGTCACCCTTTTTGAATCTGTTTATTCATATCTATAATGGCCTTAATCATATTTGCCTCACAGGGCTCTGAATATAGAGGGGAGGTCACGATCACAACAACAACAACAAACCCTTACCTAGCACTGTACACCAGTCTCTTGTTGACAGGAGAAGCCAGACCCAAAGCTGGGAACATAATTGCAGATTTTCTATATATTTAATTTTGGAATATAATCTATTCTCAGACCTTAAAAAAATCATAGAATTTAGTGATGGAAGGGAACTTAAAAAACATTTAATACAAGTTACTGATTCTTTTTTTTTAACAGCTTTATTGAGATATACTTCACATACTATACAATTCACCCATTTAAATTATGCAATTTAATAGGTTTCAATTATTGCATATTAACTTTTATAAGCTGTGGTAAATATATATATGTACACACATATATATATCATGAAATATATCATTTTAACATTGTTCAGTTGTGCAGTTCAATGGCATTAATTACATTCACAATGTTGTGCAACCATCACCACCTATTTTCAAAACTTTTTTCATCGCTCTAAACAGACACTCTGGAACCATTAAGAACTCCCTGTCCTTAGAGAAAGTAGAGAAAGTAGATTCTTTCTCTAATCTACTTATCTCTCTATGAATTTGCCTATTCTAGATATTTCATAAAAGCGGAATCATACAACATATTTGTCCTGTGTCTGGGTTATTTCACTTAGCATATAATATTTTCAAGGTTCATGCACATTGTAGCATGTATCAGAACCTCATCCCTTCTTATGACTGAATAATATTTCATTGTATGCATATACAACATTTTGTTTATCCATTCATTTGTTTGTAGATATTGGGTTGTTTTCACCTTTGGCTATTGTGAATAATGCTGTGATAAATATTGGCGTATAAGTAATTGTTCAAGTCCCTGCTTTCAATTTCTTTGGAACTGAAATACCCAGGAATGAAATTGCTGGGTCATATGGGTAATTCTTTATTTAGCTTTTTTGAGGAAGCATTTAATGTTTTCAATAGAGGCAGCACTTTTTACATCTTCACTAGAAATGTGTAAGGGTTTTGATTTTTCCACACCTTTGCCAGTGTTTGTTATTTTCTGTTTTTTATTATAGACATCCAATTTCCTGTGAAGTAGTATTTCATTGTGGATTTGTACTTTCCAAATGACTAATGATGTTCACCATCTTTTCATGTGCTTATATCTTCTTTGGAGAAATGTCTGTTCAAGTTCTTCATCTACTTTTTTGTTCCTGTTTCAACTTGTTTTTATTTTATTTTTTATTGAATTTATTGGGGTAACACTAGTTAATAAAATTAGGGTGAAAAAGGTGAAGAGTTAAAGCAAAACAAAACAAAACAAAAAACACCTTATAGCCACAGACAACAGCATAGTGATTACCAGAGGGGAAGGGGATGGAGGGAGGCAGAAGAAGGCATATGGAGGATAAATGGTGATAGAAAGAGTCTTGTCTACTTTTTAATTGGATTGTTTGTCTTTTGTTGTTGAGTTATGGGAGTTCTTTATATATTCGGGACATTTAACTCTATCAGATACATGACTTTCAATATTTCAACCCATTCTGTAGGTTGTCTTTAAACTTTCTTGATAATCTTTGATGCAGCAAAGTTTTTCATTTTTATGAAGTCCAGTTTATGTATTTTCTCTCTTGTATTTCATGTCTAAGAATCCACTGCCAAACCTAAGATCATGAAGATTTACCCCTGTGGTGTTTTTTAAAGATTTTTATGGCTTTAGCTCTTATATTTAATAGGTCATTGATCCATATTTAGTAAATTTTTATGTATGGTGTGAAATAGGGGTCCAACTTCATTCTTTTTCATGTGGAAATCTATTTGTCGTAGAACCATCTGTTGAAGAGACTATTCTTTCGCCACTGAATGGATTTGATACCCTGGTCAAAAATTAATTGGCTGTAGATTTGTGGCTTTATTTTTAAACTCTGATTTCTATTCCATTTGTCCATAAGTCTGTCCTAATGCTAGTACCACACTGTTTTGATTACTGTGATTTTGTACTAAGTTTTGAAATTGGGTAGTCAGCCCTCCAACTTTCTTCTTCCTTTTCTAGATTATTTTGGCTATTTAAGGCCCCTTGCAATTTTGTATGGATTTAAGGATCAACTCTTCTGTTTATGCAGAAAAGGCCACTAGAATTTTGATATGGATTGCATTGAATCTGTAGATCTTTTAGTGTAGTATTGACATCATGACAGTATAATGTCTTCCTACCCATGGAGCATTTATTTAGGTCTTTAATTTCAGCAATGTTTTATAATTTTCAGTGTACAAGTCTTTTACTTCCTTGGTTAAATTTATTCCCAGGTATTCTCTTTTTTAGATGTTATTGTAAATGTAATTGCTTTCTTAATTTCCTTTACTCATTCTCAATAATGGGAATTATTATTATGGCAGTAGTTAACATTTATTGAGTATTTACCCTCAGTCAATACTATGCTAAGCACTTATGTTCTTTAACTCACTTAATTCTTCTATATTTCCAACTTTTCCTTTTCTCCTAGAATCCTTCTTTAAACATCTTAGATTTTTTGCTCATCCTAAAATTAATCCTTCAGTTTTATATTACGTTCTCTCACTCTGTTCTCCCCTTTATAACCAAGCTTCTTGGGAAAGTTTACTGTATTTGTTTCTGTTTTTTCTGCTTCCATTTATTTTCGTATCCTCTCCAGTCTGGCTTCAGGCTCCACTTCAAAGCTCTGAGAAGTTCCCTAGTGCTCTTTGTCCGTGAAATCCTTGCCATTTTTTTTTAATCCTCATTCAAGGACCTTTTTTTATTGCTTTTAGAGAGAAAGGAAGAGAGAGAGAGGGAAACATTGATGTGAGAGAGAAACATCGATTGGTAGCCTTTCATATGCACCTGGACCAGGGAACTGAACTCATGACATAGGTATGTGCCTTGACTGGGAATTGAACCTGCAACTTTTTGGTTATGGGATGACGCTCCAGCCAACTGAGCTACACTGGTCAGGGCTAAAGTCCTTGCCTTAACACCTTGGTTGCATCTAGCACAGTTCACTACTTCCTCCATCTTGAAATATTTTCCCCATTGCCTTGGTGAAATTATTCTCTGTTTTTTTCTCTTTCTGATGGATTGCTTGTTCTCTGTCTTACAGAGAACATCTCTTACTAACTCATCTTACACTATGAGTCCTTTACATATGGGAATTCCTCAAAGCCCTCTCCTGTGTCCTCTTCTATATTCTGTCTCGGGTTACCTCATCTTTTTCCATGGCTGCAGTTAAACTCTGACAACTCCCAGATTTAATCTTTTATCCCAGATTTGCTCTTTGAGCTTTGGCTTCATATCTGGTGATATCTTCATTAGGTCATCCTATATATGAATTTATGATCTTCCTTACTAATCTCCCTACTGTCTCCCTTCCCTGCTTCCTTCATGGGGAAGAAAATACAGTTTTCCAGCATGCTTTATATGATATTTCAATCTACTTAATTGGGTAAGCTAGAAATTTGGCAGTCATTTTTGACTCTGTCCTTTCCTTATCCTGTATTCAATGAACCACTAAGTCCCATAGGTTATATCTTCTAAATATCTTGAATCTGTTCACTTCTTATTTCTACTGCCAATGACCTTGTCTCTTTAAGTCCTTCCTGCAGTGTGGGAAACAGGCCTGCCTGCCATTCTTATGGTCTTTGGATCTTAGCTGCTCATCTCTCATAGGCCGTGGCTTAAACCAACAAGATGTAGAACTCTCTCACCCTGACCAGTGTGGCTCAGTTGGTTGCAGTGTCATCCCGTAAACCAAATGGTGGTGGGTTCGATTCCTGGTCAGGACACATACCCAAGTTGTAGGTTCAAACCCCGGTTGGGGCATATGCAAGAAGGCAAACCAATGGATGTTTCTCTCTCTCTCTTTCTTTCTCTCTAAAGGCAATAAAAAAAAATGACCTTGGATGAGGATTAAAAAAAGAAAGATATAGAACTTTCTAAATATATGCTTAGGGAAAAGAAAAAACTCTTTTAGCCAGAGAGCATATACTGCTAAAATATAATTCTGTCTGTAACTTTAAGTTTTTACATTCTGACATAGGACAGTTTTGTTCCTTTAGCCATATTTTACATTCAAGGGAAATGACCCATTTAAGGGGGAGAATGAGAATTCCAGAAAAAGGAACGACCTGCCCCAAAGATATATTGAAGTTTGTATGACTTCACACACAAACAGAAAACCTGCTCACAGTCCTAAAGGTCATCCTGCCCTCTGGTGGGAGCTAAGTGACACTCCTGTTTGTCCATTTTCCACTCAATTGCGCCACCTCCAGAGAATACTATGACTCTGCATAGGTTCTTAGAACAGCGGTTCTTAACTGAAGTCCATGGATGACTTATAAGAAAAGGTGTGGGAACTCCTGGTATTGTGGGCCATAGTGTGATCTTGGGCTTTTTACTTCTTTAAGCACTAATTTCCTCATCTCTAAAATTTAGTTCATAATAATCCCTGGCAATAGGATTATTGTGAGGATCAAGTGGGGTACTTGAATAGATGTAAAAAGGCTAGCATAGTGCCTGGAAGAAAGTTATTTTAATATTGTAACAGGGATTACAATATAAAATAAAGGCAATAATGTCTACTGCAACATGTAGAAGAAGGAATTAGACCTAGTGCAATGTTCTTTTAAAGCATATGGGGAAGAATAGGAATTGTAGAGAGTTAGCTCCAAGTACAAGTTACCTTTGTCTAAGCATCCTGAAGTTTCTGTGACTATGGCAGGTGATAAATCATAACTATGAGCTAGATCTAGGGAAGCCTGAAAAATCGATGGGTAATAATTATAATAGGGTCCAAATTCACCCATAATGCAACTCAAGTGGGCAGTGAAGATTTATTCAGTCTGTGGCAGACCTGTGTTCTTTATGACATCCCCTGACCCTGCCTAATACATGTCATGATAATTGCTGGACACATGGTGGGAACTAACCAAATGTCTAGTCTGTTTAAACCTTTTATGATAATTTAAACATTTCCTTTAAATAATTTTCAGCTCTCTTGAATAAGAATAGTCATTCTCTTAGCCTCTTCTGCCCTGTGCTTCTCTCCCTCAGATGGAATCCAGTGTATGTGATAGTTGGGTGTATAGCTTTTTATTGCAGCATGTGGAGGTGAGAGGGGAGTGGCCCCTTGAGTTCCAGTTGGTCCTTGGATGTGAATAGCTGGAATCTGCTCTCCTTTGTCCACCTTTCCTTGCTGGCCTCTGATGATGAAACATGTGGCTGGTGTAACTCATAGTCTGGTCTTGCTTTTAGCATAGAGCATGGTGGTGCTTTGACTTCATCTCATGTCCTCATAGTCTTTCACTTAGCTTGTGGTCTATCCTCACCTTCAGTTTTGGGGTTGATTCTCCATGATAATTGACCCTATTGGTTCTCAACTCTGGGTCCATGTCACCTGAGAACAGGGGGTTCAGTTAGTCTCTCTTCCTGACTGTACTTTTCTCTTTCTGGAAAGCCGGGCATCCCACATGGGTGTGAGGCTTCTGCACTGCAGTCCACATTTTCTACCTCTGCCCTCAGTGATACCTTACTTACCACCGCCATTCTGGGCCAAAACTGAAGAGAGGAGAATTGGGACACACATCTTTCTTATTGTCTCTCTTCTTCTTTCTGCTATTCTCAGGGCTGGAAAATGGTAGATTTCCTTTTTACTTTATATCAATACTTCTAAAATGACCTGTGGCGGAGGTACAATTTTTATTTTATTACTATTTTATCACAGCCCAATACTTCTTAAAAACATGAACTAGTAAAAAACATAAATTAAAATGTAAAAGTCCATCTTCTACTTATTAGATTCAACAGACTTATTCTGTCAAATTGTGATAAAAATTGAAACTGAAACACTTTCAGTTTCTGTACTTACCTATCATGGACCAGTAAGAGGTGATCTGTGGACTGGCCTCCTTTGATTCCTGGCCTCCATCCTGATTCCTCCTAAGCTGTAGTGGTGACAGTGGCATCTTCTCTAAACCTCGGGAGAGCACTGGGAGCATTGGGCCTCTTGACATGACTCTTAACATGTGGATGGGAACTAAAGGAATTTGGAAAATACTCTTCACAGGACCATGATCCATCCTGCAAGTCTATTCTCATGCTACAAAATCTGATTTCTGAGTGTCAGAAATGGACTAATACCTTTCTTTTTACATATCTATTGTCATAAATTCTATTAGCAGTAATTGTGTCTCACTAAACCTCATTGGCTATGATACTGCCACTGTGCAAAGCTGTTTTGTCATAAATTCTAATATCCCCATGGTGGATGGGTGCTTTGGGTGTACTAACTAAGGGTAATGAGTTCACAAAGGCACAAGAGAAAAACACATTTATAATTTTCAGACTTATCCATGTAACACTAATTTGTAACACTGGGAAAGAATGAAAAAAAAAACCCACTTAGTTTGTCAGTAAACCCTGATTTTTGATAGATTTAATTGTTTCAATGAGGAGCTAATGCTATTTTCTTCTCAAAAATAGCGCCAACCTTCATCTATTGATTTTCTTTCAGAAACTAAGGAAGCAAATGTTAGGAAAATGATTATTTCACAAATATTTAATGAGTACCACATAGTAAAAGCCATAAGGAATTCTGATTTCTCTTTTCTATAGGAGCTAAAGTTAAAAACAGAACTCGAGGAAGGTCTAAAACTGAAAGCCGAGGACCTTGATGCATTTAAGATGAAAAGGAATAAAGGTTCATTTGGAAGTATAGACCAATTACAGGTTTGTCAATTCTATTTAGTGTTTTTTTTTAGTTTTTCTTCTATTTGATGATTGTCTACATAGAGGTAAAAAGTGGTGAACTCTAAAGAAAATTTTCAAACACTAGATTTTTGCACTTGAGGTTAAAATTTCTAATATTTCTTCTGAAACTTTTATTTAAAAATTATTTTCTTATCTAGAAATGTGCTGTATTTTTCAATAAAAAATGGGTATTTGAATATTGTGGAATATATACACGAAACTCACGTTTACTAGGTTGTATTTATTCTCATGTCAAAACCGGTTTATTTTCATGGAAACATACTCATGTATTTCTCAAAATCAGAGCTCTCCATTCATTTTCTATGCACCATATGTAATATATTAAAAAGCTGTTGTTTTTGTGCCACATTTAAACAATGAAATTCAGCCATGACCACTGTGGTTCAGTGGGCTGGGTGCTGGTGCCCAAGATGCAGGTTTGATGGTCTGATTGCCAATCAGGGCACCTGGGTTGCAGGCCAGGTCCCCAGTTGAGGGTGTGTTGAGAGGCAACTGATAGATGCTTCTCTCGCACATTAGTGTTTCTCTCCTTCTTTTTCTCATTCCCCCTTCTCTCTAAAAATAAATACCAGTCTTTAAAAAAATGAAATGCATAAACTAATACCAAATTCAGAGAAACAAAATTTTAATGTTATGTAAATTCAAAATGGCAATTCTAAAAATCTTACAGAAAAATACTACACTTAAAATTGTAATTACATTCAAATACATACACATCACCTTGATGCTGAAAAATGTGTTCTCTCTTCCTAAATTTTATACTTTAATAGTAAAGTTTAGTTGATAATGTACAACAGGTCCTTCAATAACATTATTTCATTCAACATCATTTCATTATAATGTTGATGAGATGCCTTAAGAACTTTACTTTTTTTTAAAGATTTTATTTATTTATTTTTAGAGAGGGAAGGGAGGGAAAAAGAGAGAGAGAGAGAGAAACATCAACCTGTGGTTGCTGGGGGCCATGGCCTGCAACCCAGGCATGTGCCCTGACTGGGAATCAAACCCACAATGCTTTGGTTTGCAGCCCACGCTCACTGAGCTACGCCAGCCAGGGCAAGAAGAACTTTACTTTTGTTTATATCAATTAGCCTATAGAAAAAATTTTTTAATAATACGTAGTTTTGCTTAAAATTGCAGAACCTACCAATGATGTTAAGTGAGGACTTACTGTATTCCCAGTTATTTATATTACTAGTGTATTTTAGAAATTGGTTAAAGAGCATTTGTGGTGGAAACGGTAGGTGTGGGGGGGAGTAGGAGAGGTTGGAAGGCAAAGAATAGTGAGAGGTATGTTTTAAAATGTTAGGGATTTAAATTTTAAGTGAGTACAGTAATAAAGAGATTCCTGTTTGCTTACACTAACTGTTGGGCTTTAAAAAACCCCGCAAAACTTCATGTTTTTAATGTTGTAAACACTAAACCCATTTTCCAGAATTTGACTCAAAACAAGGACAAGATTATAAGTTAATCAATATGAGTATCCAGAGAACTTATAATAGGACATTGATTTGATATGGAGTTCCCTTATAAGAGGAAAGTATTTAATATTGGAACTGTATGGTAGGAACTTTTGCTATAAAAAGAAAAGATACATCAAGAAATTTTCAGAAAACTAAGATACAGTGAATTTACACAAATCATAATAACCTTTATTGTATTAGTTGCAGAAAAATTCATTTATTTTTGTTTCCCTAGAAAACCTGTATTATGTTAGCAGCCTCCTACCCATTCTTCAAAGGACAGCTAGAATTCTACCTACCCTGTAGGGCTGGCATTGACATTTCTTCCATTTTCCAGACAAAACCAATCCCTTTCTCCATTTTTGCTTATGTGGTACCTAGGAGTTAGCATTTATTACCAACAATAACAACTTTTTGGTTTCTCTCCTGTTGAGAGCTTACGAAAACTCTGTAGTTCATCTTTTAACCCAGTCTCATAGTCAAGGAATGTTTGTAGAATATGTTTAATTGCTGGACTTCATAGGATCTCATATATGGACTTTCTAAGGTATAGCTGGATATAACAAAACTAAAGTATTTTTTATAGTTGTTCTGCGGTATTCTTTCTGTTCCTAAAAATTGTAGAGCTACCATTTTAGGCTTCAGTATGGCTTGGATGTGATAGTTCTGTTGGACCATACTTTCTAGGTCTGGGTCAAAGACTGGTGGCTCTTTGCTGTGGCTATTTTGCTCTATTTTTTTTCTCATGCATATTTACTATGTCATTACTGTAGATTTGATAACATGTAGACAACATTACTGTTGTCTTACTGTAGATTTCTAGGAACCATTTTTTAAAATCAAGTTTGAGATGAACTGGAAAACAGTACTATGTTGGTTTGTTATCTGTTATCTGTTATTTAGTTGGCATTGCCCCACTACTGTGTAAACACAGTGTTTACAGTAGTGAGGCAATAGTGGACTTCATCTTGCACAAATTTTATTCATATTTTTGTTTGTTCTTGTTTCTGGGTATCCTTAATTCAAGAGCATATTAAAATGCTTGTTTTGGAAATCTTTCTGACTATATTTTATTGCATAATTATTAGAGGTTGACAGAATACAGTACAGAGTGGATTTCTATGCTCCATCATTTGTACCTTCCACTGTGTGTATCCATTCATTCACTTCATTGATTAACTGATTTAATCAGGTATTTATTTAGTCATTCCTATAACATTTTATTGAAGGCCAACAAAGGTGGCCTTTGGGGATACAAGGGTGAAAAGTACAATCCCGCAGTCAATCAAGGATCTCAACCTGGGGAGACAGACTGTATGTAGAACAACCAGCAGCATAAATGCTATGGTGGTGGTATGCAGTGCTATGACAGAGAAAAAGATTCCCAGTGTATTCTAACTCTTAATGTAGGTAAAGAAAATTGTCAGCCCTTTCTTGGTCAGCCTAAAAAATTCCAGACTCAAATATATTTGGAGAGTAAATTTTAATTTCTTATTACAACACAGCAAGATGTTAACTGAAGCCATGTACTTCTAGACAGTTTTAGACAGGAACACTCTTTTGTTATTTTCACTAGTAGTTTTTGATGTTCATTTATGGAAGAAGGAAAACAAATAACATTTCTTCAAAATTTTAATTTAGAAATTGGTTGAACAAAAGAAGTGGTTAGATGAAGAAGTAGAGAAAGTGCTGAACCAACGCCAAGAATTAGAGGAGCTGGAAGAAGAGCTAAAGAAACGAGAGGCTATAGTTTCTAAGAAAGAGGCCTTGTTGCAGGAGAAGAGTGACCTGGAAAATAAGAAGTTGAGATCCAGTCAGGTATTCTGTTTGATATGCTGTTTCATTCTGGTTGTAAGTCATATAAAGTAGGATTTTTTTTCTCTAAGAAGTAAACCATTGTGAAGTTGGAAATCAGAAGAAAATGCTTCTGGTTTTCAGTGTATTTTGCTTATCACTGCTTATGTAATGGCTATCACTAAAATCTATTGCGATTTTCAGGTAAAATGTTCAGTATTCTTCCCAGTATGATTTATTACTAACTTTTTTGGGTGCTTTAAAAACTGTGGCAAAATAATGCTCATAACACAAAGTTTACTGTTTTGAGCATTTTTGAATGTACAATTCAGTGGCATTAATTATATTCACAGTGTTATACAACCGTCATTCCTACCTATTTCTAAAACTCTTTATTACCCCAAACAAAACTCTGTAACTATTAAGCAGTAACTCTCCATTTCCCCTGGAAACCTCTATTTTAATTTTAGTGGATATTTTCAAAATAAATATTTGGTGCTGTATACTGAACATTGGTAGTCTGGAATAGTAGACTCAAAATGATCTAGCTATCACTACCATCCAAAGTTAGAGGTTTGCAGGGGATCCTATAAAAGAAGATTCTATATAATGAAGATTTGCTTATTTTTCAAATTAGAAAGATTTAGGGATCTTTACAAAAATTTTTGCTGGAGAACTTGGATTTTATGAGCCAAAGAAGTGATTTTATGAAGGAGCTTGCCTCAGTTTCAGGGTTTGAAAAAAAAATGATTGTGAAGGGAGTAGAAGGACCATGACAATACATTTTTTGATGTATCTTTGCATATCTTCATCATTAGCAACAGCAACAACAGAATCTAAAAATGAAGCTGGCTTGCCACAGACTTGAAAAGGACTCCCTACCCAAACATCTGCCTCCAGTAGGCCATGAGTCCTAGGCCAATCTAAATATTGAATCAAGGAACAAAGCGGATCAGTGACCTTTATTAGATCTGCCTTTCATCCAAAGTCTAGATCAGTAGGATCTGAGTTGATAGTGGTGTATTCTTAGCCTCTCTACTCAAAATAACAGGTAGACAGGGATGGCGACCTATATGGACCTCTGCTCCCTCCTCCATCCCCCCAACATGTTGAAATAGGTATTAGCACCAGGCTGCTTTACATGGGGTAAGGGCTTCCCCTCCAATCACCTTAGTTGCTGATGCTGTATCCAGGTGGCATGCTCCCATTAGCTGTTGGGGTGAAGTTTTAAAAGCTGCCAGAGCATTATGCTAAGTGAAGTAAGCCAGGTGGTGAAAGACAAATACCATATGATCTTACCTATAAGTAGAACCTAATCAACAAAACAAGCAAGCAAGCAAAATATAACCAGAGACATTGAAATAAAGAACAAACTGACAGTAACCAGAGGGGATGGGAGAGAGAAATAATGGGGGGAAATAAGGGCAGGGCCATCAAGGAACATGTATAAAGGATACATGGACAAAGCCAAAGGGAGTAGGTTCAAGGGTGGGAGACAGGGATGGGTGGGGTAGGGGTCATGGTGGGGGGGAAATGGAGACAACTATACTTGAACAACAATTCAAAAAAAGGAAAAAAATAAAATAAAAGCTGCCTCTTAAAACATGTAAATGAGAGCAAAGGGGATTACCAAATTAAAATATCAAGTGAGTAAATAGAAGAAAACCTGGGACCTTTGTGATATGTTTTGTATCATAAGAAGAAAAAATAAAAAGGAATAAGGACAGTCTTTTTCTAGAGATAAGTTTACTCCATGATACAGAAGAAAAATGAAAACATTTTATGGTTCCAAGAAGATGTAATATTTAGGAGCAAGAACATATTGAGATACATTGACAGTATGAAACCCACAGTAGATCAAAGCAAAGTTAATTCTTTCCAGATTGTGTTAATGAAACAAGGAAAACTTAAGACTGTTGTATTACTGGGTTCTTTTCTGAATAAAAGGCATAAAAATATATCTTTTTTTAGAGTTTAATAAATATAAGAATTGATCATATGCATTTCACACAAGGAACATGATAGTTTAAAAACTGCATTCATACATATATGAGTTTCACTGCAAAATGAGTCAAAGACGTAAAACAAATATAAGAACTAGAACTATAAAACTCTGAGAAGAAAACAGACATAAATCTCCATGGCCTTGGGTTAAGCAGTGGTTTCTTGGATAGTACACATAAAGCAGAAACAACAAAAGAAAAATTAAATTGGACTTCATCAAAATTAAAAACAATTGTGATGCAAAGGATGCCATTAAATAAGTAAAAACCACAGAATTGGGGGAAATATTTGCAAATCATATGTCTGGTAAGGGACTTGTATCTAGAACATATAAAAAGCTCTTACAACTCAGTAATATAAAGAAAATTCAATTAAAAAGAGGCAAAGGATCTAATAGACATTTCTCCAAAGAAATAAACAGATGACCAGTAAGCACATGCCAAATGTTTAACATCCTTAGCCATCAGGGAAATTCAAATCAAAAAATTTTTGAAATTTAATCTTTATTGTATTTTTTCCATTACCATTTCATCCCTTTATACCTCCTTTTCCCCAGCAACCACCACACTGTTGTCCATGTCCATGAGTCCTTTCTCCTTTCTGCTCAATCCTTCCATCCCAAACCTGCGCCCCCACATTAGCTGTTGTCTGCTATCCATCTATGAATCTGTCTCTGTTTTGCTTGTTAGATTAATTTGTTCATTGGATTCCACATGTGAGTGAAATCCTATGGTATTTGTCTTTCTCTGACTGGCTTATTTAATTTAGCATAATGTTCTCCAGGTCCATCCATACTGTCGCAAAGGGTAAATTTTTTTGTTTGTTTTTACGGCTGAGTAGTATTTCATTGCGTAAATGTCCCATAGTTGTTTTATCCACACATCTACTGATGGACACCTGGGCTGCTTCCATATCTTGGCGATTGTAAATAACACTGCAATGAACATAGGGGTGCCTACGTTCTTTGGAATTAGTGTTTTGGGTTCCTTTGGGTATATTCCCCGAAGTGGGATTACTGGGTCAAAAGGAAGATCCATTTTTAATTTTTTGAGGTATCTCCATACTGCTTTCCACAGTGGCTACACCAGTCCAAATAAAAATTTCAATGAGATACCACTTCTCACCAACAAGGATGGTTATGATCAGAAAAATAGATTAAATGTTGGTGAAGACATGAAGGAATTAGAACTTTCATATGCTGCCAGTGGGGTTTTCAAGTAGTTCAGTTGTTTTGGGTAACTATCTTGCAGTTTCTCAAAAGGTTAAATATAGAATTACCACATGACCTAGCAATTCCACTCATAGGTATATGTCCAAGAGAAGTAAAAAACATATCCGCACAAAAATCTGTACATGAATGTTCATAACAGCATTATTTATAATAGCCAGAAATTGAAAACAATGCAAATGTCCATCACCTGATGAATGGATAAACAAAATGTGGTATATCCTTGCAATGGAATATTATTCAGCAATAGGAAGGAATGAGGTAGTGACACATGTTGCAACATGGAAAATCCTGAATATATGTAAAGTGAATGAAGCCAGTTACAAAGGACCACCTATTGTATGTGAAGATGGAATGTGAACATTTTCTAGTGAAAAAAATTATCTCCCACCTGGCCTGTCTCAGGAAACTACTGGAGGATGTACTCCACAAAAAGAAGGGCATAAACTACGAAAAAGGAAGACTCAGGACTGAAAATGTGACCCAACAAGGAAATTCCCAGGATAATACCAAAGGAAAATCCCAAAACAACTTGTCCAGTGTGGAGCCAGAATATGGAGGCTCCAGGCAAAATGTTTCCAGAAAAGAATGGAATGAAAAGATTTCCTAATTAAATTTGATCAAGTGAAAAAATCACGTTGAGAGGAATTATATAGTTCTATTGGAGAAGAATTAGTTATAAGATACAAAAAAAGTTGTATCAGGTGGAGATATGATCATTTTTTATAGATCAGATATAAACTGTATTCACAAGGTCATGTAAATTGAATATTGATTTATTATAAAATTATAAAACAGTACATATTGGGAAAATGAAGGGAGAAGTAGGAAAGAGAAGGCATAAGTGCCAAATCCCAATCTTTCATAATCCGTCAGTAGACAATATCTAAAATTGATAGTTTTCTAGACACATGGACATAAATGGCAGAAAAAATAGCAAAAACATTGACGATGGTTGTTTCTGGGGAATAAGATTTGGGTGAAAGGGTGGGGTAGAGGATGGCTTTTAAAAAGGTTATAAACCTTATGGTGATGTATACATAAAATTACTTTGATGAAAAAATATTGGTAAGTAAAAAATTAACTTGGTCCACGATGAAGATCTCCATAAATGTAAGTGGCTGTATTTTCTGACCAGAGTGAAACAAGTAGAAATGAATTATATGTTTAAACAACAAACCAAACCTCAAACTCTAGGAAATTTTAATGTAATTAATTCTATGTTGTAACCAGGTCAAAGAAGAAAAGTTCAATTTGGAAAATAATAATAATAATTATTATACACACACACACAACCTCTCAAAACCTATGTTGTGTAGTCTGGTGTGGCCCAGCAATACTTGGTAGTAAATTCATTGTTTGAATTTTCATTTTTTTTTAAAAGGCAGTTAACTTAAGATTTTAGAAAATGAAACTCCTCTACCCTCCCCTCAGAAAATTAATGGGAGAAAACAGTAATGTAGAAGCAAAAGATATGTTTAGTAATTTTCTCTACATTTTTCCTAATTATACACAATCTGGATTTCTAATAAATTTTTTATGGGTGTCTTGTTGATTGTATCTTTTTAGGCCTTAAACACAGATAGTTTGAAAATATCAACTCGCCTGAACTTGTTGGACCAAGAGTTGTCTGAAAAGAGTGTACAGCTCCAGAGCAGCACAGCTGAGGAGAAAAGAAAGATTTCGGAACAAGTTCAAGCACTCCAGAAAGAAAAAGATCAGCTACAGAGACGAAGAAACAGTGTGGATGAGAAACTTAAAAACGGTAGCATGCTGTCACCTGAAGTAAGTCAGTATTCTTTGAAACTGGAAGTGCTGTATGATGGATCACTTGAATGACTTCCTTCGTCTCTGTCACTTAAACATAAAAATGATAAATCTGGTGAACTTTGTTTTCTTGACAATTCGTCAGATGCATTGAGTTTACTGGGCACCGTGAGCCATGCTTGACTAGGGACTGCCAAGTCCTTGTGCAGATGGAGGTCCTTGAACGTGGCCCCTTCCTGGGTTGCCAGGGACTGGGAGACCGACCCTTTCCTCTAGAGTCTGGACTTTCTCAGCCAGGTTTCTCATCTGAACTCACAAAGCACACAGTGATTTGAAGGGACTCCTTTTCTCATTTCTTCCAAAGAGGGCACCTTCTTTCTTTCTGTGCATCTTTCTTGAATGATACTAGGTAATTTATTACATTTAATGGATGTTTATGGCATTGAGGGTTATTTTTTTCTGTTACCTCGGTTGAGAAAGGCCCAATGTGAAGGAGCACGTCCCTTCCAGGCAGACGCATAAAATTCAAATCCCAATAAAAATACCCTTTAGTTAGAGCTTTCATTTAAGGGACCATATAGCTCCTCTTACTTTTATTTTTTAAATTATGTAAAAGATATTTCACATATTGCCTATCAAATTGCCCTAGACTTTGTCTTTTTTCAGAATTTTACCTCATTTGGCAATGGTACCTGTGATCAAACAAAGATGAACTTTTGAGCGCAAGTTTTCTCTGTGAATATTTATTTTTGACACCTTGTCATTACCAAAGCAAGAGAAAATTACTAAGAGAAAGTGAGTAGCTGGGAAACATGCACCTTGCTGAATCTTGTAGTGTTTTAGATTAGAGCAAGAATGAGAGGACGTTAAGGGGCCTGGTTGAGAGGGAACAGGACAGAGGATTTCATTGTATTAGATTATTGCTCATTGAGTTGATCATGTATTAAAGACTAAATCGATTCGGGGCTCTGTGGCATCATAAACGTCTACTGCCCTATTTTATAACTCAACTTAGATAGCTGTGCAGAGGATCACAGAATCAGGCTGTCCTCTTGGGATTGTTCAGATTGGAGCCCAAGCTGGTAAATTTGAAGATATGAGAGCCTAAAATACAGAAAAACACATAAAGTAAGGAATTCTGGTCTGCCCAGGACTGTTACTGGGTCCTATGGAAGAAACAAACAAACAAAAAGCAAAAAGTATTGTGCTTCTCTTGAGAAATTTACACTCTGTCTGGAGAAAAGAAACAGAAGGATAAGAAAACTCTAAACCCTGAAGAACATAACAAAGCAAGTTATAGACAATATAATAAAGCTATACTTATTACATTATTTATACAAAGCAATGTGGTGATCATTTGGGAGAATATTAAGGCAGCCTTGGTAGATTGGAACCCTGAGCTGGATTATGAAGAACATAACATACTATACTACATTGGTCAATATAGAAAAGACCGTTTTTAGATAGAACACTTTTAAATAAGGCATGGAGATGGAAATGAGCAAATTATGTTTGCAGAAGGGTAAAGGGTCTGTTATTATCATCAAGAAACATTTAGTTTCTTTTTCATGTGGAATTCTATAACTAAAATTATGTAGGGTTTTGTGGTGAAAATAGAGGAGTGTGCTTGCTATCTATGTAGAAGCGACTCTGGGTCCCATTTAGTCAGGTTAGCTTCTCTGTGCCCTCCTTCCACGTGGTTGGTTCTTAGTGCAGCTCTGAAGTGGGCTCTGCTCTCCCCACTGTTTTTAATCCAGTACTGATATTACCAGATGGATCTGCCAAGAGCAGATGATGGGGAACATCAGATGCTGATAGGACACAAGACAATAAAACCTAGGTAGATTGGTTTGCTGTTTTAATGTCTTTAATCTTGCTTAGAATTATTTCCCTCTCCACAATAACTCAAAATATTTTTCTGATTGTATTACTTTATGGTAAAGTGATAGGTTTTAGATCAACAGTTTAACATAAACAAATCACCTGTGGTAAAATCCATAAACTAAGATTTAAAATTAACTATTTTTCTAATAATGCAGAGCAGTTGCCTAGTAATTGAGACATAGAAGAAAATATAGGAACTATTATATCTATGTTTATTTCATATTTTAAACTTTCAATTTCATGTTTTAAGATTAGAAGATACATATAATTTATTGAGAAATATACAATACATACTCGGTTCAGGGGTGGGTAAAAGTTGTATAGCTCATATGGAAAAACACATGCAAGTTATGATGATTACAATAGGTTTATTAAGTCAAAAGAATGTCACAATGCAACTGTAAGCCTAGTTTTGCCCAAGTCTGTATGTGTGTAGTGCTTGCTCAAAGTTTTTGTTAGTTTTTTTACTGATTGGGATATGTGATTTAAAGGTTTGGAAACCACTGTTTTAGATTCCTGTTACCCTCAGATCCCCCATCTCTCTGGACCAGCAGCAACAGGATCACCAGGGAACCTGTTAGAAATGCAGCGCCTAAGGCTCTACCCAGACCTGCTGAATTAGATATCTGCATTATAACAAGCTCCTACGTTCACGATAAAGTTTTGAAAAGTTCTCTATGAAAAAGGATAGTTAATTCTTAGTAATCTGTGGTTTGAGTTGTGGTAAATTTTCATCCTGGAACAGTTTCCCATTGCCACTCATCTTGTTAACCTATACCTATTGCTGGCTTAGAGGAAACCACCAGTGTTTACACGCTATAGCCTTATGGGGCAAGATGGTCTCAGGGTTCTATGGTTGCTGTACTACCTTATCATATTTTGGTGCTTCCTTAACTTAGATCTAGAACTGTAGGAACTAAAATTGTACCAAAGTGTTCTTAGCCCTATATAAAGGCAAACTCTCCACATTTGTTTTTGATAAAAATATAAACACAGTATGCATTCATAAGTCAGATGTGTCCTTTGAATAATTTATTTCCTGGTTTCTCATTCATTCACCTAATTACCTTTTAGGATTTAAGTTTATTTTTCTTTCAATGGTGAATATTATTTTCTTCTTATGGAGCCATTATCAAATCATTACATTATATTTTTAATTGTTGACACTATTACAGATGTCCCGCAGTTTTCCACTCTTTGCCCCCTTCTGCCCATCCCCCACCAAGGCCTTCACCCCATTGTTGTCTGTGTCCATGGGCTGTGCATATATGCAGACACGTTATTTGGCTAATCTCTTTCAGGCCCTCCATGATGGGTAGTGATTGCACAGAGAAATAAAGTGGCTGTAGAACTTTTTTTTTTTAAATGGCTCTTTCAGGATATTTTATAAAATGGCTTTTAAAAATAAGTATTCTTTGACCTTCCACTGGAATAGGTTATTATATATCATTTCCCTGAATTTCAGAAATGGAGTTCTGGAAGTCACTGTATTCCTTAGGTAGATTAAAAATACTGATAATTATTTTTCTTGACATGCTGGGGAGAGAAGTGTAAAGAAATACTTGGGTTATATAACCAAGGTATAATGAAAATATTTTTTTCTCTTCTTTCTTCATGAACTCATTCATTAGACACTTAACTGAGTTTAAACTGTGTGATGTATACTGTGCCAGGCAATCGGGACATGAATATAGACAAGACACTCTGCCCTCAAGGAACTTAAAGTTTAGGTGACATCCACCATGTGTACAGGTATATAGATATATATAAATATATTAAAATGTCACAAAGTCCTAAAAAATTTCTTACCAGAGATTTGGATCCCCCCCCACCCGCCGCCCCAAAATGACATGTTATTTGGATAGTTCAAAGAACCACTAGATATTCTGACAGGTATTCATCATATTTTTTCCTACAAAGGAAATCTCTGGAATATGAAAGAAATGTTATGTTGCTACTATTTTTAATGCCTGTATATTCCCTCCAATAATGTCTCATAGAAATCTTAGGAACTGCTTCATGTCCTTAAATTTTTACCACTTTTTTAAATGACATACTGTTTTTTCCCTAGAGACTTAAATCTGATTACTAGTTCTTTTTTAATATTTTATTGATTATGCTATTACAGTTGTCCTAATTTTTCCCACCTTGCCCCTCTCTGCCCTGCTCCACCCAGCACCCCCACTCCTTTAAGCAATGCCCACACCATTGTTCATGTCCATTGGCCATGCATATAAGCTCTTTGGTTGGTTACTCCATTTCCTATACTGTACTGTACATCCCCATGGCTATTCTACCAATTTGTACTTTTTTCTTTTTTTAGATATATTTTATTTTTTAGATTTTATTTATTTTTAGAGGTTGGGGGAAGAGAGGAAGAGAAACATTGATGTGACAGAGAAACATCAACTGGTTGCCTCCTGCACAACCCCAACTGGGGACATGGCCCACAACCAAGGCATGTGCCCTGACTGGGAATCGAACCAGCGACCTTTCAGTTTTCAGGCCGATGCTCAACCTACTGAACCACATCAGCCAGGGCTGATTTAGTTCTTAATTTATCCTGAATCTATTTTTCTTTCCCTCCTAGCAGTATATTGTTTTAATGGATCCTTGAAGAAACATTAGAGGGTCTCCATATCTCATTGACACATAATATACACTTTGAGAGCTAGGGAGGGAGATATATGACAAAACTGCTAATCCTGTGGCCTGAGGCTTTGAGTGTGATCCCTGGTGATCAGCATTTGCTGTATGACCTTGGAATGTTTTATAACTTACCTAAGCTCCTATTTTCCATTTTACTGCATAGGTTTATTGCAGGAATCAATGACTATATGTTACACATGTGTATATAAACAGTGTACTGTGCAGCAAAGCAAGCACTCGATAAACATTCTTAAAGTTTAGTATTCCGTTAGGCTCAAACACAGCAGGTCCTTGAATAATGTCATTTCATTCAAAGTCATTTTGTTATTATGCTTTTTCTTAAATTTTATTTTATTGCTTATGCTATTACAATTGTCCTAATTTTTCCCCCTTTGCCACCCTCAACCCAGTACTCCTCACTCTCTCAGGCAGTCCCCATACTTTTGTTTATGTCCATTGGTCATGCACATAAGTTCTTGGGCTACTCCATTTCCTACACTGTACTTTACATCCCCATGGCTATTCTGTAACTGCCTATTTGTACTTAATCCTCTCACCTCCTCACGCATTCCCCCACATCCTCCCTCCCATCTGGCAACCATCAAAACGCTCTCCATATCCATGATTTTGTCTGTTCTTACTGTTTGCTTAGTTTTTTAGATTAAATTGTTGATAAATATGTATAAGTCCTTTATACATTTAATATAATAATGGTTTGGTGATGATGAACTCCTTTAGTTTTTTCTTGTCTGGGAAGCTCTTTATCAGCCCTTCGATTCTGATATCTTTGCTGCGTAGAGCAATCTTGGCTGTAGGTCTCTGCTTTTGATGACTTTGAATATTTCTTGTCAGTCCCTTCTAGCCTGCAAAGTTTCTTTTGAGAAGTCAGCTGACAGTCTTATGGGAACTCCCCTGTAGGTAACTAACTACTTTTAAGATTCTCTGTCTTCAACCTTTGGCATTTTAATTATTATGTGTCCTGGTGTGGGCCTGTTTGCATCCATCTTGTTTGGGACTCTCTGTGCTTCCTGGACTTGCATGTCTTTTTCCTTCACCAAATCAAGGAAGTTTTCTTTCATTATTCTTTCAAATAGATCTCCAATTTCTTGCTCTTTCTCTTCTCCTTCTGGCCCCCCTATGATGGAAATGTTGGAACACTTTCATTTGTCCCAGAGGCTGCTTACACTATCCTCATTTTATTGGATTCTTTTTTCTCCTTGTTGTTCTGATTGGTTGTTTTTTGTTTCCTTATGTTCCAAGTCATTGATTTGATTCTCAGCTTCATTCACTCTACTGTAGTTTCCCTGTAATGTTATTTCAATTAGTGTATCCTTCATGGCTGACTAGATCTTTTTTGTGCTGTTGAGGTCCTAAGTTCCTTGAGCATCCTTATGACCAGTGATTTGAACTCTGCATTTTCTCCATTTTGTTTAGTTCTTTTTCTGGAGTTTTGATCTCTTTCATTTAGACCATGTTTCTTTGTTTCCTCATTTTAGCAGCCTCTATGTTTTTGTTTTTTTTTTATTTCCTGTATATGAGGTAGAGCTGCTATGACTCCCTGTCTTGGTAATGTGGACTAATGTAGTAGGTGGCTTAGAGTGTCCAGAGGCACAGCCTTTCCTATCACCCAAGCTGGGTATGAGGTTCCGAGTGGGCTGAGTACACCTTCCTCTTGTAGTTGAGCCTTGATTGCTGTTGGCAGGTCAATGGGAAGGATTTACCCAGGCCATTCAGCTGCAAGGACTGGCTGTGACCACTGACCACCAACTTCTGCCCCCCATAGAGATCAGCTGTGCAGGGGCAGGGTGGTGGTGCCTGGTGTGGTCTGTAGCTGTCCACTGGATATGCAGGCCCTGGGTGGTGCAGGTCAACGTCAGCCCCCACCATGTTCTGCCTGGAGCCACCCAACATGAGGTATACAAAGCAACCTGCAGATTGCTGCTACTTGTGCTGGGCTTGGAGGTTCCTAGGCAAAGCCAAGCTGTGAACCCTGACCTGCTGCTGCTAGTCCTTGGCCTGGGGCCACTTAGCAAGAGGTATGGGAGCTGGGGACTCACTGAGGCTGGCTATTGCTTGTTTGAGAGGATTTAGGAAAATGTGAAGCATGAGCCAAGACAAGCCACTCATATGGAAAAGCCATTGTTAACAGCTTGGGTGGACTGGTGAGTTGGGTGGGGCAGAGTCTCAGGGGGTCTGCAGGGCAGGACAAGGGGCAAACAGCATTAGCCACATTGATGGATTCTCACATATGGCACCCACCTGCTGTCTCTGTAGCTCTGTAGCGGGGAGAGCTCAGAAAAGGAACAATGACCTCTGCCTGCCTTTCTGCCTGGGAGAAAGCTGCCCCTCAGCTCTCATCCTGAAGCCAGACACTTCAGTTCCTCTTTGTATGCTACTGGTGCTTTTCATGCTGCTACTTTGGTGCTAGAGCTCAGAGGTAGTGGGTCTGAGTAATCTGTGGGTCCTTTAAGAGAAACTGCTCGGGAATCCTGCAGTTTCTTCCACTGACTCAGTCCCTGCTGGTTTTTATAGCCAGAATTTATGGGGGCTTACTTACTTGGCACTGGAACCCTGGGCTGGGGGTCCTGGTATGGAGCTTTGACCCCTCATTCCCACAATATCCCTCCTGAATTTTTACCACATGTGGGTGTGGGACTAGCCTGTTCCACGTCTCCACTCCTCCTACCAGTGTGGGTGGATGTGGTTTTTTAATTCCATAGTTGTTGGACTTCATTTCAGTATGTAACAGTCCTGAGTGATGGTAGTTCCATAGTTTAGTTTTAATTTTGATGTGGTTGTGTGAGGAGGTGAGCTGTGTTTATCGCTGCCTCCATCTTGACCAGAAATCTCATTTCATTATAATGTTGATGAGGAAAAAATATCAATTCCAGGCTGGGGCCACTGTCTGGCATTTGCATGTTTTCCACATGTCTGTGAGGGTTCTCTGTGGACTCCTGTTTCCTTCCACATCCCAAAGTTCTGCACATTAGAAGATGTGTATCTAAATTGTCCCAGTCTGAGTGAGTATTGGTGTGGGTATAGCATGTTTTGCAAGGGAAAGACATCCAGCATGGGTTCCCACCTTGTATCATGAGCTGCAGGGACACGCTCTGGCCACCCATAACTCTGAACTGGAATCAGCTGGTTGGAAATCATTATCTCACTTGTTTTTTTATTAATCTTTCTTAAATGTATGTAGAGCTGACATTTATTTCAGTGTTTAATGTTATGTGTTTGGGTCTTTATTTAGAGGTGTGGTGATGTTTTTATGCCCAGATAGAGGTGTGGTGATGTTTTTGTTTGTGTCAGTTAGTGTATGATAAAATTGGTTTCATTATATATTGTCTTGCTTACAGTTGCAGTTTCCAAGATCCTATCAATGATGTTAAGTGTGGACATACAAGTAAATTAGCAAATAAGTATATGACAAAATCCAAAATACACTATTTTGTTTAAAATGAGTGATTTCTGTTGTATTATGTCTAGGAAGAACATGTTCTTTTCCAACTTGAAGAAGAGATTGAAGCTTTAGAAGCTGCGATTGAATACAAGAATGAAAGTATCCGAAGTCGCCAGAACTCGCTTAGAGCTTCGTTTCAAAACCTCTCCCATAGCGAAGCAAATGTCTTGGAAAAGCTAATTGGCCTGAATCCTATTGAGATTAGGGCTATCCTTTTCAGATATTTCAATAAGGTTAGTTTTGGAGGGATGGAGGATTTTCTTCTAAATAAGGGCCAAGATGCTTATATATCTCACATTCTTTTAGAATGTTTAAGGAAATTGAAAGCCTTAAAGATTTGATGGTGTAACTTCAGATTTAAGCACGATTTCTCTTCATAGCACTGCACGCTGTGAGCAGAAAGCTTTGCGGCTATCTAAGTATATAGGTCTAACTGTGTGGTTCTTAAAGTGGAAGGGCCTTTTGTAAAAAGAGCTTTTTGAAATAGTGTTTAAAATAAAAGAATTTAAGCTATATTTCTCAGTCACTACTTCTTGATATTTTCTAGATCTGGATGTTGCTAATCAGCATTCATGAAAGATTCAGGGCCTCCAAGTTTGGGTTCCCTTTCCTTGATTGCTGGAGGATAGGGGAACATTTACTTTTTCCTCATAGCCTGTGAATTGATATGGAAATGAAGTGATGCATAACTGGCAAAGACAGTAATAGATTTTAGCATTAACCTGAATGGGCTTAATATTAATTAAAATATTTTATTTTTTATACGTATTTAACAATTTACTGATCCAGAGATGTTTCTTACCATGGAGAACTATATCCATCTTTCCTTTAATGTATTCTCTTACAATATACATTATGAAGTGTTAAACAAGTAGATAACTTTTTTTTCTCTGAAAAGTATATGCAGTATAAGGGGATATCAGACAATTAATGAACAGGAAAAACTGAAGTTTTAAAATAAAGTCCTAATTCTGTGAGACAAGTGAGATAAAGATGAAAAATTCATGGAAATGGTATACACAGCCCTCCTCCTGGATAGTTCCTGTCAGTAGAAAGCTGCTGTTGTGGATGAGAGTGTGTTCTGTCACTGGGTGTGGAGGGCAGAGAAATGGTGGAGTACTGTCTGAGGTTTGGATATAGATAACTCTTTTGTGGTGTTCTCAGATCAAGTGTTCTCAGCCTAAAGCATCCAGGCCGAGGTCAGTGGGTTTTCTGATCCTGAGAACCACTTCTAGGAATGAGTGTTTTTCTAAAAAGGTCATTATTAACACACTCTGTGACACAGTCAGCTTTACTTCATACCAATGCAGAGAATAACCCAATGGACTAAATGCACAATCTAAAACCAAACTCTGTATTTGGAGTTTAAAAAATTCTGTCAGTTATCTGTAGCATCCATTTTGGATTTAACATGGGGCATTATCCAGGAGTTACAAGAGTTCTTAGCTTCTGAATCTGCTTACAAGAGAAACAGAATTATAGGATTTTAAATGTAAATGAGGAGATTATAAATGTCTAAGAAGTGTTGGGGGGTGATTAGTAGAGCAACATTATGCTTAAATAAAATTACTACCAATTCAGAATCCTAACAAATTCAAAAGGCTGTTAGGTTATTCTGTGGGTATGTTACAAAGCATTTGCCTAATTACACCATGGTGATTAAGGAAGTTTATTTTATGAAGCCTAACAAAAGTAGATTAATGTATTATATCAGGCTATCTGAGACACACTTAAGCAGTCAAAACATGTATTTGCTAGGTGGTTAATTTGCGAGAAGCTGAACGGAAACTACAGTTACAGAATAAAGAAATTAAAATGCAGATTCTGGAAAGGGATAATATGGTTCGTGAGTTGGAATCTGCACTGGAACATCTGAAATTGCAGTGTGACCGGAGACTGACCCTCCAGCAAAAGGAACATGAGCAAAAAATGCAGTTGCTGTTACATCATTTCCAAGGTATCTCCCCTGGTGTCAGCTCTGTAGAGATGATGAGTAGGAGGGGGGTGTGGGAAGGAGGATAGAACACATTTGATCACTTAAAAGTCCAACATGTATCAATAGTTACTACTTATACATGTTTTTGTGCTTTCTGTGTTTTGGTTAGCACATGTTGGCATTGCTGCCTTTGATGTAGGGTTATTCATGCTTGAAATGCCACCCCTTGTGCAGGTTCCCAGAGCCGCACAGAAGAACTGCTGCAGTCCTATTAGTCTGTTGTTGGTCTAGTGTTTATATAGGGATGTGGGACGACTTTTGGCTTTGTGGTGTACAGTTGAAAAGTTTCTGTCTCCTAAGGATATAATACTACCTTGATATTTAAATTACTTTTCCTTCATAAAATTAAAGTGATGGGCTCTGTCAGATTTCTAGTTAGGTTTCTTGTTATAATTTTCAGTTGATTATAACTTTTATGCATTAAGGTTATATCTTAGGTCAAAATTTGCCTGCCATTGGTGGGCACATACCATTTTATAATAGCTCAACCATCAACTCTGGGGTGGAAAGAGCTGTCATAGCAGTCAGTCCTCACATTACCTGGGCATATGGCTGGTACACAAACAGTTGCTATGGCAACAAAATCACTGCCAGATGATACTGGTAATGCTTCAGTCCAGGCTGCTTAGCTGCTTACTCTTGATTCTTAGGAATCTATAGCTGGAAATGAGTTAAAAGGGATCTGGAAAAAGCAGCCCAAAGAAGCAGAAAATTACAAAATATATGATTTTGAGTGTTAAGGCAGTTTGCCTCTAAGTTAATTTTGTAATTAGTTAATTGGCATCCAGTTGCCGGATGACAGGATTTTCTTGACAGGATTCCATACATCATACCATTCGTGCTCTGCTTTTACCTTATCTTAGTTCTGTCTTAAGGCTCTGAAAGTGAGAGCCTTAAAAATTCATTTCTAAAACTGGGACAACTTTTTCATAACAGAGTTGTATTTGGAAATGTTAACAATTTATAAGGTTTCTAACTTCAGTTGAATATGGAATATAAAATTAAGCTTATTTATTTGATATCCTTTATGGGGATTTTTATTTATGATGTTATTTACTTTGAAGTATCTTTTAGAACAAGATGGGTTACTTACACAGGGTGGGGCAAAAGTAAGTTTACAGCTGTATGTGAAACAGTTTATTCTTTTATCATTATTTTTTATTATTTTATTTTCATATGAACAACTAAACCTACTTTTGCCCCACCCTGTAAATATACAAATACTCTTAGATAAAATTTTACAAAACAGCAAATTATAACAAAAGAAAATTACAAACCAGTAGGACCATTTTATAAATTTACCAATAGGAGAGAGTAGGTCTAAAAGTCTGTATTTTCTGAAGGTTACTGACTTTTACTGGTTTTAGAAACTACCCCAGTGGGGACATTTTTAGATTTTTAAAAATATTAATTAGAAGTTTTAAGTTACTATATTGTAGCATAACCTGGAATTTACCTTATGCTATTCCCTCCCCTTTTATGGTGTTTTCCTTTGTAATTTTATCTTTCTAGGTTCTTTTAGCAGGGATTTGTGTGTGTGTGTGTGTGTGTGTGTGTGTGTGTGTGTATGTGAGAGAGAGAGAGATCTTTTTTTTTGGTTGTATATTTTCTGAGCCTATAAACTTTAGACTTGTGGTTTTTCATATACCCACTATTCCTGATTATACACTTTAAGATATTGATGCAGCTGATGGGCAGAGTTCCAAATGTGAACTTTTTATAGAAAAAAATCCTTCTGTTGTTCTAAGGATAAATCTAGTTAGTAGCTACACAGAAAGTGCTTATGAATCATAAAAATGTGGTAGTTTGTAGGAGTTAGGGTAGGGAAATTGACTAAGGCACCAATCCTACTTTGAAAAATTTTATAGGCAGAAGAATCCAAATTGTAGATGAAAACAAATCCATTCAGGTGACAGATACAATGGTAACATCCTTCTGACCCTCTAAATGTGGTCTGTGGGCTATGTTAAAACCTAATTTTCAACCATTTAAGCTGATTTTAAATGTAAATTTCTGTTTTCTAGAGCAAGATGGGGAAGGCATTATGGAAACTTTAAAAACATATGAAGATAAAATCCAACAGCTGGAAAAAGACCTTTATTTCTATAAGAAAACCAGCAGAGATCTTAAGAAGAAACTTAAGGAATTGTTAGGAGAAGCGATTCGGAGGCGACTAGTACCATCAGAATGTAAGACATTTAGTGCTACTTGCCATGCTGTTTCTCTCGCATTTGATGAAATTGGTCTGATTTGTAGGTTAGCTTTTCCAAATTGATTTGGTTATTTAGGATTGGATATGCACCTTCTGTTTGACTCTGTAAATAAAAATATTCTCTAGTCTATGTGTAAGATAGAAAGAACCAAAGAAAAGTGAAGGAATGAATAAGTATGTTTGTGTGAAGGGAACTTCATATATTGATTGCCTGCCGTGTGCCATGGGCTTTTGTGTTTCCTGACTTAAAATAACCCTGTAATCCAAGATAGCTGTTGCTTTCCTATTTTATAGTAAATTACGTCTTCTGATTATCACACAAAGATGTAAAATAAATAGAGAATAATAAAAGTAAAGGTAAAATAATATGTATTTCTAAGATCAATCAGGTCTTTTACATATCATGACCTCTGGAAACTCAAAAATATAATAAAACTCACTGTTGCGACAAAAAATGTTTGATTTTACAACCTTTTAGAACATAACTATTTTGTATCTGAAGAGAAAACTGCTTATAGATGGATACAACAAAAGGCCAGTGAAAAATTATATACGTATGGGTAATGAAAATTTTTTATTTTGAATATGTAATGCAAGCAGAATTAAAATTTAAAACTCAGTAATATTTTAGAAAACTAGTTGTAGCCCTGGCTGGTGTGACTCAGTGGACTGAGCGCCGGCCTGCAAACTGAAAGGTCGTTGGTTCAATTCCCAGTCAGGGCACAAGCCTGGGTTGCAGGCCATATCCCCAGTTGGGGGCATGAGAGATGCAACTGGTCAATGTCTCTCTCTCTCTTTCTCCCTCCCTTATTATCACTCTAATAAACAAACAAACAAACAAACAAACAAATAAATAAAATATTAAAAAAAGAAAAGTAGTTCTAATGCTACCTTATATTTATGATATTTACAATTTATACATATTTTCATAAGTAGTTCCATTTAACCCTCAAACTCAAGGTAGGCCAATGTCTTCTAACTCTGTTTTTAGAGGAAGGACTTGAAACTTACAGAGGTCAAGGGACTCATGGACAGTACAGTAATAAGAATGTGTTCTGAGGTTCTTCATTTTCTGATTCCTGGTCCAGTATTCTTGGATAAAAGTTGTCTTAAGATGGAGAAGTGATGCAAACATACAAATCTAGCCAAACAGACTAAACTTTCTGATTCTCAGTGTAGTATTGCAGAGGTACTTACTAATACAATTAAAACATTTACTTGAAAACTCCTTGCAGTATATAGCTGAACCTTTTATTTGAAACACTACTTACAAAATATTGAATGTAAAAAGATGTTAAATAGGAAACAGAACAGTCAGCATAAAGTTGTTTTATCTTAAGCCCACTTTCAAATTTGAGAAGTCTGACATTAGATATCTGGTGTTTAAATGGCCTGTATTTATACTACTGCATCTACTAGACCTCTCTTAAAACGATCATATGGTGTGGCGGAATACAGGTTTAAGAAACTTGTATCCCCCTTCTGCTCTTTAAAGAGACAAACACAAAAATCTCTAAGTTAAATAATCTTGGAGTTGTGTAAAGTAATAATTACTCCCATCTGACCAACTTTCTTGGGAGAGCTAGTCTTAATTATAATGGTGACAATATTATTTCAGCAAGTTTGCTTTTCTACCTGGAAACATCTTAAATACTTTTTTTTTTTTGCTATAAAAAGTGATATATAGTCATTATAGAAAAATTTTAAAATACAGGAAAAAAACACCCATAATTTTACCCAGAACTATTGACATTTAGTATAAATCTGGTCAGTATTTTCCCCATGCTTTAAAAAGCAGTTGGAATCATATTGGGGATATAGCTTGTATTATGTCCTGTCTCAAAATGTTACTCTAATATAATGACATTAAACAAGATTTGTTTGAGTAAAATATGGCAATTTATAATTCTGAGTTGCCTAAAAAGTACTATATGCTTAATAATCAATACCCTAGCTAATACATAACTGTCTTGTATTGAGTTCATTGGTTTTTGATAGTAGTCTTTTCCTTGTCTGCCTACTAGGCTTATGTTTATCTTCTTTGATTATTTTTAGCATTTTTAAGGGCATGAAAATTAATCTTTTGGGCATGACCAAAATACTATAGTTACTTCTTGGTCATGTCTTGTACATCTGTTTTCTAACATATTTTGTGAGAATTAAATCAGTTTATATGGATACACAGCCTAGGCCCTTATTTAAGTATTTAAATCCGTGTCCTTGTATCAATTCAAATCACTGTAAAACTCTGTGTGAGGAGTATTCGAGTCAGAAGACCTGGGTTGAAATCCTAATTTCTTATTTAACTAGCTTTGTGACCTTGGGCAAATTAATGTATCTCTAATTTGTTCCCAAATGGTAAAATTTTGGAAGAGAGAAACTTTCGAAGAATCTAAGTGGGCTTATGAGTGAGCTTCTCTCGTGAGCCCATCTAAACTGTTCCACATATGGCACTGTGACCTGGGCATCAGGACTTGTAAAGGATTCCTATTGATTCTGCTGTGAAGCACACCTTGGGAGCCACTGTCTGTGGTCAGCTTTGTGATGATCTGCTAGTTCTATGTGAGGATCTATGTCATTGCTAGAAAATCAGTTATGTTTTAAACCAGGGGTCACAAACTACTAACATGCCTGCAGGAGCCAGGGAAGCCCAAGTGAGCAGTGGCGCCTGCAGCCATTGTCTGGGTGGACAGGACAGCTCTGCTCCAGTTGCTGTTGCCAGGCAGAAACTATCAGTTCTCTTTTTTCCTAGAAATGTTGGAAGTCTATATCTTTATATAAAACTGTACAATTTTTAAATTTGGGTCATGTATTTTTTAATTTTAATTTTATTGTATTGTATTTATTTTTTATCATTACCCAAGGACATTTTTTTTTTTCATTGCTTTGAGAAGGGAGAGAGAGAAACATAATTGGTTGCCTCCTGTAAGGGTCCAGATCATGGCTCAAACCCACAACACAAGCATGTGCCCTGACTGGGAATCAAACCTGCAACCTTTCGGTTCCAGGGCAGTGGTCCAATCCTCTGAGCCACACTGGCCAGGGCTGGGTCATATATTATTTTATAAGCTAAGTAAAAACCGTGGGCCACATTTGGTTTGGGAGCTGCCATTGCTATTCATAGGACTAGAATGTACTAATCATGTGTCAACATATACTAAAGTTTGCATTTTTCATTATAATAGGTCCAATACTTATGTGGACTTCCCTTAAGCAAATTTTTGTCTTTGCTATTAGATGATTCTATGATTTGAGGACCTCAAAGCTGTGTTCCAGCAGGGTATCCCCCATTGCGGACCTATGCTCCCATCTCCATTTTAATAGAACCCCAGAGTATATTCAGAGAGCAGAATGCTCCTGTTATGCCAGGAGCACTAACCAAGATTATATTTTCACACATGTAATGCCAAGGCCTGAAAGAGTCACTGGAGGTAGAGGCAGAGACAGTATTCTGCAGTAATGGCTGTAGTTAGCCAGGATTTGGACGTGATCACCAGTGGAAAGCTCAGTGGAGGGCAGGTGTGGAAGGGCACCAGGGAGGCCCAATCAGTGCACTCCTGTGTTTCCAGGGAGTACCAAAATCACTACCAGACTATTTCTCAACCTTGTTCCACGAATGAAAAGTTCTCAGTTATTCATATGTAAGATGCCTCGAAGTCAAATAAGAATAATTCATATTCATACTTCCGTTTGTCTAAGAAGTCATTTAACAAAAAAAGCTGAAATAATTTATATTGAGAAATAATAATGTAATTATGTTAGGCTATCATGACTAAAATACCTGCTTTTGAGGAAATAGCTATTTTTTTTTCTTTTTGGACTATTTTTAGATCATGATGCTGGTGATGGAGTCCTGAACACAGAAGAAGCAGGCATGGTTTCAGAAGAATTAAAATGGGCATCTAGAACTGAAAGTATGAAATTAAGTGGAAGGGAAAGAGAATTAGACAGTTCGGCAAGCAGCTCGAGAACACAACCCAATCCTCAGAAGCTCTGGGAAGATGGCTCAGAATTACCTCCGAATTGTAGCTCTTTAGCACCCACTAGTGGGCATTTGTTAAGCAATGAGGATAAAACAGAAATAGAGGAAAATCAGTTTCTAAAACTTCACAGTCAACCATCATCCCAAATTCAGTCAATGGGAAATGTGAGACAGCTTCATGGTGTCATGCCTGTAAAGCTGTGTCGCAAAGAGTTACGTCAAATTTCTGCCCTGGAACTGTCATTACGACGGTCCAGTCTTGGGGTCGGGGCTGGATCTATGACTGCTGATTCCATTGAAGTGGCTAGGAAACCTAGTGACTTAAAAACTTAGTAGTTGCTAATAGAAATTTTAATTTAGTATATGTGTAAAATTCCTTTTTCTAACCTGTTAAAGCTTAAGCTCGCTAGCTCTCCCCTCAAGAAAAAGGAAGAAGAAAAGGAAGGAATCCCTACTCTTTTTGTGTAATTTATATGTGTAATCTTCTATAGTATATTTGGGGAGTTTTAATTTGCTTTTTCATAATAACCAAACACACATTTTCCAATACTATAAAGTAATTGCACATTTAAATATTTCCACCTATAAATTTGTCTAAAATTCTTTTCCAGGCATATTTGAACAAGACTAAGAGTAGAATAATAAACAAATACCCATCAAATGTATATTATAATATAAATGTATGTTATAATACAATAATTATATCTTATAAGTTATTGTTATCTTCAAATACAAGTATATTTTTGTTATTTTAAAAAGATCCAGTTAAGTATGGCTGATGTCAGAGGGAGAGCCACCTGCATGAGTATTGGCATAACTGAAAATCTTGGGCAAAATGCAGTCTGTGGGCTAACGCAACTAGAGGTTTGTGGATTAGGATTAATTTGTGGTCCTCAGAGCCCACAGAGGTTGAATGACCGGTCTTGATTTTTTAAACATGGTCTCTATTCTTTTTCTGGAATTGTTTTTAGAATGTTATATTATTGTTTGCTAATGTTATGGAATACAAGTTTTCATTTCTCTCCTGCCCTGTCTATTCAACATCTCTCTCTTTATGCTACAAAAAATGAGAGAAATGGGTGCAGTTCTGTGGAACAAGGAAACAATAATAGAACAACACTAAAGTGTTCTAACATTTCAAGGAAAAGATAACCTGATCACTTGGACTATACCTGTAACGCTTGAAGTCTAGCCAGAGGATTTTTCTGTATAAGCGCAAGGAGGCTTTGTATACAGGCCAGGCTACATCGGGGCTGTATATATGTAAATGAAAAATTTTCTTCAAAACCTTTTTGGTCTAAGCCTTATTATATAATATAAACTTTGTTTGGAATTAAGAACTAAATATTGATTTGTCCAACATAATCCAGTTTGTACTTTTGCACCTTATTTCTCAATCACAGAAAATATCCCCTTATAATGACCAGAGAGGTATTTTGTTAAAATTTTTTAACTTATGTTATTTTTGTTACTTTTTGAAACTTTCACTTATAAAATAAAGTTATTTCTTAAATTAATTGATATTTGGGTGGGGCAGTAGCAAAACCACCCTTACTTATGGACCTACTCAATTAGTCACCCACGTCCTTGAAGACTCCATTTTTTCTTATTTGATGTTGCTACTAGTTTTCCTTTTGTCCTTTTCTCTGTTGCTGTTGACCCTGACAATCTTTCCTAAGACCCAAACTGTTGGAGTAGGATCCCTTGGTCCCACAGCTAAAAACCAGTTGTCCTATAGAAAAAGAAAACCAAACCAAAACAAACTCCTAAATTGGTGAATAGTTTCTGTATCTCTTAAACATGGTACTAAAATTCATTTAAATTATGGGTTAAATAGACTTCTGTGGACTTACCTGGGGACTGAACCACAGTTTATAACCTTGGCCCAATGAGAAACTGCTTCAAACAATGAATTTACAAACTACCTTGGAAATTTTATTTTTAACAGGGATATTTGAAGTCAGATTCTGGTTTTAACTGAGTTTCCCTTTTTTGCCTTTGGTTTGTATGATATATATTTAATGTATATCACACATAATGTGAATATAAATATATAATGGCCAAAAGCCAGTGCCTTAACAAAGCACAGCAATTATATATTTATTAATAAGTACATACTTATTAATGAAGTTCCCAATTGTAAATTCCTTATAAGATTAAGTAGTAATTTAGAAATAATTCATTTAAGAATGTATTCTAATACTGGAATTCTGCTTGTCCAAGAAATTGACACATATTTGTTTTACCTGTGGAAATACAAACACATTTTCTGAAATGTGTAAATATGTTTATTTTCTGATAGACAACAAAATTTATATCCAACTAACAATGATTAGATTTGATAATGCAAATGTGAACTGACTTATAAATAACAGGTACAGTTTTTTCCTTTCTTCCAGTTAAACATGTGTCTTTTATATGCTATGATAGAGTTCATCTACGTATACAAATACACATAGTAATATCCTGAATAATATTTCCTGGAAGTGAACTTCTTGTCATTCTAATTTAGTTAGTGCCCTCACAAAGGAAAGAAAAATTAAGGCATCTGCCCAAGGCAAGTAAAATTATTTTTTTACATATACTACTAATAAATTTTACTTTGTATTTCTTTAAACCATTGGTCATTGTGTTTGCCTTTTTCCGTGTATATAAAATGCTTATCGTTTTCTTTTTTGTTGTTGTTCATTATGGGTTTTCCCCTACCTATACCAGAGCATTTGAAAGAAAACATTTGCGTGTGAAAAGCACTGGTTCCTTCCCTCACTCCAAAGTGTTATGGGTAAAGTGTTGGAGAATTCTATAATTATGGGAAACTGTGGGCAGTAAGAATGTCAGTGCAGGTGCTTTTGTGCTTTAATGTTTATTTTCTTTTGCTAATGATTTTTGTTTTTGTTTTTGGTTCCACAATTCTTCATATCTTCATGAACTCAGGCTCCAAGGAGTCAGCTAAAATACACATGGGCTTCAGTAATGTGAACATGATTGGAACATTGTATTAGTCCAGGTCAATAAAGTGATAAATCCTTACTTAAGGATGGGTGTCTTTTATAAAAAAAAAAAAAATAATCTTATACTAAGTCTTAGAATGAATTTCTAAGGAGTCAAATCCTTCGTGGGAGGGATTTTATAGTCACAGATTCTTATGCACTGAATGCAAGTGTGACATGTTTTGCTCTTATAGTTACTTCCTCAGGCACATATTTGAGACTTTTTAAAACACTGGATTATCAATATTTAAATGCTCAATGTGTACAATATCTGTAAGCTCATGTCCGCAATTCCTCTCTTAACCTCACTGGAATTTTAAGAAATATTCATTATATGTATTCTGCATTTAAAGTTATTACAGGCTGCACCTGCCTTCATTAGTACCAATAACTTCTACATTTATATTTTCAAAAATTGAAAATACAGGTGGAATTGAGATCCCTCTACACAGTAAGTATCTCAAATGCATTGGGCATATTGTATTTTTGAGCTCATATGGGCAGTAGCGTTCAAAGGGTGGAGTGGTAGGAGACTGCCCTATAGGGAGGAGTATTTTTTCACTGTCATTGTTTACTTTTATCCTGAAAATAAAAAGCAGATGACTTTTCCTAAGTTTTATCATTTTTAAATGCTCTGCAAACAATGTATTCCCTATTACCAGGGGTGACTGCTTCCATTCTTTGCTCCTGGAATGCAGTGCATATATACATGGTACCACGTATTGGAATGGTGTTTGATTTTCATAATGACCTTCATGTTGACCCCAAGAATACCACAACATGGAGTTAATTAGAACAAGAAAAATTACAGAAACCTCAGAAAAACTGTTATAGTATTGATTTTTAAAAAATTCTTCAGCCAAGGATATGTTTATTGATTTTAGAGAGAGAGGAAGGGAGAGAAAGAGAAACATCAATGTGAGAGAGAAACAGATTGGTTGCCTCCTGCATGCCCCCCAACTGGGGATCAAACCCACAACCTAGGTATGTGTCCTGACCCATCGAACCCACAACCTTTTTGGTGTGTGGGACTGTGCTGCTATACCAACTGAGCCACCTGGCTAAGGCATAATACTGGCTTTTGATATTCTGCGTAGTTCTTATTTATCTCTTTTTATATTTTTTCTAGGAATTTCCATAATCAATTGCCACTATTTGAAATGCTAGCAGTGTAATTTAATTGAATCTACATATACTGACCTAGACTTAGGTATTAGGTTCTATTGGTAAGTTATTACACACAGCTCTACTGAGTGATCTCTATAGAACTTTAAAAGAAAAATACAACAGTGTCACATACTTTGTTATAATAAGATCCTCATATTCCCAAACAACAAAACCATTCACACACAGAGTAGAAAAATATTTAAACATTTAAAAAAATTTTGTATACTGATGATTGTTGGAAATTTAAAGCTGTTTATTAGTTAATACTTGTGTAAATAAAGTAGAACAAAAGAAATGTATTTTAAAATAATATTCACATACTGTATTACTGTGTTTTCAAGCTTATTATTATAGTATATATAAAGTAAGGTATATTTTTCAAGTCCATAGTGGTAAATGTTAGAATTTTTTTAATCTGAGGGGTTTTTTAAAAGAACTGCTTCTCGGACCCCAACACCCTCTCCAATTACCACCAACAAATTATGGGTAAATTATAACTGTACTTACCCCTGACCTCCATAATGCTCCAGGATTCAAATAGCTCTGATAAAAACAGGAGACAAAGAGGTTTATTTTAAAGCATTTCCATAGATCAGCAAAGAATTTTGAAAACTATTTTGAGCAAATATATTTTAATTTTCTGGAAACAGCACTGAAACAACTTCAATCTTTGGCTATCTCTAAACCCTAAAGAATACACCTAGGTAGTATTGATTTTGCCATTTGAAAATATACATCCTGGTTTTTATGTTGGTTCTTCCTGTGATTACTATCAATTCAGCATTATAGGAAAAGAAGCAAAATTTGAATAAAAATTGTGGAGCCGTTTAACAGAGAATTATAAGAAACGGTTTTGGATAAATTCCAACAGCCATAACATAGACCGAAGAAAATAGGACTGAAGTGATCTTACCATTGTAGAATCATAAATAGCATGCTAAAACAAACATTGTAGGCATTAATTGACAGCATTTGTTTTTATAAAACAGTACTTAATGATTTTGGTTAATTTTTCTCTCTGCTAGAGTATTCCTGATTTATATACAATGGGAATAAAAGACAGAAAACTGTACTTGAACAACAATTAAAATTTAAACAAAGTAAAACTTTTAAACAAATTCTCAGAGTTTCAGTTCTGTATGTCAGCAACAGTAGATACAGCAGTATCCTCTAGGAAGTTTCATGTGAAGTCTAATCTCACTAGAAAATATTTCAAAGACTTGGCTGAGTATTTTTAGAGCCATAAGTAGTATTTGATGACTATTTCTTTGATTTACAAATGAAATACATTTTTAGTGGGTTTTTTAACCACCAGTTTTTGCTTATTTGTTACTTATTTCCTTAGTAACAATTACATCTGTGAGTTATCAGTTTACTCAGGCTAGAACCAGATTTTCTGCCCTGGCTGATGTGGCTCAGTGGGTTGAGTACTGGCCTGCAAAATGAAAGGTTGGAGGTGATTCCCTGCCAGAGTACATACCTGGGTTGTGGGCCTGGTTCCCAGTTAGGGGCCTGCAAGAGGCAGTGAGAGGCAACCATCGATATTTGTCTTGCACATCGATGTGTCTCTCCCTCTCTTTCTCCTTCACTTACCCTCTCTATAAAAAGTAAAATAAAATCTTGAAAATATTTTTTTTCTTAAATCAAGAAGAATGGTTTCCATGAGGTAATCACAAAGATACTGAAAACTCCTTTACTCCCTCAAGGAAACTGTAAAACATTAAGTTGATTTTTTTTGGTACATATATAGTTATGTGATCAAATTAACAGTGTCTGTCTTTGGCATCTGATTCTCTTAGCTGCTGTATACAAGTATATTAGAATTAAATATGACATTACCATGGTGGCCTCTTTACGAGCATTCTGAGACAAACTCCTTCCCCTTAGTTTGCAAGTATCTGCCAATGTTAAGGAGTAATTTGTGTCTCTTTAGATCAAAGCACTCATGACCTGCACAGCCAAGTAATTAAAGAGAAGGCCAACACATTAATAGTAATAGAACCTACAATCCTAAGTATTCTACTGGATTGTGAGCAAATGAATCAGAGAGAAAGAATCCCAGCAATACTTTTCCTGGAAGTTACTTTCACTGGTACTGAGGTCCTCTTAGTAAGGTTTATTACAAAGTTCAGTATCTCCCATAAGAAAGGAAACTATATGTAAAGACCTGATCATGCCAGTTTAATTGGCCAGATCACAGTTGAGTTTTAAAAGTTCTTTATATATTCTACTACAAGTTCCTTATCAGACAATATGATTTGCAAATATATTCTCCCATTCCGTGGGTTGTCTTTTCACTTTTTTGATGGTGTTCTTTTCATGGCAAGTTTTTACATTTGATGAAATCTACTTGATCTATT